CCCCCTTCCCCGCCCACCCATCTCACCCCGTTCACCAAATATGTTGAATCAAATCCCATCACCCACATTACGTGTTCAGGTCTTCAATCTATTGGCGGATTGAGAATGATTATGTCTTTACATATCCTGTACATGTAAAGAAATTGGCTAAACATCTCAATGCAGGATTGCATTGAAAAAAGCAGAGTTGCGAGATTCTGTGAGACTCCCGTGGGGTAAATAAAAGGTAGTGGCCTGATGATAATGTTTTTCATTCATGCGCGTCCCTTGAGCGCGTGGGTCGTTCAAGGTCATGTGTGGGAGGGGATGGGGTGCGTGGCTGGCTGGCTTTGTCTTTCCGTTGCATGGCCCGGGTTGGTTTGGCGAAAGCCGCGTGTGCTTCGTCACGCGTGTTGCAGCTCCTCTTTATCTGAGCCCCAACACGCAGCCGCCACCACCACCACCGCCACGCGACTTGCCTCGCCAGGCTCGCTACCCACCCCGTCGGGTTGTTGAGCCAATGTAGAAGGGGGGAAAAACGCATTCGAATTCCCACTCGAGCCCAGTTGCATGATCAATTCCACCCCCCACCCCCGCTCCGCGCTTTCCAATTCCACTTAACTCTTGCATGTTCGCAAATCGCAAGGGAGTCACATTATAGGTCATGAAATCATGGGTGTCTAATGCACGGAACAGCCAAATCGATTACGAATTGACCAAATCAGCATATATTTTAAGTTGTGTTTGAGCGCAGTCAGGTTTAGCCAAATAAAGGAACGTCCGGTAAACATTGTTTTGCTGACAGTGCACTTTAGGAAAGCAAGGTGGTCAATAGTGGTGGTGCCAGATGGGGTGGCTCAGGCCCGTGACCAAGTGCTTTGCGCCACAGTTTGACCACAGTGACCAAGTGACTAAGTGGCCACAGTCACCAACTGCTTTGCGCCACAAGTGCTTTGCCCCACAGTTGATGGATCACACGGAGAATTATGAAACTCCCAACACTCACTGCGCCGGACGCGGCCAGGAGGTGGCAGCACAGAACGTGCAATTGTTGAACCTCATTTGTAGAGTGGGCTAAACATGAGAGTTGGTTGGTGACCGCCTCGAATGCGTTGTGGGGTTTTCTCCGGCTCCTCTGGGTTTCCTTCCACAGGAAACGAAATATTGTTTGAAAACAAATGAAATTGAGAACATCCCAATTGCAGGACCCTCCTGGAAAGATGCCTTGAAACTCAGTGAGACTTTCCTGGCTAAAATAATTACAATACAGGTAGTCCTCTACTTACGATGGAGATGCGTTACGACGACCCCATCGTAAATCGAAAATATCGTAAGTCGAAGATGACCTAGCCTACCCAGGAGTCTTAAACAATGGTGATAATTTAGCAAAACAGAGCAATTTACAGTACCGTACTGTATAAACTAGATACTGTATGTATTTATTAATTACAATACTGTATTGCACAGTAAAATGTAAAGTAAAAAAACAAGGTAAATTCTTAGCCTACCTATATAAACTGCTATTTAATAGAAAGTATTTTTCAGGAAACAATCCTATCTGCTATAAAAAAAAAACTTTTAACATGCATTGAACGTATCGTATCGTGGTAACCTTAAAATGAAATCGCTAAAGCTACGTATCATAGATGCATTTAACGTATCGTAACGTATCATATTGTACTCACCAAGATTCTGTCCGTCGTCTGCACACTTGAACGATGTTAGGTTGTTGATGGCAATTTTGTCGTATCGCCATCGTAAGATCGAAATATCTTAAGTCGGACCATCGTAACTCGGGGACTACCTGTACTGTATTACTCTAATAATACTCACGATGATCAGCGAAAAGTACACACACCATGGTGATCATGTGAACGCTGTCGTCTCGCGCATGCGTTGAACATTTTACCAATGTGTCTGGAAGGTAACGCCTGTGACTCCTGATGAGATCTAGATGATCTAAACCAGTCCAGGGTTTGCTTTCTTAACCAAGTTCTGCTGATTAACATGTCTGATGGACTAGGGGCAAATCCCAGAAAAAAATGTATGCAGAGATACAGAACGGCATGTTGAGTTATTTATTCCATCATACACCCAAGGTGTGTGTGTGTGGTTTAAACGGGACCTGGCACCAAGAGCCCGAAATCAGCAAGAGTATACTGCCCTCTGCTGGCGTTCACCGTGATTAACCCTTCCCAGATGTAGATTTGAAGCTTTCGTGACTGCAAGCATTCATACTCTTAGTTATTTCGGTAAAGTCACGTAGGTAAAAAATGAAATTAAAATTAATAAAAATAAAATTAAAAAAATCAAGACGTTTCGGAGGCAACACAAGTCTCCGTCATCAGGTGGGACCGTCACAGCCAGATTTGCTGCATCGTGATTTTTATTTTATTTTTTATTAATTTTAATTTCATTTTTTTACTTACGTGACTTTACCGAAAGAACTAAGAGTATGAAACCTTGCCAGATGGCCACCGTGCATCGGTGCTGCAGCGCAGGCTTCTCCAGATATGGGTCGGGATGCTCCCTCAGTGGTGTGAAAGTGAATTAAACTGTTCTCGTGCTCAAACTGCTGGTGCGTGGTGTGCCTTCTCTCAGCTGTGCCTTCTCTCAGCTGTGCCTTCTCTCAGCTGTGCCGTGCCCCTCCAAATTACTCAATTGGGACGAAACTCTACGGTGCACGGCAATCTGGCAGGAAACTAATTCACCAGACAAAGTCCCCAGACTAATTCACCAGCAAAGGAGACGTCCTGATCGCTTGAGTTCTCGCTCAGCTGATTATACCAAATGAACTTGAAACTCGAAATTTGAAACTCCACTTCTGCGTAGGACGTCGTGATTGTGCTGTAGAGCTCTCTGACGCGATGTCCGACGTTCCGCTCCACGTGCTGGGAGGTTGAAAGGGCTTGTTCCGTTCCATAAACTTGCATCACTAGAGGCCTGCGTTCATTGACTGCGTGCTCAGAGTTCGTTTGAAGACAACCGCTCAGCGTGTTAATTACACGCACAATGTTGCCAGATAGAAGAAGAAGAAAATAACATTTTGATAAGCTTCGCTTGCTCGCCTTTCCGAAGTGTTCGGCCTGTACGTGACCACGGGCCTTAAGAAACGACGTCACGGGTCCGTTCCATGCCCACGAACTCACAACAGCGCGAGCAGCTCCAACTGAGGAGCTCGTTTCACGGTGAAACCCAGACTCGTCGTCTCCTCCTCAGTGTCTCACGATCACGTATCCGCCCCCCCCCCCCCCCATGCGCATTCTCTGCCCACAATCCATGGGTAGGGCAGGTGCCAGGATTTATAGGTCAATAGGCAAAGAATATTTTAGACTGACCTCCAAGTCGCAAGTCCCCAGGGAAAAATAAAGAGATTGTGATGTTCAGGGGGGGGGGGGGGGGGGGTCGAGAGTGGAGTATACAGACATCAACAGCTTACTTGCGAGCGTGAAATAGGCGTGTCGTTGTTGATGTGGTTACGGCTGTATACGAATGGGGTCTGAACATCAGGTGTGGGCCGGCGTTATCCGATGTCTCGGTCACTTAATGTCCACGCGCATTCCCTCATGTCCCCTTTCGGGCTTAAGCTGGTTAAGCGCCTCATAGATGTCGCTTTCTCGCCAATTCGCTCGGGGCTTGTGCAGACGTTGTGGGTGGTGGAGGCTTCTTAATCTTGCACGCACGCCCATTCTCTGCGTTCGCCAAGTCCGGCGCGTTGTGTTGTGCCGCGGAACAATCCGGATCATTTGCTCGGTCTTTCTTTCCTCGGCGTGTCTTATTATTATCATCATCACCACCATTCCTGCATTTACACGATAAGCGTTGGAATGGTGAGCAAAGCGACTGGGCGAATAAGCCTGCGCGAATGAGATAATGCCAGCGCCACGGAGAGCAACGTTGACTGCATGTCCTATCACACAGTTAGAAGGCGCGTTTGACACGTCAACTTTCACATTTACAGGCGTACCGCCGGTTTCTCTTTTTCCCATTATTTATGTAAGTGCGTTTTTTTTTCTGATATGAAACCCATAGTGCATCAGTAGGCTACTCCATAAAAAGAGAAAATTGTATGGAAGTGCAAAGTCGACAAGCCCGCGTGCGCTTTCGGGCTATTGCGCTGTCATTTGCCATGAGACGCAGCGACAGCGCGTTTTGTGGGGCATGCAAACCGGTATCTGTGGCGCTTTTGATTGTAGCGCCTGTGGTGAATGTGGATGTGGTGTCCAATTTCTTTGGTCGGTGTCTGCAGTGTCTATGACTTATGCCTATGCGGCTGGTGTGTGTGTTGTGTCTATGGCTGGTGTTAATGTGGATGGGGTGTTTGCTGTGTCTATGGCTCGTGTTAATGTGGCTGGTGGTGTGTGTTGTGTCTATGGCTAGTGTTAATGTGGCTGGTGTTGTGTCTATGGCTGGTGTTAATGTGGCTGGTGTGTGTTGTGTCTATGGCTAGTGTTAATGTGGTTTGTGTGTGTGTTGTGTCTATGGCTAGTGTTAAAGTGGCTGGTGTGGGTTGTGTCTATGGCTTGTGTTAATGCGGCTGGTGTCTGTGTTGTGTCTATGGCTAGTGCTAATGTGGTGTGTGTTGTGTCTATGGCTAGTGTTAATGTGGTTTGTGTGTGTGTTGTGTCTATGGCTAGTGTTAATGTGGCTGGTGTGGGTTGTGTCTATGGCTTGTGTTAATGCGGCTGGTGTCTGTGTTGTGTCTATGGTTAGTATTAATGTAGTGTGTGTTGTGTCTATGGCTAGTGTTAATGTGGTTGGTGTGTGTGTTGTGTCTATGGCTAGTGTTAATGCGGCTGGTGTGTGTGTTGTGTCTATGGCTAGTGTTAATGTGGTGTGTGTTGTGTCTATGGTTAGTGTTTATGTGTCTGGTGTGTGTTGTGTCTATGGCTAGTGTTAATGCGGCTGGTGTATGTTGTGTCTATGGATAGTGTTAATGTGGATGGTGTCTCTGTGGTGTGCATGGCTGGTAGTTGTGATTACTGTGCCCGGTGTTTGTGCCGTCTGTGGTTTCTGCACAGAACTCGGGGCCGCTACGGGCACGGGGAGATGTTCACGTTCGCGCTCACCCTCGTGCTCATCCAGTGCACAAGTGGCGCTGCGTTTGCCAAGATGAGTGAGTGTGTGGCACCAACACGCGCATCTGCAGGTGCTCTCATTACAAGCAAAGGGAACCTTAATAGTGCAATGTAACAATACTACTGCTGTATTTGATATAGATTTTGAATTACAATACACAAAACAAGGCTTTGAAATGTGCATTGTAATACATTTTAGATCTGGACTAATCGTATATATGCCTTAACCCCGAATGCTACATATATGCATGCGTATATAGCTGTATCTAACCATAACCCTATTAATTTCACAACTATTTGTCATTCCACTGTTGCATACCTAAATTAATCTATTTACCTAACCCCAACCCTCGCTAAAATCCCAATTACATGCATATATTTTTCTTCCCATTTATGGAGGTAAAATTCTAAATGTTTGGGACGAGAGTCGTGGGACCCGTTCGTTTGCAGAGGACAGCGGAACCATCTCACTATGGTCACGGGATGTCAACAACCTCGCCTGCTATACAGGAGGTCGTGGGTTCGATCCCGACCCTGACGCCTGCTGCTGTATATTTGGAGTTTACATGTTCACCCCGTGGTCGTGTGGATTTTCCTCCGGGTCTTCCGGTTTTGTGTTTAGAATATTTGGCTCCTCTGCATTTCCACACGATAAGCCACTTCGTTGAGATATAAAAATTTTTTACCAGGGTAAGGCCCACTGAGCTATTTAGTTATTTTTCAGAAGTAACCTAGCCACAGATGATAGCTAAATGAAGTGGCTTATCATGTGGAAATGTATAGCAGCCAAATACTCTAACGCATGTCGTTTATAAATGTGGAAGGGAAAGCCAGAGGACCCGGGGAAAGAGACATGCAAACTCCAAATATACAGGCATTGTCAGGGTCGGGATCGAACCCACGGACCTCTTGCATAGCAGGAGAGATGGTTAACATCTCGCCACCGTGCTTTCATTTTGTGCACCAGGGCCCCATGCCAAGCAATCTATGCCAATGAAATAGGATGCAGGGAACTTGAACCTTGAACCTAACCTCAGGCAGAGAACTCAAGAAGGAGGAAGGCAAATGTGCGGCGGTGTCCTCCTCTGCCACGCTCAGTGAGATGCTGTGCACCCACCCCGGGCGTGGACCACACGGCGCAGTGGATGTACATGGCGTGCGCACTCACCTGCCTGGGGGCCATGGTCTCTGGGAACGTGGCCCTGCAGTTCATCCACTATCCCACCCAGGTGCCCCCCCAACCCCCCTCACCGCCCCTCAACATGCAATGCGCTCACCCCACTCACACTCTCACAAAGCATGCATGCGTTCACTCCTCGCACTGCTCCCACTTTGGAATTCCATGGCATCGTCACTTTTCCCAGTTTCTTAGAACGTTGCTCAGTTCGAAGAACGTATTAACCCTTGTCTCTTAACACCATCAATAGCGCTGTTTGTTACTAGCTGCTGAGCATTTTGGGTGTTTGGGCTTGGGCTTGCGCTGAGCAACTGTGATTGGGTGCATTATGCAGAATCTCACACAGCAATTAAATGCATTGACCAGCAACATCAGCTATCTGCATATTTTATTTAACAGGCCGAACTCTGCAGATGATGCTCTGAAAATGGAACCCAGATATGTGGTTTTCCGAAGGAAACAAATACTGCTGGGAAACATTGGTCCAGAAGGCCCGTAGGCTGGTGGTCTTAGTTGTTTTTGTTACGTGCGTGTTTGGTGCCGAAGCAGACTCTATTTATTGTTTTAATGAAGAAAACATAAGTTGTAAGCTCTCTGAACGCGAGAACGCATCGGAGAGTTACAGCTTGTACACGAGTCGCCAATCTTACACAGCTTGCCAGTGGCAATTGGCAATCAGATCTTTCTGTTTTTGCAGCCAGCATTATGTATGTTTGTTGAATATATTTCCCACCGTACTTAGCCAACCGTGCTATGATAATATGTACTTGATTTCAATGAAGAATATGAAAGGCAAATTCTCTTTTTTTGGCACTTTAGAATATGGGATAGAGTATATTTCACACCTCTTAAACAATCAACGAATTATTAATATCAGGTATGAGACTGTAATATTGTTTAGTTGAGTTATTGTTATAATAATATACAGATTTGGTACATTTATTGTTTACTATGGTTTCCCAGTAGTAATTATTTTTGCATATATTTTTTTCTTCAGGAAATACATGCAAAAATGAATACCAAATGTGTACGTTCTTACAAAAACATTATCCTAGTCACAATCAGGATACAAATATACGCATCCTCAATGTTTCTAAAATAAATGCATTTAGGATGGACTGAATTAGTTTTTTCACACATCGAATTAATCTACATGTGACAAATTACATTCAATTACAGCTATAGTCAGGACACTGCTATCACAACAACAGTGAATGACCGCAGTAGTGTCAGTGAAAGACAAATTCCATTTACGAAACAGTAAAATGCTCAACCCATACAAATACAACTGTGCAAATTATGTTGATGGGAATCCAGTGGTGAAGAAAGCGATGAATGCACACAGAGAATGGCTGAATTAGCATCACTCGATGGGACAAAGTGATGTTGCATCAGACTTGTCCTTGTTTTGAGAACCAAAGTAATTGAATGCGAGTGGGGAATTGGTTAATGTCGTATTAACCTTCGCGTCTTTGTGTGTCTGTGTGTTTAGGTGTTGGGGAAGTCATGTAAACCGATCTCAGGTCAGCGCTTCCACGTTAATTGCCTTGAAATGTGTTTTGCTTTCCTGACACAAACGAGGAACATCTGCCCGCTCACATAATCACGGCCGCTGGGCAATGAAGTCATTACACACGCCCGAAAGAAAACGTAGTTAGCGACGCACCTACGATTAGCACGGTTGGCTGCGTACGGTGCGAAAGAGGTTCAACACAAAAAAACCGTGCAGCGCATTGGTCCACGCGAGGTGACGAACACGCGGCGGGTTTAACAAGATTCACGCCGTGGCCACTCGATGAATTGTCGCGATTGAGGATCGACAAGCGTTTTAAAGAGTAAACGCTTTAACATTGAGGTGAAATAATTTAGATAAATAACAAAATCGATTTCAGACATTCTCAATCCAAACTGTTTGGTTTTTTCGGTAAAGTCACGTAGGTGAAAATTAAATAAATAAAAATGAAAAACAACTAAATTAAATCTACTACAGTGATTTTGGCTGGAACGGTTCCACCTGAAGACGGAAGCTTGTGTTGCCTCCGAAACGTCGTGATTTAATTTAGTTGTTTTTCATTTTAATTTTAATTTTATTTTCACCTACGTGACTTTACCGAAAAAACCAAAGAGTATGGATCCTTGCAGTCACAAAAACTTCAAATCTAGAATTCTCAATCCAGTTATGGGGATTTTGACCATACTTCACCACCGTGGTCAATGTTGATTGGTAATGGGAGGGGGGTGAGTAGCCGTGGCCAGGAATCTGGTTTATAGCACGGCACGCTGATCAATGTACCACTGCTCTATTACATATAACATGAACAAAAAAAAACATTTATGTTAAAAATGAACATTAATAGATTAATGCATGGGTCGCTACACCGATTGCTGCTGCATGAGAGCATAGAGCACCGCTGATTGTTCACAAGGGGACAGCGAATGGAGCTCTCGATTTTCAGCAGATGGCAGCATTTGTTTACAACAAAAAGGCCACTACAACGCACGCCCCTTGGCACAATTCACAGCGGTACAGAGCGCATACCCGCGAAGGCAGTGTGTGCAATCGTCGCAATGACAGCATTAACCGCTACGAAACGCGGACCCCCTTGTTTGCGTAAACGGCGGTGACACGGTGAACATTTATCATTGTTTTCCCCACTGATTCACCTTCGCCGTTCGCTGTCCAGCCAATGCCCGTCCGCCACGTTCAGCACAGCCACGCACACCGCACGCGGCCCCGAACCCTCCCCGTGTGCTAAACGCGTCCGCGCCTCTGCGGGCGCAATTGCCCTTAACAAAATCACGACGCCGCTCCCCCCCCCCCCCCCTCTGCCTTGCAGTGTTCCTCCTGGGCCTCGTGTTTGCGCGCAAGAAATACCCCGTGGCCAAGTACCTGTGCGTGCTGCTCATCGTGACGGGGGTCACCCTGTTCATGTACCGCGACGGCGCGGCGCGCGCGGGGACGTCTGCGCTGCGAGGGGTGGGGGTCGGAGAGCTCCTGCTGGTGGGCGAGGCGTCAATTTGTCCCGCTGTTACCATCGTTGGCAATCGCTTCTGTGCCCTGGCACGTTGGCATCGCGCAGAGAGTGGGCGGGCAGGCGGATAGGTGGGGGGGGGGGGGGCAGTCCGGCCCAGGCACAGGTGCCCGCGCGCGCGCGCGTTAATGCGGCATCTGTCACGGCATCGTTCAGGTCGTTGCGTTTCGAGTCGTGCGCCCGAAGCTGGCGTCTAACAGGGGCGGGGGGCGGGGGGGTTGATCGTTGCCACCGTGCGCACGTGGCGTGCTTCACGGCGACGTGATTCAACGGAGCTAACGAGGGGTGGCGAATGTGGCTCAGGAGGGCTTGTGATGTTGGGTGGCTGAGCTCGGGTGATTGGCACGACCTGGATTCATCATGCAGGGCGTGTGAGAGGGTGTGTTTGCAAGGGGTGCAGTATTTGGTAATGAGTTATATGTGTTGACTTAAAGCTTTCGTGACTGCAGGAGTTCGTATTCTTTGGGTCTTTCGGTAAAGTCACGTAGATAGGTTCAAGGAAAAGAGCAAAAAACTACGATGTTTCGATCGCAACACAAGCGTTCGTCATCAGGAAAAGGGGGTTACCTTCTAAAGGCAAGCTGTTTATAAAGGTTGAAATGGTCGGAAATACATCGGGCTCTGTGGTGTAGAGTTTTGATGAGGGAATTATTTTGGGAAGGATTGTTTTTGCTTTGCGATCTTTCATTAACATGCTAATGTCTCACATTAACATGCTAATCTCTCACATTAACATAGCCACCTCCGGGCGCCCACTGTGGAGGCCTCTCAACGATCTCACATTATCATGCAAATTTTCGCTGGGCAGCCCTTTGATTGGTGGGAAAACCCACCACCGTCGCGGCCGCTGCCCATCACTCTTTACATTCACATTGGCTGCTGACATTTGGGCTACGTCCATTTCAACCCTTTATAAACAGTTTACCTTTAGAAGCTAACCAGCCTCTTCCTGATGACGAACGCTTGTGTTGCGATCGAAACGTCGTAGTTTTTAGTTATTTTTTGTAATTTTCTTTGAATCTATCTACGTGACTTTACCGAAAGACCAAAAGAATATGAGTTATATGTGAATATATATTTTTTAAAACACCGTAGAAGGGAAATAATCAAATTATAAAAATAAAACATAATAAAATACAATTCTCACGACGTTTCGGCCACGGCTGCTTGCGTTGTGGCCAAAACGTCGTGAGAACTGTATTTTATTATGTTTTATTTTTATTATTTAGTTATTTCTCTTCTACGTGACTTTACCGAAAGAACCAAGAAGATGAATCCCTGCAGTCACGAAAGCTTTAAATCGAAATTTTTAAAATACCGTTCAAATATTTCAATTTGCATACGATGCAAAGCACATTTCAGCAGCCGTAGGATATTACTGACTACTACTGCATGTTCAGTGGATACTGCACCTGCTATGTGATGAAGGGACACCAGAGGGTGCTCATCGGGTGCGCGGGTTGAGTTCGGGAACATTGCACGTTTTGGACACGGTTACGGCTGGGAAACGTTTCGGAAACATAAATTCATAACTGAACAGTTATTGTGACCGCGAATCGATTGACACGAAGAGTGAAGGGCGTATCTAGCTTTGATTTGGTTGGACTCCTGTTCCAAATAAGATAGGAGCAGGGGGTAGCAGATTCAGCATTGCATTCCTGTAATTAAAACTACCATAACGATACCATATTCACATCTTAGCGACAGATTCCCTCCGAGTTAATGTGACATCTGCTGTTCCTCTGAAGAGTCGCGCCTCGCGCCGTGGAGACCGAAGCATGAACGTGGGTTCTCCTCTGCACTCTTTACCGTTCGAGTGGCATCTGATAGGCACTCATTGGTGTGCAAATCAACAATTAAAATAGATAATTTTGCTCACGTGAAACTTTTAGAAATGTGCATGCGAGAATCGATTAGTTACAATTTAGGAGAAGTAATGAACACGTTAATGTTACATTTTGAGGTTAATGGAGCGAACAACATTGCAAAACAAAACAGAAAGAAACAGATTTTTGAATCACTGCCGCAAATCGTGACGGTTCATTGAATCACTGGGAGGCGGGGGGCAATGATGATCCATGACATTCTTTGCATCTCCCATTAAAAGCCACTGAAAATCAAAACCTTGTTGGGGGGCATGGACGTCTGTGTGGGGAGACAAAGGCGTCCGGGTCGTGGCGCAGACCACACCACCCCCTCGTGCGCTATGGCAGCCTTGATATGCGCTCACTTGCCCCGACACTCCGTGTAAACTACACGGGGGACCTTTGTCTTGTGTGTGTCTCCCCAAGCTGTGCTCCCTGGTGCTGGATGGACTCACGGGGGTGCTGCAGGAGCACATGAAGCTGCGGCACCAAACCGCCTTCCTCCACATGATGTTCCACGTCAACGCCTGGTCCTCCCTCGCCCTGGCCCTGCGTAAGAATCCCACCCCACGCTGCGTCGTGAAAAGATGACGCGGGCACAGATGGTGGGCCGTGGTCCAGACGCCTTGATTGCAACCATTTGGGCAGATAGGCGGTGCTTGAGACGGCTGTGTGGTGTGTCACGCCGCTGCTCGATTTGCTCCAACTTGCATTTTAGGTTTCTCTTTTGTACTGTTATATATGTCTTGGGTCTGCACGTGCTGTTTAGATTTATATGGTAACCCTGTTCAGCTTCCTCCTAAAATGCCTGTAGTAGATATAATTCAAACAAGCCTGACTCTGCTGATGAGACACTGTATGTCGAATACGGTGCAGAGTTTGCTTGTCTTGAAACAGTGCTGCTGAGATGATGTACTCTTCCAAGGCCGTGAAGATGATGGGTTGTGTAGGAAAGTGACGTGCGGTGAGGTCAATGGCTGACCGAACGTCCCTGGTGTAGGAAAGTGAAACTGTTCTACGTGGAGACGAATATGCGCAAGGAGGCGTCGTCCGCTCATTTATCTTGCAGTGTTTCGACGCTTTGAAATCCAAATCAGTACCACTATTTGCCATTCTACCTTTCCTGTATTGAGATGGTCTGTTTGTATGGGCGGTCATGTGCATTGATCTGTGGGTGCAACTGCTGCCTGAGGCGGGAGTTGAACCCAAGGTCTTCTTCCTATGAGACACTGATCCATCTTGTCGAACTGACAATGCCCCGATGATTACGCACGCTTTCATACATAACGCCATTTTTGTTATAATCATTGGTACATTTAGAAAAAAATTACTGTTCATTATTTCTATTTACAAATACCATCGTTTGCCTTATACGTTTACTTTTTTAGTCCTATGTATTTACAAGTCAGATCACTGATGTGCAATTGGAATGCGGTGTAGTTATATTTATTTAGTAATGTATTAATTATCAATTACGGTAAAATAAATTAAATCAATTGATGATGTAGTGATCTGCAGGATTGAAACATCTTTTCCCAAATAAATAATATTGCATTAAAAATATCCCCCAGACTTAGTTAAATAGATTAAATGTCACCATGATGTTGACTAGCACAGAGGTTTGCGCTGGTCAATTAACAGATAAACTTGCTTGACTCATAAAAGTGATTAAAAACAAATGTAGAGGCTGGGGTGGTGGGTGGGGGATCACACTTGCAGCTATTTGCTAATCCAAGAATAATTCTACACGGGATTATTCTTGTTAATTTACATTTCGCTTGTTGCATCTATACACACACACACATTCATTTTCCTCCCCGATAATTGAACTTTATATCAAACACAAAATGCTCCCATTACATACAATGGGCGTTCTTCGAACGAGGCCTATAAATAAAATAATCGCGTGGTGATTTGAGTGACGCGAACCTCCAGCTGAGCCCGTGGCGAGGCTGGGAGTGTTCGGGACGGCATGCCGCGCGTGTAAATGAGAAAGGGGACACCACGGGCTTGTGCGGAGAGGCTCGTCGCTCACTGCCTCGTCTTGTGTGCCCACTCAAAAGGAGACGGCGAAACCTAATTACTCAAATAACCCCCCCCCCCCCCGATGCTTGCTTATACAGGGCGGTCCAGATGTCTTGTGACCCCCCCCCCCCCCCAATTAATTCACCCCGAACATGTTTTTTTCCTTTGCATATTCATTTCTGTTTTAAATAAACCTCATTATTAAAACAAATATTACGTTTTTTTGGCGTCATCTCGTCCAACCCATGTGAGACTCGGCTCTAAGGAAAGCTGTCTCGGGTGTGGACCAATCAATTTCAAGGACAGTGCATACATTATCAGAGTTGTGTTTTTTGTTTGCATTATGACTGCAGGTATTGTGTTCTATGCAAACATGACTCCTTGTAAAAAAAAGTGTCAGTTTTGTTGCCAGATAAAAGGGTAAAAACCCAATTATCAAATATTAAGTTTTTAAGAATTAAATGGGGGGGGGGGGGTCACAATACATCTGGACCACCATGTGGATTCGTGGCAGATTTCTCTCGCGTTGACAACACGCGGCCACTATTTGTGACACACGGAAGGAGCCCCGATGGCAATTGCGTGCGTGCACGCGTGTCCCGTGCAACTCCCTGGCTTATATCTCTTTGCCTTCATTCCCTGCGAATGTAGCAATGACGCCTTAAATTGCACGGGGGACCTTGACGGATATGCGCACGACGTACCGTGCTTGCCCTGGGTTGAGGCTTCACAGTCGTTGCACTCCGATAAAAATCTGAAACGTATTTACGAGCTGGTTGATGTCGCCTTTTAAATTCAGCCAAGAAAAAGGAGAAGCCGTTTTGAAACTGATCGCAGTGCGCATTGTAATGTAAGGAACCAATTCTACAAATAGGTTTCAAGCCCGCACAAATGTATGATTTATGGGAAAGTTACGTCATTACTAGAGCACGTTGGACATTTTACATCGAAGGTGGCCTAACCGGACGCGATGTTGACGTCGAAAGCAATAATTCACACGTTGAGTGTGAACTGAGAATGCAACATTTTTGTGTAAAATATGGAAAATGTTAAGAATTACTGCATTTTTCTAAAAAAAAAAACCTATCGAATCTCCAGATCCACTCCAACAACGTGTTGTAATCGAATGCAACAATGCTGTCACACACGATAATTATAACACAATTGTAGCGAGTTTAAGTCGGTGATAATAATCACCATCAACTCCATTGCCCAATCAAACAATCATTCACACACACACTGCTCACATTCGATAACGCGTTGTGTATCGTGCATACTTTGTCGTGCGTCTCACAGTTGCTTTCAGTAATTTTTTGCAGAAGTGCCAGCAGGCTCAGTGGTGGTATGGCGGCCGGTATCATGTCGTGCCTGCAAATAGAGATGTAACACCCTGGGATTCCATAACAATCTGCATTTGTCACTTATTATGCCGTTTATTTGCACACTTCTTCGGAGAGAAACTACATCTAACATGATGAGTCGCAGGCTGCACTTCTCATTTTAGACTTTATTTTCACTTATTTACGTTTTAAAAAAAAAGAGTTCAATGCCATCACTGTTGGGATATTTTGAGTCAACGGTCTGTTGTGTGTTTTTTTTTTATTTCGCATTAGCATGGCTGCCATTAAAGAGGATAATTATGACTGCCATGTTCGCATTAATAAGGAACATTTTTCAGGGTGTGTTTTGTTTGGCGTTAGGTGCGTGCACCCACTGATCTCCGCACCTGTCCCTCATCTGTCGCTGTCTGCTACTGCATGCCGTGCTCGGTAATTACCAGCAACTCCGGCCAACAGCACAGCGAGATGGCGACAGCGAGCTCTGCCCCCCTTTGTCTGTGCGGCAAAATCTTTGAGGTTTGGCAGGGATCGTAAACATCCATTTGGATTTACATTACGCGAGAGGAGAGGAGGGGGGGAGGACGTGAAAAAGGTTCCTATTGTGGTTCTATGTCCACAAGCTCAATACTGAGAGCGTAACATCACCCCACGCTTTTTTGTACACATTGGTCCTCTGTGCGTAAATGTTATTCCCACTTGCATAACAAACCCAACACCTTTACAGCATCGGTAAAAAAACAAATCAATATTCGAGAAGAGGTAGAAGCAGACATCATAATGAAAGTAAACAGTGCATCAGACACCGGTAGTTGTTGGTCAGCTTCATGATGCACTCCAGGCAGTTTAATTTGCCATGCACAGCAGATGTAAGTGAATACAGTGCATGGAGCAGTGTTATATATCTCGGCAGAGGTCAGGTGTTTATAACGACAACAAAATTGGGCTTGCCTGAAACCTCCTGTCGCAGCACAGAGGTTCCCAACCATTGCGATGGTGAAAGTGGATACAATCGGTCCTTCCCGTGGGTCAGAGGGCAGTAGCCATAGCGTGGTCACGTGGGATGGATCTATCCTGGAAACAGTTCACGCAGTAACTTGGGCCCACGTAGGTGCATACACTCTTCTGTAATTTTTCCAAAAGCCTATCATTCCTCAGAATCATCATCCCATGGTTAGGTCCCCTTTGAAATACACATCGACTTAATATGCATTCACAATTATTAATCATTGGCAATATATTGACATTATTCAACAAAATAATTAAACACTTGTGTAACGTGTCACCTCCTGTGTTAATTACTCGTGTCAAGCCGTCGATTTCACTATTCCAGCCAAAAAGGAATGATTCAATAAGCTATAATTTTAAATAGCCATAAAATAAGTGAAAACTGTATCACGTACAACTAGCATGAGAGTATACATGGTTATCCATGAATAGATATCCCACTAAACAGAGGTGTGGACTCGAGTCATGTGACTTGGACTCGAGTCAGACTCGAGTCATGAATTTGATGACTTCAGACTCGACTTGGACTTGCATAACAATGACTTTGTCCCACCTCTGAGGTGTGGACTCGAGTCATGTGACTTGGACTCGAGTCAGACTCGAGTCATGAATTTGATGACTTCAGACTCGACTTGGACTTGCATAACAATGACTTTGTCCCACCTCTGCCACTAAATACTATAAATTATAGAGTAAACATCTCTCCCACCATCCATGCTTAACCACCTCCATTTTCTGCATCCTTGTAACGATATGGAGCCGTCGCTTTCACAATATTCAATCGCCTCTTGAAAAGAAACAGGAAAATTACAAATGGACCACCCCGTATAACATGGCAAGAGATGTGGACAATCAGTACTGTACTGCGCGTGTCCAAGAGGACACGTGTTCTACACTGAGTGGTTCCAATCCGTAGGATGTGTGTTAGCAGAGCAGGTTTGCTGCGTTCATAATGTTTTGTGTGAACATTGCTGCGACATCGCAATATGGTCGTTGGGGCATAGCTATCGAGTGAGCAGGGAACGCAAATGCAACGGGACATGAGGAGCAAGCGCCAGGAGGGAGGTCCAGCCACCGGCCTACAAAGGATGGTGGGGGGTGGTAGAATTGGCGTCATCTGGTCCAACACCACGTGAGACTAGGCTCTAAGGAAAACTGTCTCGGGTGTGGACCAATCAACTCCCAGGACAGAGCATACATTATCAGAGTTATGTTTTTTGTTTGCATTATGACTGCAAGTATTGTGGTCTATGCAAACATGACTCCTCGTAAAAAAAGGTGTCAGTTTTGTTGCCAGATAAAAGGGTAAAAAAAAAACAATTATCATATTTTTTACTGGTAAATGAGGTTCCAATGGTGGGGGGTGCTAGAATTGGACAGGGGGGCTACGTTTCTTTCTGTGCGCCAAGGTCCGTGGCAAGCCGCGCACGTGGCACCGGATTTCATTTCAGCAACATACCAAGCAAGCAATCGTTGGCAAAAGCGTGAGTTCCTGCAAGAAATTACTCGGCGTGCCCACACATGGTGTGAAACGTTCTAATGCCCTCTCCCGATTTTCTCTCCACCCGTAGCGGTCGTGTTCACGGGGGAAGGCTGGCACTTCCTCCTGTTTGCACAATGCCACCCCGACATCGTCTTCCACGTGGCGCTGTTCGCAGCCACCAGTGCAATGGGCCAGGCAAGTGAAATGCGTCGAAGGGGTTAAGGAGGACAATGACAGCTTTGTGAACGTTTGGTCGTGTTATCGTCACGTTTTAATACGCAGGCTGTCGCAACCAATATTATCCATAATAAAGGTACCGGTAATTACAAGCGAAAGGTCGTACTCCAATTCTAAATGTTGTGGGTTTACTACTCTCCAACACACCGGTGTGCTGAAGTAGTAACGAATTGGCACTTACCAGTTGGCTGTGTCGAGTGGTGGCGGGTTTAACGACGCATTTATATTTACCCGATCTAACCCAAAAACACCTTTGGGGCCGTCCATAAATGGCGTCACGCGAGTTTGGACGATTTTTTACCCCCCCCCCCCCCTTCGTCACACGGCGTCACAAAAAGTCAGACCCCCCCCCAAAATATATAAAACATGCTTCAAATCGCTTTAAACTATTGTCATTGTAGTGCGTATTTAATGTGGCGCTGCACTCTGATGTTGTAGAAGAATACATTTATTAAAAAGTCTATTTAATTAAGTAGAACGTGTTGTCTATATTTATTTAAAGTTGCGCATTTTGATGTGACGTCACATTTCTCACACCCCCAACCCCCCTCTTGTCACACATTGTCACAAATGTCTGACCCCCCCCCCCCCCGGTACGTGACGTCATTTATGGATGGCCCCTTTATGGATCGACACTTTTGTTTAAAAAGTGCGAATCACGTGACGTAATGCCATTCTTAACCCAAACAATTAAAGTGCACTTGATGGAAACCGTCTCTTTTGAACATTACGAACACAATCGAGTCGGTGTAAATCAGCACCCATATCTAAAGTGCAATAGATATACGGCAGTATTAATAAGTACAGTGATACAAAGCAGTAATATAAATCGTGTACAATACGTGCGGGTACTGCAACCTCTTCTGTGACCTCTTGCCGGCATCAAGGGGAGGCCAACATACCCACTCGATATTCTTGGGTTTTTTCGGTAAAGTCACGTAGGTAAAACATCCACCTGAAGACGGAAGCTTGTGTTGCCTCCGAAACGTCGTGATTTTTATTTTATTTTACTTTAATACATTTTTATTAAATATTTTACCTACGTGACTTTACCGAAAAAACCCAAGAATATGAATCCTTGCAGTCACGAAAGCTTCAAATCTAGAATGAATACCCACTCGAGTGCCCTTCCGCTAGCAGTGGCGTGTGGACAATACCTTGCAAGACCGTAGCCTGCCTGGTACCTTCTTTACAATACTGTATTGGGAGAAATAAACAACCAAAGTCAAGAAGTGCATAAAATAGTGTCTATATATGTAAAAAAAATAAGTTCAAACACAAACTATAATGAGACAGAGTAGTGATAAGAATGTGTTTGTACAAGTCAAGAGTATGGAAATCTGACCCTTAAGCAGCCAATATGGCGTGTGCCACATGGCTCTGTTTCCTTCCATACGGTTTAACGCAGATGCTAAAAAAAGGCCACGCTTCCCAGCCATACGGCTGATCGACGCTTGCCGCTGATGAGATGCGAGGCTGTTGCTGCCTAGAGACTCGCGAATAATGAGACGCGGCTCCTCATTGTCGATTGTGACCTGGGGCTTGTGTAAAAGCCACAGTGTCGGCCCCTTGATCTCAGGTTGAGATTGCAGACGCGTGGGAGACTTTCCTTATTTGAGTAACGCTAAACTGGTTTCATTTGCTAATGGATTCAGTGTGCACAACTTTACCCCATAACCATCGGTTAAGGTGCCCAGATGGTATTGCCACAAGGTTTTTTTTTTTACATCATATTAAAAATGTCAACCTGGGAGGCAATTACATGTGTTCCATATGGTCTGTGGTTATTTTTGAATAAACCTTCATTTCCATATTCGTGAAGACTTCAGAAATAGGGATTGAGCAGTTTCGAAACCGACATGCTGAATTACAGCGCAAAGTATTCAGAGAAACATATAATTTGAGAAAATAAATGTAGCGCGATGGCATGGTTTAACATTTAGGTATACAACATTATTAAGCGTTAAAGTGGTTAGCAAAGATTATACGAGCTGTTTCATGCCACGGGTGTATGTCAGTGGGCAGTGAAACTTCTGGCCAGAAATGTCACCATGCAATCACGAAAAAAATCAGCGGCTGCGTGACTTTATTACTGGAGCATAATTTCATTTCGTAAGAACTTCGTGACAGCGATGTAGAAATTAATACTGGTCGCAAATACAATACGTAAGACTATTTAAGTTGTGTTGGCCATTTCATAGCAGAACCTTTTTAGCATGAGCAATGTGCATCTTTCGTGAGGATACACTCTCCTCGCAAGGCAAGCAATCACAAGTGTAACAATTTAACAAACATTGATTTACCATTTACTATTTTGAATCATTTATTCAAAAATATTTTTTTATGTGTAATTAACATTAATATTTTTATCACTAAAATACACGCGTTTATTTTAACGTCATACCGGACTGAAAATGCTTTGATACAACTTTACAACAAATTAGTTTTACAGCAATAAAATAGCAGCGTAAATGATTTTGCGATAATTGCTTACAATGTTAGAATTTTTCCAGTTTTGTGCATCTGGCGAATGCATCTGGGTGCAGTTTGCGTTAATAAAAGTTGGTATGTATATAACCATGAACCATTCTAATTACTGTAAAATGGCTGTACAAAATTACTTATGAAGCAAAATTTTAATCTCACACTTACACGTAATCCACCAGGCTGATTGCAGTCAGCTATAACCGATGGAAACGACTTAACCCTAATAAGACGCTTTTCAGTATATGCAAAACCTTTTCTTTTGTGATAGCACAAACTGGTTATTTTTAATGCATAACAAATGAACAATATAAAAACATCATGCTTCAACTATAATTGTCTGCAGTTTAAAAAAAATGGTTTACTGTGCTGTACATTAGCGTGGGTTTACATACATATATAAACTGTGTAAGTATAAACATGTGCGAGACGAAGATGACGAGAACCCATTGCACGCTGCATCAACCCCCTCCACGCAGGCATTCATCTTCATGACGGTGGTGACCTTCGGCCCTCTGACCTGCTCCATCTTCACCACCACGCGCAAGTTCTTCACCGTCCTCACGTCCGTCGTTCTCTTTGGCAACCCAATGACAGGCCCGCAGTGGTTTGGCGCTGTGCTCGTATTCTTAGGTAACGTTTTGTTTGCAATTTCACGACACTAAATTGCATTGCCATTACATAAGATCTGCACCATAAATCCGCATTGATACTTCCCATTTGCGCATTTGTTAACCCATTAAAAAAAGTGTGTTAAAACAAAAAGGAACGTAAGCATATAAGTACTGCTAAGACGGTTAATTGGCGGCGGTATTTTGACGAACGTTTCAACGTCATGTCCGAAGCCGTTGAAGTAACCATTAACATTTGTGTCCGTAAAATATGCACACAATGTATTTAACCGATCATATAATTAACTTCCGGTTTGCACAATAGCACTGTTCGTATAATGCAGTGTGTCATCCTAATATGCGAGTGTTGCAAATAATCCGAGGGAAGGGAACCCGTGCATCTGGAATGCCGGCATATAGGCCAAGTGCCTATATTCCTGCACCTATTGCAACATAAAGCATCTATCGAGCATGCTTCCAGAGATTTGCAATGATTGCTTTCATTAATTTGTCTTCGTGTTTTTTTTTTCTTGCAGGTCTTGGCTTGGATGCTAAATTTGGACGTTTGTCAACACCGCGATAACCCGATATGAAATTGCATTATTTTCTACACTTTAAATTATAGCAGTAACATGTTATCACGATTTATTTTGAGCGCGCTAAATAAGACTTATATTGCGATAACCATGCATTTAATCACGAAGCCAAAAATAAAGCAAATAACTTGAGTCTCACAAGTGGCAGCTGAGAACTTGTAAGCACATCATTGTTAAAAAATCCACACGATTCGCAAGATTTAAAGAAGGCGCGTATGCATAGTGTGAAAGCGAAAATGGGATAAATCCCAACTGTTTATTTTTTTACTTGGGAAATGTGCATGAGTCATGGAGGTGGCAGAACATTGTGTAAATTACAAATTATGTACGAGTGAAATAACATCAGAATTCTTACAAATAACATGGACCCATGACATGTGGCAAGAAGATTGTAGTCCAGGTATTGTAACGTCTCTGTGTCATACAGCATATAGTTTTCATCTGGCACTTTACTCATTGCTTGAACGCATTACTTTGACAATAATCTAGAGGCAAGGGGGTGGGGCACTTTTCGCCTTATTTTTTTATTGTCATTCGCCACAAAACAATGGAAGGCATTTTATAAGAAACACGTGTTGGACATTTTCTGCACGTATTACATACACGTTCCAGGTTTCAGGTGAGCAGTTTGGGCAGGTTTTTTTGATGAACCACTATGCTGTTATCAACATTGTAACAATACTGAAAATATTCAGTTAAAATTAAAGGATCAAGAGCTTGCATTTATAGGGCACTTCAATACCATGGCATTGCAAAGTGCCTTAAATAAAGCACAAAATGGAAGGGTGGCACAATGTTTTGAGCCAAATGTATCAAGGAAATACCAGAGACCATTAATTTTATTGCAACTTATGTTAAGATTACTCAAAACAGTTGGGTAACAATATACTAAATTGATTTGTTCCTAATTTATCCACCAACTGCAGGTATACTATGATGGCAGATGAAATCAAGCGGTTCCTGTCATAACTTTTTTTTATACTAGAACACACTGAGCCAACGGAAATGTCTGAATTAATATAAAATGTGAAGGGGGACACCATCATACGCCATCGTTAAAAGTTGAGCTGCATAATTCTGGGGCGGCAGAAATACTCCTGAACATGACCCCAGGTTAGGGCAGCCTGTAACTTCAGTCAGTGAGGAAAACATTGAGGCTGTCCAAGACTTGGTTTTGAAAGATCAGCTTTTTACTGTTGCAGTTAGCTGCCACTTTGGGTGTGGAATTGGTGGAATCTCATATTGGCAAATGAGCAAGGCGACACAAAGAGGACAACATCTAATAACTTTTCATCACAATCCTGACCTAATGAAGGCAGACTGGGAGAGATTTAAGGGTCAATTTATTTCTGGTGATGAGACCTGAATTTAGGATAATGACTCTGAGACCAACTGGTGGTCAATGCAGAAGAAACATTCAACTTCTCCCAAACGCAAGACATTCAAAGTGCCCTGCAGAGAAGATTATGTTCAGTATTTTTGGGATGCTAAAGGTGTGTTGCATATTTACTTTACGCTACACAAGGAAGACTATCATAGGTTAATTATGCAGACTTGCTCCATCAACTGACCACTAGTCTATCAAAGAAAAGCACAAAGGTAAGATGAGAGCTGATAAATGACAATGCCCGAAAGCATTGTCATTTATCGGGCCGCACAGCAGCAGGTGAGCGGTGGCCCGCCCATTATTTTATTGACTACTTCCGTCCACGCTTCTTTCCCGCACTTGTCTCAATCACAGTGTTGGTAAGCCCACAAGCTGCTAACCCCAAGCCAAAATGAGTAAAAAAACAAACATCGCTGGAGAGCTTCTTTGAAAAGGGGGAAAGACCCAATGATGACCACCCCCCCAACCCGGTCCGTGAAAAAATTATCTTCCACGAAACCGGTCCCTGGTGCCAAAAAGGTTGGGGGCCGCTGCCCTAGAGCACACAATGTAAGTTGCAAAGGCTGCTGTCAAACTACCACATTCTGCCTATTCTCCACAAATTGGAATGCAGTGACTTTCCCCAGCTTCCCGAATTAAAGGAGCATCTGCTTGGACCCCGTTTTGACGAAAATTACGTGTTGAAGGAGGCTGTTTAAGGGTATCTGAATGGGCTGGAATTAAAATAAAAAATGTGAGAATTTTAAAAAATGTTAGAAACAATATGTAAAAATACATTGCGAACGAGGGTAACTTACGTAAAATAACATCGCTAATAGTGGCGAATGCATTGTATCCATGTGCGGCTTGGAACGTTCGTACTCAATTTGTACAAGCATCTGACCCATTTTTCTGAAACTCAAGTCTTATGACACGTAGTGTGGAAATTCATGTAAACTGTTCCCCTGGAAATATTGTCAGAACCAACAGAATGCAAACACATTTCTAAATATTGACGCTATACAACACCACATTGTTAAGATGCTCTACGCTTCATGTAACTGCAGGCGATAAAAGGACACGCAACTTGAGGTTAACAATTTTAATTACACGCTTTTCTTCATGGCAGGCGAGGTGGATTCTTCCTTGTTTCCTTTCGCACCGTTCTCGTCTTCCTTTTGGTCTTCGTCGTTGTTTTCATCCTACAAAAAAGGAGAACGACAAAGCAGCGTTGCATGTAAAAGCAACCGGATAGAGACCTGCGCATGAAAACAGAGAGATGAGAATTGGAACACGTATTCATCATCGGAAGAAGGAAAAAAAACATCCAGAAGCAATGATGAAATCCAGAACGGTGTCATCCTTGAGAATGATTAAAAAGTTAAATCCAACTGATCTCCAAATATAACTAAAATACTTATTTCCCATGCAATCATTCAACTGATTTTACAATATTCTTTAATTTTCCAAATGGTTTTGTATGTAGTTTCTAAAAAAGTCAGGCTATAACTATCCCTCTCAAATTAGGTCTCATGGATAAATACGCACAGACATGTGCATTGTCAGGTGATGGAAGCTCATCATTAAAATAAAAGTAATATATACATTGTGTGCATAGAGAGCCATGAGATATTTTAATGTTCATATACATTTATATAAATGCCTCCCTAAAAATTTTCCGAAAATATCACATTTATAATACAGTACTTAAATACATTGAAACATGTCCTTTCATTGCCACAATGGCTGTAGATACTATTTACCCTCGAATAGAAATATTACAAGACAAACACAAAATACTTCATTGATATTGTAACACCATTCAATATTCGTGTTTACTATAAACTTCTATTCATTATATTCATTCGGATACACAGTTAAGTACTCTCCGGAAAACAGGAAACCATTTAACAGAACGCTGCTTTGGCAAGACAACGTATGCAATGCATCTTCTTGGTTCTTTCGGTAAAGTCACGTAGAAGGGAAATAATAAAATAATAAAAATAAAACATAATAAAATAAATCTCACGACGTTTCGGCCACAACGCAAGCAGCCGTCTTTCCGACAGACCTGTTCTTCACCTGAGGACGGCTGCTTGCGTTGTTTCCGACAGACCTGTTCTTCACCTGAGGACGGCTGCTTGCGTTGTGGCCGAAACGTCGTGAGAATTATTTTATGTTTTATTTTTATTATTTTATTATTTCCCTTCTACGTGACTTTACCGAAAAAACCAAGAAGATGAATCCCTGCAGTCACGAAAGCTTTAAATCGAAAAGTATGCAATGCAGTTAAGCTTGACACAAATATTATTTGTGGTGCTTGTCACCAAATGAGAGGAAGACTGCTGGCCTTGCAGGTAACGATGCGTGCATTGGGATCACAACATGCGACGGCAGCTTTCATCGACACCTCCAGGCCCAACAGTGCTTGGTGGCGTATTAATGACATAATCTACACGTTGTTAAGAAATACAATAATAATAGCTCATACGTGTAGCAGCAATACACATCACGGTGTAACATGTGCATAATAAGCTACGGCCATAAACATGTTGCGATTTAAACAGGAGGAAAATAAACATCGCAGAACCGTCGGGGCAATCTTGATACTCAAAAGGCAGTTTACATGCCAGAGTGGTTTTTAAATGTTACGAGCAGCTAAGCAAGACTGCATTTTCTGACGTGTCATTTGTTAAAACAAAAAAGCTGAAGCAGAGTAATTATGTAGACACACCTTCATGTTGACTGTGTTAAATTGCAGGCGTCTCACCGGCTACAGTTGCCTATGTAGAGTGTTTAACAACGTTAGCCTCGACTTAACTAGTCTATGAATCACTTCAAAACACATTTAAAGATTAATTGTAGAGTTGCACTTTATAAAAAAGAAAAACATCCTGATCATATGAACCTTATGGCGGGACCCCGGGGTCCCATAAGCCCCCGGCTCTTGCATAAACTTCGTTGCGACGTCATTTCATGTCTGTTGAAGGGGAACGATACGGCAATTGATTCCTCTCGACGAGCTCTACACGATGCGCTAATAAAAGTTTCAAAGTTTTGTTTCTTCTGTGCATTCGTCCTCGCTGCGCTTGGACGACATAACAGAATGATCTGTGCCAGGTGGGTCGCGGCGTTTATGTGCGCAGTGGGACGGAGTCGCCAAAAATAAATTAATTAATTGCGTTGTTTTTTTATTACTTCCGTTTATTCGGGACCCCGGGGTCCCACCATAAGGTTCATATGCGATTTACCCATACGAAGGGATATCCATACACGTATAGCCAAACTCTTCAGACGTGGAAATGGGCTGCCGATTTACCATGTGCACCAATTGAAATGGATTCACAAAATCAAGGACGACGGATGAATGGTAACAAAAAATTACCTCCGTAACGGCCCTCGTGTACCAAATTCCACCTGGATTGGCAGCCTCAACAGAGACAGCGACAACGGGAGAGGGTCAGAGTGAAGCAACACGGCCAGCAACATTACATGTTTGCACATGGATGTGGTCTGCTGGCACGCACGCTTTCTAGCCAACCGTAGAGGAAATGACTGAATGAAAAGCTTTTGTGTCCTCCTGAGAGGAGCACTACCCATGGGTTGAGAACTACTGGGGTGGAGGAAAGGTCTTGTTCCAAATGATCAGCAACCACATAAATATATGCCAATGGTCATGTACAAGTTGAAATAGCATTTTTATCGTGACAACACAAAAAGGTAAATCAGAACAAAATATAAAATATTTGTTGTAGCTTTTATCTCTATTGTGCTAATGACATGTCATAGGTGAATAAATGTACATTCAGAACTCTGCAGCTAGCAGTGCATCACTGCGTCTCAGAGAATGTCTCCGAAACTTGACGCTACAACTTCTTAAGGCACTTCAATGGACCTCTTTATCTACTTGGGAACCACTCAAAGTGAAAAGTGTGTTCATCACAGGTCGAAAACATGGATTTGCTTATTCCAGCTCAAAACGAAGTGAAACAATTTAATGATATAATGTATGTTCAGTTATTGGTGACCATGTCGAGATTATCATCTCACTGTTACGCAATATCAAGTTTTATCATGAATGACACTCTTTAGTCACAATATAAACATTCTGTGATAATTTTTCAAGCTCAGAAGGGAAATCAATGCAAATTAAACAAAAAGTTGGGTAACAAATGTGGAGAACACTTTATAAAATGCATTTTATATTCAATGCCAATAAGATTTCCATTTAAATGTTTAGGTAGTGTGCAATAATCACAGTGGATTCCAACCAAACTACCACCAGACAGTGGGCGATGTCTGCCTCTGATGGCATGCGAGAAATATATTTTAATGAGAGAACTTGTTTTGTACTCCGTTCATCACTTACCTGACAACTGCCATTGTGCTATCCACGATAATGCCAACGTCATTGATTTTGACACTACCGCATGTTCAGTCACACCAAAGTCTTTGGAAATGTAACATCCAACATAACTGGAGGGGTCTTTCAAATTTTTGGCTGGACTACACAAAGCGCCAGATATTCACGAAGATGTCTGGGACTTCTAGCGGTCCTGGGCTGGATTTTTTTTCCTTTTGAGCATCAGTTGAAACAAGGTATGCTTTGAGTATGGGTCTTAGCAGGAAAACATCACATAGAATCTCAATACACATGATGACCTTTCAGAAGCCTGCTCCTATGGTTATATGTAGACAATCTAATTGACAACTGGAAATATACTTGCTACGCTAATCCTAACTTGATGGCGTGATATGTAACATTTATACAAATGTGTAAAGGTTAACCAACAAACGGATAAGAGGTGGGATAATAGGCGGCGAGTTCGTCATCACCGCAGGGACAGAAAGAAAATGGTAAAACAAATGGCATCAAAACGTAGAAGGTAGCAAAATAAAAATGTTGTTTACATAAAATACTAAACAACAACAAACAAGAAATCACAAAAATAATTAAATACACCAAATAAATGCAGGATTAGTAAAATAAATATGTATAAAATGTACTAAAAGGTGTTTGGTACAATCCTATGAAAGTACGTGGACAAACATGCACCTACTGTTATGCAATATTAAAGCTGCAATTGTAAACTTTCAGAGTAAAATGTGTTGGAAATGCTGTTCATGATACTACCCAACAGTAAGCAGCAGCAGCGCAAATACAAGGCAAGTTGCATTTAAATTGTCGTTCCACTCATAGAACAGCACACGCCCAAAGGCGACACTTACCCACGTGCTATAAAGAAGACATCACAGAAAAAGCACCGTGGGTTACCAAGTGCAGTTTATATTATCAACATTAAGCCCGTCATATATGCAATCGCTTAACTTTGTGTCAACATAAACACTCTCACGAGAGCAGTATTTCTTAACGGTATCCCATGTGTGAGAAGTTAAGCTTTCCCTTGCATCACTGTACAAGTACACAGACCGCGCTGTAATTATTTAATGCAAGGAACAAAAAAAAATCCTCATTCAATTCGTTCGGACGGCACATGCAAATCCTCAATAAAGCCACAGTGTGAGGCGACAGACAAATTTGTGATGACAAAATGACATGGAAGTAGGTAAGAAAAGGGTGGATGTGAAAGAAATATAATGCCATTTTGTTTCCTGGTGATTTTTGACCTTAAATGACTAATTAAGAGTGCTGCCGGTGGGTGGTGCGTAGCATTGTATCAAGCTGGGTTATAGATACCAGATGTCAGTTTCCTATCTGGCACTGAGAACCTGATTATTGATTTCATCTCAGCAGTGAACTTTCACAAGGCTGCCCTTAACAAGCAAACAAATCGTGCCTAATTACCCACTTGTGCCACCATAATTGCAATACTGTCACCCTGCTCTTACCCAGCTAAAACAAAGACCTAATTACCTAGCAGCTATAGGAAAATACGGTATTTCAATATATGAGAGTAACACTACACGTTATTATTGTAGCGTTAATGTGGCCGAGAACCCATAAACAGAACCATTCTCTCATGCTGGTTAAGGTCCAGCTGTGTACTTATACCGCACTATAAATGAGATGTTTAAAACGACACCATAAATATTCAACAAGGGGCATTACTCATTAAAATAGAGAGATCCCTGGTTCATGGCAGTGAACCACTTTACTGCAAAGCAAACCATCTTATCTCACACAATTATTACTGGTGAGGTTGATGCTTACACATTAAAAAATTACATTATGGTCCGAATATAAATCATTGAGGTACATGCATAATTCAGACTTTTTTTTAAATGTCAGTGTGTTTATTTAAGTGTGTTTTTAACACCATACAATGTGTTACATTATTAAAACATAATAAAAAAATAAACACTCAGCTTGAGAGTTCTCGTACCAAAAGCAGATCCAAATAGATGCTATTTTATGAATTGATACTTGCAACACAATGCCAGATAAATATAATTAATAGTTATACCTTTAGGATATCGTGTGGCACATTTAGAATGTATTCCTGATATTTTCTGTCTTACATTTAATCGCAAGTACACATTTGTTTTCAAACATGGTAGTACATAATCTATTAATTGCGTTGTATTTAATTATGAATATACATAAAAACTCCCAAAGAAACCTAGTAGTCTCAGATTTTGTTTTAAACATGTTAGTAATGATATGTTAGTAATGATATGTTAGTAATGATATGTTAGTAATGATATGTTAGTAATGATATGTTAGTAATGATATGTTAGTAATGATATGTTAGTAATGATATGTTAGTAATGATATGTTAGTAATGATATGTTAGTAATGATATGTTAGTAATGATATGTTAGTAATGGTCAATGTCAAAGAAATTGTTTATTTGTCTTTTAGAAAAAAAAATTCATCTAGCATCATTTCTATCAAAACCATTGTGTACAAAACATTTCTTTTAAAGTTTCCATGAATGTAGTAATGTATAACTAATTCACAGCCTTAGTCACATGTTTCTGCATGACCTGGTTTTAAAAAAACGGATGCTTTCATTTACACAATGACGCAGACGCGTTTACAATTTGCAATCACTGATGCTCCAGTGAGTTTACAAATAAATTTTTGCAAGTACTGATAAAAAAATGCAGTGGAGCGGTGGCTGATGTCAGGCTGACCATGTAACAGGTACGAAGAAAGCAGCACTGCTCCTGGCAAGGGGATCCAAATTAAGGTCTCACCTCTGATGGCGTGGAGTCGCAATCTTGACATATCCAACCATAACCGAACTGCTTAGGCGACTTCTTAAGGGGTGGGTTGAGGCAGCCAAAGTGGTAATTCAGGGTGCACTGATCACACCTGCAACAGAAGTACAAACAAGAAACACACACAACACACGGCGATCATGTTTCTACTCAGCATTGCATTGTATTACCATTCAAGGGTTTGTGGTTAGATCTTAAGCAATAACATTCCACCTTTCATTATTGTCTATAAACTGTTTAATGGAAATGTATGATGCACCAAAGAAATCTTATTTTTTAATTAGATTTTTTAGTCCAAAAATTTCCACAAGATATGCAATTTTAAGAGAAAAAACTGGATATTTTAGCTTTTCTTCCAATTCCAATTATAAAACAGCAGACATGGTGAGGAAATGCACAATTTTTTTATTTCAATGCTAGATATATATGTTTAGAGATAAGAAAGTGCGTTGGACCAGATGACGCCAAAACCAATTATCATATTTTTACTGGCAAATGAGGTTCCCATAGTGTAGATGCTTGCCCCGAACTCTCATACTCTGATGGTGCATTGTCTTTGAGTTGTGCGCCTTTTGGCGTCATCTGGTCCAACCCATGTGAGACTAGGCTCTAAGGAAAGCTGTCTCGGGTGTGGACCAATCAACTTCAAGGACAGTGCACATTATCAGAGTTATGTCTTTTGTTTGTATTATGACTGCAGGTATTGCGGTCTATGCAAACATGACTCCTTGTAAAAAGGTGTCAGTTTTGTTGCCAGATAGAAGGGTAAAAAACCAATTATCATATTTTTACTGGCAAATGAGGTTCCCATAGTGAAGAAATTACAAATCAAGTCATGATCCAAAGTGGTTGATGACATCTTTCCAATGATTGCTGAGTTTATAACCGTCTTCTCGGTGGGAATTGTGTCTGTGTCTATATGTGGATGGCTTCATGAACGAATCTTTGTTGATAGCCAGGAGGCTTGCAAAGTACCATCGTTATAGAGAAATCAATTTCGTGAGCCAACCGCATTAAAATAATGATCAATTACGGCAGAAGTATTGGTCCTACCGTGTTTCAAATCTGCCTAATGTTCACAAACACGGTCCGAGACATGTCGTTACATTTTTGCAAGTACTGAAAGAAAATCCACATATATAGACACAGACACAATTTCAACCGAGAAGACGGTTATAAACTCAGCAATCATTGGAAAGATGTCCTCAACCACTTTGGGTCATGACTTGATGTGTAATTTCTTGTCAACCTCCACCATCAGCCGTGTGGATGTGTGGAGCGAGGTGCGATGCCCCCCCCTCCCATCTCTCCCCCTATCTCTACCCCCTCTCTCCCCACCTATCTCTACTATCACTACCCCCTCTCTCCCCTATCTCTACCCCCTCTCTATACCCCCTACCTCTGCCCCTTCTCTCTCCCCCTTTGTCTTCTCCCACATTAACATTAGCTGCCCCGCTCATACTGCTGACACACTTGGACTATGCCGAACGAGCACGGCACCACGACTCTTGTGCCTCGACCACTCGCAACTTTAGCTCGTCCATTAATGCTACTCCACTGCTCTTGCGCCCATTTTAGACCTTTATAAGCAGTTGCAGTTAGAGGCTTGCCCCCCTTTTTATCTCCGCCTGATGACGACCGCTTGTGTTGCGATCGAAACGTCCTGAGTTTTTTACATTTTTTATTTAATTTCTATCTACGTGACTTTACCAAAAGAACCATAGAATACCTTAATATTTATTTAAGCTCTGACAATTCCAGTAATAACTCAGAGTTCATTTAAAAAGCAAGCCTTCTCCTTATGCACAATCACATTTGGACATCCCGGTCGCACAATGAATCTAAAAGGGCTTGAATTGTAAATCCGGACAGGATAAACATCTGATGCCCAGGAATATAACAAAGTGAGCACCACTGAATCACTTCATGGCAGCTACCGCCGCAGTAACAATATTTTACCAAACCATTAACATTTCATCATACACACAATGCCACTGTAAAACATTCATTTGCTACATTAATTCAAAATTGAAATGCATTGAGCCGTAGTTATTTAATACATCTAATGCGATGTAGTGGCATGGCGTTTGGGGCTGCCTGCATTTGTAGGGCTGATTTAGGACCAACGTTTTGGGGACAGATGGCTCCAGCCAGGGGGATAAACGCACAGGCGTGAATATCAGCGCTCAACTCGCTGTTAAATCAGTCAGCCGAGCACCGCAGCTAACCGGGGAAAGGGGAACTCTTCACAAGGTCAAGCTTTCAATCCCACACTTTCCTGGGTGAACATAAAATGTAAAAGATTAACTGCTGTCCGAAATGTGAGCCTTTCATTCTTTAGACAAACTCTCCACATGCCTGAAAACTATTCCCTAACCTGCATTTGTATTGAAGTGTATAATTCATTGCTCTATATGATTTGTTATTAATTGTCACGTGTCACTTCCAAAAATATACGTCCATGTAACTGAAAGAACAATACTATTATGTCATCAAACTGGGGGAATTGTTTTTTAATGTATAACTTCAACACCTCCTCATATTATGTTCACTGCAATCAATATTTAAAGCAAATATACATCCGTAAATGTAATTTACTTCAAGCCAATATATGTTATTGTATTAGAAATAACAGCCCTACTTCCTTAAGTTCTATCAATATTGACTTGAGAAAAATCTCAAAACACGGAGATTATGTGAAAAGAGGGGTTTTCTTTCCAAAGAAACTGAAATACAGGAAATTACCATGACAGCAGATTCATGTAATGCAATGGAAAGTGCTGTAATACATACAAATTATTGGCCCAGCACAAACAACACAATTAGACGTGACATGGCACATAAAATACTGCCAAATCAAGTCTTCATGAAGCCTGAGCTGCAGCGAGCAGCATCTTTTAGACAGTGAAATTAAACCAGCACGTACCCCTTGCTTCAGTTGCCCACAAGTGATTTGTAGTGGCGTAATGCGGCACAAAATATTGTTCTGCATTCATTTAGTAAAGAATTAAAAACCGCGTGTGTTTCAGTATGGCTCGAAGTATGAAGCCAGCCACCGCTCTGCAACATTAATCCCCCAACGCTCTCCTAACAAATCCAATTATGTCTAGACGACTTTAACGCCACTTTGACGGATTTCTCTTCAAACACATCCCATTGCCTAATCACTTACGGCCCATCGGCCATTTGTCTGAGGCCTCCTGCCGTGACGCTGTCTGCTCTCTAAACGGCCACTGGGTTCATGCGATCTGAAAGGGCTGGGGATTTTGTCGATATTTCGCGTTTTTAAACCGTGCATGTCAGTGAGCTTTCGCTAATCTGGAAAGCGGAGGACATTAATTATGCAGCATTCTCCAATGCGATTTTAATTGTAAAACCTCACTCGAAACTTTTAAGTTTAGTTCACAGTAAAACCTCGCAAAATCTGGACTCGGGTAAGCCAGAAATTTGGGTAAGCCATAGGGGTTCCCAGAAAATTATTCAATAATCGTTTTCAAGTATTAAAGAAACCAAAAAACTGACTGGATCGTTGCTCCCATGCTAATTAATTAAGCTGCGCGTGGCAAGCCATACGGCCTTCTGCAGTCAATCCTCACATATCATCCTATAACAGTGGCAACTAATGATGACGTTTCACTTTCAATTTGGACATTATGCACACAAATTAAATACATTCATTTTGCTATTATGCATGTTTGACTAAAACAAGAATTTAATTCACTTTGAAAATGCACGTAAAAATAATTGAGTGTGTGCTATCATGCACACTGTGTCAATTTGTGAAGCCGTGCCCTCAAGAGACGTCGGCTATCCACGTTATCCGCAAGATATCACTTGTGTTTTTTTACTGTATTAACGAATCAAATTTAGTAATTATTATTTAATGAACACACGATAAGAAATGGAGCTTTCCACATCCAGTGAACTTCGGCTCCTTACCTAAGTGTCATTATGATGTGACTTAAGTGTTTTTTTTTAATTGTAAATGTTATACTCTAAATATTAAGTTAATTGTTAGCAAGTTATTGAGTGTTAATGAAACGTGTTAGATGTTACATGGTGTGCAAAGTTAATTTAATTGTAGTCAATTATACTTTGGGCCTTTCGGTAAAATCACGAATTCCTGCAGTCACGAAAGCTTGAAATCAAAATGTAGTCAATTAGTTATTTATGTGTTGGATGCCAGAAATCACCCACAACTGGAGAGGCTCTCTCCCAACATTAGTCCGGCTGCAAGAGGTTAAATTGTGATATCATCTGTAACTTACGTTGCTGCCCTTTTTAATCGTGAGGCACATTCAGGAACTTATGTAATGCTGTATATATGCCAACTGCATTTCTGATTACCGTACTCAAAGGAGGAGTCACTGGCTCGCATGCATGAATACATGGAGACTCATTCATGAACACCGTGCTGCTACCACCACGCATCATCGAGCCCAAGGAAGTGGTCATGTGATCACAGTCCTTGTATGTTGAACTTATTTCGCACCATACGTCGACAACCGTGCTTATTGGAGGTGTGGAGGGAAGGACAACAAACTCAACACAAAAAGCAATTCTAGAGAAATTGTTTCCAATCTAGATTTTAAAGTGCATAGCTCCAGTGGCTTCCTAATATCAGAAGGAAGAGCGTTGCAGATGGCCGTAGAGGCGCATCTGAAAGTGTGTGATGCGGTGACCGTCTGTGTTCAATGGTTAGCTAAAAGCTGCTGTGAAGAGATCAAAGACTGTGCGACACACACACTGACGAGTTCTAAGAGAACTTATTCTCCTCTAACCCCTGCTTAAATATATGCTGCCAAGCTTGGTGGTGTTCATTCGGACGCTGTCTTTCTGACAGCCCTGTTCTTCACCTGAGGACGGCTGCTTGCGTTGTGGCCGAAACGTCGTGAGAATTGTATTTTATTATGTTTTATTTGTATTATTTTATTATTTCCCTTCTTCGTGACTTTACCAAAAGAACCAAGAGGATGAATCCCTGCAGTCACGAAAGCTTTAAATCGAAATTTATTCTCCCTCTCCCAACAGCCTCTGCTGTTTCGACCTCCTGTCTCAAGTCTCCCACCAATAAAAAAAGCAAAGTACATTACTATAGAATTACATCAACAGTTTTAGTACCATGTTCATAAGACATTATGTGCTATAAATTTTAAACAATACAGATAAAAAGGACGTGACAATAAACATAATGATACAAAAATGCATAAAGCATGACCAGCAGAAAACTTTAAGATGACTTGTGCAAAAATGTAATTCACATAAAGTGTTCATCATAATGCAGTGCTGTATCTCCCGGTAAATTTAATGTGTGCCTGGTCCCACATTTCTTGCATACTCTTTACAGAAAGCACTTGACGGAGAGATCTCTGAAAACCTGTGGCTGTCACACAGCTATCCATCACACAGACTCAATTCTATTTTGTGAGGCGTCCGCTTCGCTATTCATGCAAACTTGTGTTCTTTTATGAATCTTGCATTAAATCCCCATATATCATTTCGAAAGCGAATAATTACACATGTACCAAACTTGATGCCGGATACTGTATTATGCACATGGCTGCTCAAAGTGCACTGATATTTAATGCGATCATCCAACAGCAAAATAGCCGCTCCCTTCAGCAGCCCTTTCAGCACCAATAACCTCTCAGAAATTAGTTCATGGTCCGCGGCCCGACACCATCTTGTCTGATATAATGGGACGAGCTTGGGAGAAAACGCAATGCCGCGTGTAGCACTTAAGTCTGTACAACTGTAACCAGCACGAGTCGGCACACAGCCTGCTTCAATTTCTTCTGAAGACGATCCGAGCGCCACCAGCCCCCCCCCCCTCCCACCCCCTCTCTGCCCGTGGGGCTTACTACCTGGAATATTCACAATAAGTGTATTATTACGGTACGTAATTGAAGTAATGTCAATCTAACGGACATGTAAAAAAACACTCGAGATACCAATAAATTACACTGGGAAAATTGTTCACGAGGATAAAAGTTGTAACACGTAATCGGTAGCATGCAAGAACGTATCACACGTATCCAAGTTGTTCGCAAAGATTATCGGGAAGACAAAAAAACAATGCACAGGCCACCCAAACACATGCGCAAGCTGAGTTTAGGAATGGTTTCTCTACCAAAGACCACAACACATACTATCTATCAGATGGAAAAGAATAATGAATATAAAATACCAATGTCTAACTTCTGTAGACTATAAAAAGGCAAGTGACCCAGTGGAAATTGAGACAATTATCCAAGGTATGAACAATACCAGGTATAAAACTAAATATTTTCAAATAATAAATCCATTTACAAAACTAGAACTTACACTGAGACTGCATGAAGACAGTAACGAATACAAATGAGATGGGGATTTAGACCAGAAGACACACTTCTGCCAAAGTTATCACACAAACATGAGAATATATATTTTCTGATGAGAAAAATTAAGGCATACAACTAAAATTGAAAAATTACGTCTCGGATTTTCTGATAGCACAGCCAGTGCAAACAAGCTACAGGAAATGGATTTAGAAACGCAATAAGGAAGGCTGCAAAGCAGAGCCTAAGATAAATATTAGCAATCACGTACAAGTTCACTACACAAAAGAGAAACTGTTGGAGGGACACAGTTGGAAAACAACAGAATTCAGATACCTACAACAATCCTTGAAGGTGGATCAGGATTAAAACTATTAAATGAAGAGATGGATGAAAATAAGAGAAGAGTGCTTTTGGACAACTGAATTTGAGTATGGGAGCAAAAAAAAATAAGTTGGGGTACACTGAAAATCAGAATAAACGTGTTAGTTGTGAGTGTGGCTCTGGGTAAGCGATGCCAGGCATGTTGAAGAGTGAAGAACGCAATGCGACGGGCAAAGCACCTCACTGTGGTGTCGCTGCTCCCCGAGGTGCCACATGTCGTGCACTGTATTTGCTGCTCTTCCGCCTTTGGTTTTTTTGCACCGAAATGCCTGGGCTCTCTTGGCTTGGGACAAACCTTCGGGGGGATGGGAGGATTTGGCAGATACACAGACAAACACACGTGGTGCGTGGCAATTCATTTGGCGTCAGTTACGTAGATTTATAGAAACTGTGGCCCAGCCCCAGGGTGACCCACTACAACATTATTCAGCGTGAAAACTGCATATGCTCAAACACATTATCCAATGCAGTTATTCATGCGAATATTCATGTCAATGTGTTAGCTAAGAGCAACATGATTCACATTCTTATACTGCACTACTCTCTTTCATGGGCACCTTTCAGGTGTATTTATTTACAGCAAGAAAACAGTTACACATACAACCTTGTTTTCTCATATAATACGAGACTTTACAAACGGTATGCTTAGTAAACCACTTTACTGTACTTCATTTTAAAGGAAGACGGATGACCTTTTTGGAATGTTTTTCGTACATTTTCCCTGTGCTGTCCTTTTCCTATTAATATGCAATTGAGATACATGCAAACCATGGATTGTCATATTCTTGGTTCTTTCGGTAAAGTCACGGAGAAGGGAAATAATACAATAATAGAAATATAAAACAATAAAAATTCTCACGACGTTTCGACTTGCTGTGGATTTCACACCTGATGATGATTGCTTATGTTGCAGTCGAAATGTCGTGAGAATTTTTATTGTGTTATATTTTTATTATTTTATTATTTCCCTTCTACGTGACTTTACCGAAAGAACCAAGAATATGAATCCCTGCAGTCACGAAAGCTTTAAATCAAAATGTATTGTCATGTTTACAAGACACATTTTAAGAGTAAACCAATAGACGACACCCCGTGGTGCATTACTCTTCTATGCACCATCATACCTTGGGTTTCTCTTCTTCAATTTCTTCTTCCTTTGCTTTTCTCTTCCGTCCTCTTTTCCGTCTCTTGAAAAGTAAATGAAAGTGAAGATGCACGTGAGCTTTCGGAGTGAGCAATGGCATGATGCAATAACACAGAAAGCATTCGTTGCATTACTGAAAATATTTCAGTGCACAACACATATCTATGAGCAACACAACCTACCTTTCCAATCGCACACCTTTTTTTAGGGCACATTGTTGACCGCTGCTGCTTCTGTAGATGCTGTTATGTTATACAAAAAAGCAGAGAGCGTAAGATTCTTAGGATTTGAAGGATTCAATAGATAAGCCAATAACTCAAGGTAATCAAAGTAAGTGCCGAAATAATAAGGGTAGAAATGAGGAAAACCCAAGACAAATGCAAATCGTGCATTAAATATACCATGCCGAAAAGATGGTCCATTTGCAAGAACAAAATAAATGGCACAGCAGGAGTAATGATCATATCTGCATTCTAATCGAATTTGCAAAACAGACCTGGTAAACGTACAGGGGAAATCGAGATATACTACTTGCATGGCTATTACATTATATATACTGTATATAACGTGCTTCCTGTGCAAACAATATAGCCATTAGTTAAGAATTTGAGAAAATGTAGTAAAAAAAAAACATGCAGCTGCTCCTACCAGGCAATATTAATAATTGAAGTCTCCATTAATCACATAAATAGTGAATGTCTGTACTGCAGGCTAGCCTTGAAGATTTGTAATATATAGTGTATCTTGAAAGATTTAACAAGATTGATATTTCAAATTATGCTAACAAATGCCAAATATGAACATTTTAGAACTCAATTCGTGTTGTTGACTTAAGCGAGAGCTTACTGAGATGCATGACGGTTTTTTGCAACGAAAACCTAGAAAACTGTAGACGCACACGGAGAACTCTATGTTGGCTACCAACAACAAGGCAACTCCTATGACTAATTGGGAATGGGACGCAAGCGTAGGATTGATCACCCTGTCGCTGGCCGCCTTTGGGGAGGGTGTATAGTATGAAAGGCCGAAACACCCTAGGAACCAAAGGGTCACTACTGACGATGCGCTCCCCAAATTTCACCAGGCTCGCTGTTCATGAACTCTTGGAAGTGCTTGCACAAAGGATAGTAACATCTCATCCTGTGTTCTTTGGAATCTGAATTAACAAAAAGAATTTCGCGACGACAGTCTGGTGGCACCGTGCGGAGAAAGACTAACATTCACTGCAAATGTAACAACATCCCCCAACAAGTAAACCCGTAAAAACAAAGTTTTTCACTATAAATCCTTTATATGCATGGCATCGGGGCGGCTAGAGTCCTCTCGTCCTCTGGCAGCATTAAACAATTGGTAATTAAATATTTTTTAAAAATTCCCTAAAAAGTGTAAAATTTAGGAAAATTTTTTTTCACGAAAATGCATTGTCACGCACAACGAGTCTGTGTGCAAAATGTCAGCTCGATTGGATTATGGGAAGTAGGTTAAAAAACGACCTAAAGATTTGCACGGTCCTAAGCAAGCAAGCGAACTTAATATAAAGGATTTAATAAGTATAACCCGTAAAAACAAAGTTTTTCACTATAAATCCTTTATATGCGTGGCAGCGAACTTAATATAAAGGATTTAAAAAATATTCGCCTGTGGAGGACGCGGGGATCGATCCCGCGACCTTGAGCATGGGAAGCGAGGGCGCTACCAACTGCACTACTCCGCCACGGCCTGTGGAGGGGTTACGCTCTGGGCTCTTATACTGTGACGTTCGGCCAAAGCCAAGAATGCGTTCTATTTGAATATATGTAAATTAATAAAAACATATATGTAAATTAATAAAATTTTGGGAATTTTTTTTCACGAACATTAATTGTCTGGCACAACGAGTCTGTGTGGAAAATGTCAGCTCGATTGGATCACGGGAAGTGGGTTAAAAAACGACCGAAAGATTTGCACGGTCGTAAGCAAGCAAGCAAGCACGCAAGCAAGCAAGCGAACTTAATATAAAGGATTTAAAAATGGCAGCTCACTGAGCTGTGTCTCTGCATTTGTTAGCGGCAGAAACTATTCACCCTCGTGTACAAAGTACGTTTGGTCATTGAGTAGAGACTTAAAATCCAGTTTTGCGTTTGGCAAGCAAAATATTATTTTATGTTAGTGTAGATATTTGGTTTGCACACAAATGTGTACATCAAACAAAATAAATGCCAGTGCTATTCCAATGTTTAAGAATATCAACATCAATTACATGAAGAGATGAAAAAGAAAGATAAAAATGACACGACAAATTCAACATTATAACAAGGCAGTGTTCATTTGTGTAATTAAATTATATTAACTTATTAAGGCATCTACATATTAAGCTTCATCATCTGAAACAATACTTTCCATTTGCATGATGCAACTGATTTTCAAGCTGTGCTTTATGTCATTAAGAATAGATTTTTTTTAAAACAAGAGACATTTGGAAACAGGCTCTGTTGCAGTGATGTAATCGGCGCATTATTTGTCCCGTCATTAGATTCTGCACGTATTTCTATGCAGACTTTTTTAAAGAACCCTGCAATTAATACAGTTATGTTTAAAAGTTTTTAAAAATGCACTCACGCAGATTCTTTTTTCTAAACGTGCTGAAGCACACTCCTGTCAAGCGCACACGCGAGGTTGCGATGCATGCAGCCGAGAGACTTACTTTCTTGTCCTCGGACGGGGAGTCGGGGAGCTGCGTAAACTTGATGGGCTCCCTCACCTGTCGCCGAGAGCGCTTCATGCTGTCCAACAGTGTCTCCGCGGTCGCGTCACCATCCGACGAGCTACTACCCGACCTGTCACACTCCGAGCACTGCCTGCGTGCACACGTTCACATGGCCACATGCAAGAAACCTTCACATCTCCGTGTAGTAAACGGGTGGGAGAACCATATCCTTTAGCGAGAGACAAACGACAATTCCATATACCTTGAGCGATACACGCATTAACACACACCTCAGTCGCTCCGAGGAGCCTTTGACTACGTGCCTTCAAAGTTGTCGGACCGCGTCCGTGAACACAAGGCAGATCTGAAACACAGGAGGGACCAATACCTCTGCCGTTGCTGATCATTGTTTTAACGCTGTGGGCTCACACAAAATTGATTTTTCCAAGACGGAGGTACTCTGCAAACCTACCGGCTACCTTCGGAGATTTGTTCATGAAGCCATCCAGATATATAAACACAGACACAACTTCAACCGAGAGGATGGGTACAAACTGAGCAATCATTGGAAGGACGTTATTAACCAGGTAAAGTCTTAACTGACTGTGATGTTTCCATTCAACCTGCATATGTCAGCTGTTATTTCGACTCTCTGTGTCTCTTTCTCTGTGCCTCTCTCCTAGATCTCTCATGCTCACATGTCCGTTGCATTGCACTCTCTTGCCTTCGGACTGCACTCTCATGCTCACATGTCTTTTGGATTGCACTCTCATACCCACAGGCCCTTCGGATTACACCTGTTGGGTTGCACTCCCTCGTCGAGGAGGCCGCTCTTCTTCTTCCCCTTCTTTTCTAGAGTTACATGCTAACTTCTCACATTAACATCATGCTAATCTCTCACATTAACATAGCCACTTCCGTGCCCTCGTCGATGAGGCCGCTCTCCTATCTTACAGTTACATGCTAATTTCTCACATTAACATCACTAGCCCTGGCCACTTCTTTGTCACCCTTGAGCTACACCCATTTCAAACCTTTTAAACAGTCTGCCTCAACAGCAGACCATGCTTTCCCACCTGATGATGGACGCTTGTGTTGCGCCCTGAAACGTCGTGATTTATTTTTTATTTTATACCTACGTGACTTTACCGAAAAAACCAAAGAGCATAAAAACTGAAATATTAAAAAGAAAAATCAACTCAAGTATGAAAATATTTTAATTAATTTGGAAAGTATTTTTACATAACGTCATGATCTGTAACACAAATTTTTACAGTTCACTGGCTTCGAGAGTTGATGTAGGGTTGCTAAAATGTAATTTAATAATAATTAGCACAAACTATGTGCTTCCAATTATGAAGAAGCCGTAATAATAATCAATCAAACTGACTCCAAGTGGCAGGACAAATATAAATTAATTAACACTTTAAGAGCCTGGTCAAGATCCGCCCTAATGAGAATTGTTTGCATGAGTAAACTACTGTATTGAGAAAAGTGAAAGCACATGCGCTGACATTTAAAGTCCAACAAACATTCTTCGCAAGATGAAAAATACAAAACATTCGGTGATATTTTGTGGTGCGTCAATTAAATACAAGTGTCATTGATGATTGCAACATCATAAATAGGACATTACAGCATTGTTCTGCTTAGTATTGCTTGAGGCAAAATGAAATAACATATATTGTCATAATTGTGATTAATACATTTTGTATTTTTAACAATTATTAGGTATTATATTCTGATAAGACGAATGCTTAATAATTGCAAATGTTACTGTTTCCTGACTTGTGCAGATTGTCAGCCAACAGCATAATTGTTATGCGCCAACGTACTATTGTGGCATTAAACAGATAGAGGACAAGTTGGTACAAATGATTTTACTGAGCCAAAAAAATAAACGAAGTTTAACAAGCCGGAAGCCATTATAATCCACAGCGCTTTGGGTCAGTCGAGGAAGCCGTACGACTTAAGACAGCGATGAGACTGCGGGGCTCGGACAGCCACTTAGTCACTCTGCTAGGGAGAGAGCATCTCACCTGGCAAGGCTGGGTGGGACACCAAGCCTGGGACACCAAGCCTGGTCCTCTTAGCACTAAAGTGGGTCTCGAGGTTTTGTGTAACCCTTTGAACAAATTGTCTATTTTTTCTATTGAGTCAGTCCCGATAGAAACAATACATTATACTAAAGTTTTGTTCACATTAGATCCTCTTGACAGACGTAACTATTTATTCTTATGATAGTTCACCCAGGAAAGGCCTCACTGAGTCATAAGACTTATTTTCATGTGGATCCTGCCAAGTTTTTTTAAAGTAGGGGAAATGTAATTATGCGTAATCCCATTTAGGTTATTAGTAGGTAATTAATTGGCCAATTTCATTTACATTGTATGGGTTTTTTATACCCTCAGGGGGAAATGGGAGAGGCCGAATTCAATCTTTCCAGAACAGGGGGAGAACACACAAACTCCACACACAGGCGCCGGAGTCAGCTATTTTTGCTGTGAGGCACAAGTGTTGCTACTGCGCCACCCTGCCAACCTATAATGCATAAACACTTTTACTCTTTATAAAATATGCACCACCCTGATGCCCAACTATATACCATGTTTTGCTTTAGAAAGAATAAGGATTTCCAATTTAAGTGGTTGGGCAGTTATTTATTATAAACTGTCACATCCTGATCAGAGATAATGCATGAACGTGCCGACCCTTTCGCATCGTGCTGAACGAGACATGAAAATAATCCCACTGGATTATATTCACAAAGGCAACCACAAATAAATTATTGTTATTATTATTAGCTATTGGTCAAACATAGCCGAGTAGCAATTTGGCACAACGGGATTTGTTTTTATCAGCCTGTAACTTTATACTGCTGGGGCAAAGGCCTCTCTCAGCTCTATGTAGGAGCAAAAAGCAGAAGCCCTTTCAACATCGTAGAAATGTGAATGCCAGTGTGTCCCACTGTCTGACCAGTAGCTGTTCTTGCTGCGGCGTGGCATGCGGGTAAGAGGGGGGTCCAGGCAGCCCAGATGGTAGTAGCGTTGGCAGGTGTCACACTGTGTGAGCAGGTGCTGGTCACTGCTCTCCTGGCAAATGCCACAGCTGGGGCAGGTGGTAGCACATGCAGGCAACACATACATTTACTGTTTCAATTCCAAAGTAAATACATTTTTCACCAAAAAAACCTGTAACAGTATTTATCCATCAACTTGTAAATCGATGCAACATGTTGAATATGTAACTTGAAAAAATAATTCATTCTGAATCTGCTTGGTTTAGATGTAGCAAGTGCATTTAATCCAAGAACTAATTTTCACTGTGCCGATTAACACGTATATAAAATCAAGGTGCACAAAAGCTCTCTGACTCTCAATGGCTACTTCCAATGTTGTGATATTCGGTACCTGTGCAGAATCTGAGGGAGGGACACAGATGCTTCTTGACCCGATTTCATGAGGCTACTTTTCTGCTCCCTCAGTACTCGCAGTACTAAAGGCTGCGTCAGTTTCTGCAAGTAAAAAATGCGATGACACATTAAACACTACGCAACTGTGAACAGCAACATACAAAAGCTTAGAATCGTCTTAACTACTTAACATTTTGACAGAATTGTCTAGTATCACTTTCTTTAGAAGATTTTTCAGATAAGGCACTCAGCTGGGAATACATATGCAAATTGGGTGTACAACACTCAACCGCTGCCTACAATGCAATATTTTGTGCCACGTTTCAATGTGTAGCAGTAGACGTATTAATGCAAACCTATCACTCAAGTAAACTGACCATGCATACGCATGGAAGTGGAGTCCTTTAGGAATGATATCACAATGCAATGTATGATCAATCACAATGATGGCTTACAATTTCCAATTTTAATGCTTTGAATTATTCTGATGAATGTGACATCTTTTACCATTTATCAGAATTGGTTTGATATGTAAGAAAATAATTCAGTGCTTGGATTTCTGCAGATATGTATATATAAAAATTAACAAATCTCCAATAAATATATTGTTAGGACATTTCCAAATAATGTACTTTACACTGGGGCACCAAGGTTTTGATTAATTAAATTGAATAATAAATTTTAAGTATTTATGACAAAACAAAATCCCATAAAAGTGGGATCAAATTCAAAGCTGCCACTTAATTGTAAAGCCCTTCTCATTTGCATTCTGCACTGACAAAAGTTTTTGTTACTAATTAATCTTGACTACGCACTTCTGGTGAGGGAAATCTGAGCAAAGTTTTCATGAATCGCGAAAGTAAAACTGTGAGTGTGCTCCATTCTGCCTTATCTGAACCCATGATAGATTTCCTAAGGGCTGGAGCCTGCACTGCACAAGATGAATGTTAGTGGTTTTGAGTCGAGCATGGTAACGCTGGCCAAGCTTGTGGACTCTGAAGGTTAATTAGAAAAATTATCTTATTTGGCCAGGCTCCAGGCTACCAGGGCTAATCTGCACCCGATCTCGCTGGCTCGGCGGGCACATCCATCACAGTCGCATCGAGAGGCGTCCCACGTGGGCGCAGCTGCTCAGCCATCCGGGACGTGCGCACACGCCGCATGCAGAGCAGCTTTTGTTTGAATTCGGCCTTGGTCGGCAACACAAAGGGCTCCCTTTAAAGATACGGATACTGTCCTATACATCACCGGCACATCTCATTTTGCTCGCATTCTCTGGGATGGATTTTTATGTCCTCACGGTGATCTTCATTACTTTTCAACGGCATAAAAAAATGTATAGATTCACTACGCTGCCGAAGGTATTACTATGAATGTAAATGTGTCCAGTCTAACATTGTTTGCCTCCCTTTATTTGGAATATTTGTGATTTTTATAATTCACACCGTGGTTTCCACTCAGCAGTGTTTAAATGTACACATTTTAAAAAGGTTGCCAAAAGGTAGTCATTTTAATACGTAGGCTTTCGCGACCAATATTATTCATAATCAACGTTTTTGGGTTTAGATCGCGTTATTTATAAATGTGTCGTAACCCTCCACCACCCGACACGGCCAATCAGTAAAAAAGTGTCACGTTGACAAAAGACAAATAGTTCACTGCTTTAGCCCACCGGTGTGTTGAAGCGTGAAACCACAACATTTACAATTTGAGTACGACGTTTCGCTGGTAATTGCATCCAGCATCATCGGGCAATTCGCCAGAATGGTGAGGCTCTGCTCTGTCTCCCGTTCTTATATAGAGCAGCAGCAGGGTGACGTCATCATTAACTCATCAGGTGCAACGATTTGAGGGGGGGGGGGGGGTTATTGTAGTTATGCTGTATACACAAGGCACTTACAGTTTCTCCCGGAATTCATCAAGAACAAAACAACAAGAAGCCACCCAGTGTTTAAGCTTAATTAGGCAAACCTGTCCAGTAATCTGCCCTAGGGTGCTCCACAAGGTGTGCCCTTCTCGCTGGAGTTTATTGTTCAGACTCTTCAAGGTGTCCAAGGTCTCCATAAGCTGTAAGAGAAAAAGTGAAGAGGTTTTTTTTGGGTGGCTCAGATGTGAGCTGGTACTGCAGAAATCATTTTGTTCGAATCCAGAGAGCCACCGGTGATTAAACCAGGTTCTCAACTGTAATGAGTCAATAGACTGCATACACAAAAATAAACGATTTCATTTGTTTTGGAACTTTACTTTGCTAAATTACAGCTCTTAGAATGACAAATATTGATTTGACTGTCACTGTGCTGAACATTACCCTTTGTGGCAGTGTGGATGGGGAAAGCGCTGCCCCCTACAGTGTGGACCAGAGGTCATTTAAAGTGGTAGCTCTGTGAAATCAATTTGCTTCAGCTATTCTCTAACATGGCGCTGCACTGCTGTGGAAGGGATCCAAATGGATTCTTCGTCTAATGAGTTGACACTGAGAGCACAACTTACAAAAAATTAGGGGACACCACAAACATTTTTTAAGGATTAAAAAAATTAAGAATTACAGGGAAGTCTAATATACAGCATATTGATATATTACAATCTAAATAGAACAGAACATGAGTTTAAGACAGCTAGTTTTCAAAATTAAATGTTTGCAAAACACTATGCAGGACATATGTTATTTATATTGTGTAGATATCACACAAAGTAAGCCTATGTACTTTACAAGCAGCAAAAACAGCTGACACTTGCATTTGTAAGGTGTCTTTGCAGTCTCACACTGCATATAATCATGGCCTTGATCAAATAATGTTCTCGGATAAATTGAGTCAAATGCACATGGTAACGAATTCCCACACTGCCCAACACTACAATAGCCTAAACACATTTGATGGAAACAATACCCAGGACAGATACACATTGGTAGACTTACTTGGCATATTATATCTTTAAAAATTATGATTTATTTCACGGGAGAATACACTGCAATTCATTATTATACAAGTGAAAATTGGGTTAGTATAGTTATTTAGCAGCAGTGTTTTTATTTAGCAGTAGAGGTTTTTTTTATATAAAAAATTAGGATTGAACCTTAAATGGCCTACACGCAAATGATGTATAAATGATGCTACAGGGTATGTAAAATCCACTTCAATGAGACAATTGGCTTAAATACCCAGAGAAAACTATTTACGTAGTAAACCATCTCCTTTGTTCAGAGATCCGATGTGGAATTTGCGAAGTAGGAGGACACCAAAACATTCACAAATACACTCAATGGGATTTAAATCAATTAACCAATTACTACATTTGACAGAACAAATACCACGAGAGCATTACATTTCAAATGATAGCTATCAGTATCTAATGAACACGTGATTGTTATGGAAAGGACAGTGAATCAATTGTTTAACAGTTCTTCTCTATGCTGCGAGCTAAGAGCAGCAGCATTGCATGACGTACCCCACCATAGCTGGTCCGCAGAGCTTTCTCTTGCTTCTGCAGCTCATTCTTCAGCTTCCGCTGGTCACAAATATTCTCTTGGATCTGCATCATTTGCATGTTCCGTTCTGATGGAGAAAGAGATATACGTACATGTAGAAAAATATGCAAATAATGCAGTCCTAAAAATAATTACTTTTTAAACACTAACTGCTAAACTCTATTGTATCATGTAACTCAACATTTCTCCAGAAGTTATCATAATATACAAAACATTTTCTTGACATATTCTGGCAAGAAACTGACATTACATTTGTTCAATAATCCATATTAACAAGAGTGAAAATCGTGATGCGCATTGCAATACCTTCCAAAATAACGCTGAGCGCATGTGTAATATAGTGTTTATATTTTTGAGACACAAAATGAAAAGGCACACAGGAGGGAGCAGAATTTCAAGCAGTCTATAAAAAATGACCAGAGATAAATAAAGTAGCCCATCGTAATGGATGATCATATTGTGTAGCGCAAGGAAGAAGATAACTTCAGAGTGAAACAAACTCTATTAATTGCTTCATTTATCAACTCTGTACGGGTGTCAGTGGTCTAGAGCGATTAAACAGATAGCAAGCTTCCCCAATCTCTCACTGTTTATCGTGGCTGCTCATCCAGTATAGCTTGAGTGAGAGGTTTAAGTGCACCTACTTTGAAGGTAAAAAAATAGTGCAGTTGACTATAATAGTGAAGTCTAGACATGAGAAAGGCAGACGTGCACAGATAAAAGTCACCAAGATGTGCAGATGTGAAAGTGTATATTTCCGGTAAAGGCTGCAGAAACATAATTAAAAGATATGCGGCATTTAATTCTTTGCCTGCTTATTTTGCACTTGCTGATACAGCACTCTGAATGTGCATTATATAAAATATAAGATAGTAAAACGTAGACAAATTGCTTATGTATGATGTGATTGATTAATGCTAATGGCTTTATTCGTACAACATGTTTGTTCCATTCCAGGATGTGGATTTGTATTTAAAGCACTGTTCTACCAAGATTCCTGTTCCACACCTGATACAAAATCCCAAGCTCAAATGTATCACTTCATGACAACTGGCATATGCAAATCTAAGCGACTTCAGCAAAGATAGCAAAACAAATTAAATGCACTTATAAAAACCCAAGATGTATTGAGTAAACATTCTGAGGTTCTGGATCTATTTCCTTGGTAACCACTTCAAATAATGATTCTCATGAGCAGCAAAGTTATTGGTCACAGGTTAATCATCAATGCTTACATAAATAAATAATTCTATACTTGCAAATTTTTCGTCTTTACCACAATTTTATCCCAAGAGTGATACTGGCATACTGCCATGAGATAAAGAATACAATCGGTACTCCCTCAGGAAAGTGCAACCCCTCATAACAGAAGGTAGTCTGCAGAAGTGGATATCACAGAACTACAGGAGGATCCTTTCAAGTCACCCTTTTATCCACATGAGGGTGGAGCACTTTTGCACTCAACCTGCTACAGAGTCAGTTTAACACGTAGGCTTTCGCGACCAATATTATTCATAATAAACGTTTTTGGGTTAGATCGCGTTATTTATGAATGTGTCGTAACCCTCCACCACCCAACACGGCCAATCAGCAAAAAAGTGTCACGTTGACAAAAGACAAATAGTTTACTACTTCAGCCCACCGGTGTGTTGAAGAGTGAATCCACAACAAAATTCTGGCGAATTTCCCGATGATGCTGGATGTAATTACCAGCGAAACGTCGTACTCAAAAACTGTAAATGTTGTGGATTCACTCTTCAACACACCGGTGGGCTAAAGTAGTAAACTATTTGTCTTTTGTCAACGTGACACTTTTTTGCTGATTGGCCGTGTTGGGTGGTGGAGGGTTACGACACATTTATAAATAACGCGATCTAACCTGCTACAGAGTAATATCTGCGACATGGCAATCAAACTGATGGTGTATATTAGCAGTTGTGATTTATCCACAAGTGCAAAAAAACTAATTTATCATTTTTTTTTATGCAGTAAATGATGATAATACTGAGACCATCTACTCACTTGAAAACCCAGTTCAACTGCATACGTCTTCCTGGATTCAAACCCAGGTTCTCAAGAGTATAGGCTCTGCACTCTGACCTCTAATCCACCAGACACCCATTGTTACTTTTAATTTAGCCTATCCAGCTCTGAGGATACATTTATCAATGATAAAAACAGTATTGCATCAATCACTCAACCGCACAGCCCTGTCTGCCGAGTGGTTAATAGAGGCAAACCGAATACACATATTGGTATGGTCAGTCTTTCTCCCTTGATATTCTATCTTGAAACGAATCACATCTGCTACATGTAGAGAGATGGTAATGAAATGTAACAAAATAAACTTGTCTTTGTGCCAAAGGCCAGGGACCAAATGAGTCATAACTGCCAACACGAGGGACTGGGGGACACATCAGGCAGAGAGGCATTGTGGTTTTATATGCGTGCAGGTACCCAGGTAGTATGTGACAAAGTCGGCTGTGAGCGTGGGGTGGCGGATCTGCTTCCTGCGGCCGTCGCCAGTGCCGGGCTCCGTGGTGTCGGCCGGCATGATGTCCGTAGACACCCCCGCCAGCTGTGCCTTGTGCAGGAGCGCGCGCACTGCCGAGGCGCTGCTGGTGAGTGGGCGCGCCAGTTTCTCGCGGGGTAACCCAAGGACTGGGCCGCGTTCCCTTCGCCAGCTCGAAGCGCGCCCGGTACAGCTGCAGCTTTGCATCTATGCGTGCCTGCTGCACATTCCACATTGCACACCAGTGTGTTCGACAGCAGCGCACTGAACACGCGGCTCAAGGAAGCGCCGAATATTGCAAAAAGCTCGTAGCATTTACGATGCGAATTGGAGGTGTGCTGAAAGTTCCGGTTACAGGTCTAAGAAAATTGAGGAATATTTGGCTTGTTGAAACATCCCTTGAAAATATCCGTAGTCGTATGCCAACCCACGTTGACCTCATCACGACTTATTACAATCATCCTCACTATCCCACCCCCGCATTCGTCAAACGTACCTGCAAACACCTCAATGCATTAATCAATGCAGCACTGCAGCTCGTATTTCAATGCTGACTAACCTGCATGTCCCCCGGGTGAGCCTTTCCCTTCTCCTCGCGGATCTGCCGGCTGAAGGACTGCAGGGCCAGGTAGTTCTTTCTCTTCCACTTCCTGTCCATACGGTCGGCGTGCTGCTTGCAGTGAGCGAAAAATGGGTCTGCAATTTCCTGTGGGCAGACTACGAATCAGCTAAATGTAAAAGCAAACATGCAGTTACATTAACGTACTGTATTTATAAATCCGTGTAACTACCAGAAAGCGAAGGGAATTCTGTTAATCTAATTAAGTAATGTAGCCATTGTTTAGATAAATGTAGTAGTTTTAACAAACTGTAAATTTGTAGGTTGATATTGTAGGGTTTTCTTCATCGAAAATTCAAACATAGTACATACACAAATAACAATATAAATGAAAACTTTGCAGTCATAAAAGTTTAACACGTAAGAAAGTCACGATTGTTCTAAAAACATACATGAAAAGTAAGTGAATGTAATCTCTGAAAATATAAACTCAATCTTCCACAACGTGCAAGTCAGCTTATAATAACAAATTACTTTACAATAATGATTCGAAAAATGTTCATATAATCATGGTACTGCACAATGCTCATGCTCAAATTACCTAATAGACACAGCTTTTTATACTGCGAGGTTATATTGATAAGATTACACTATCTATTCTCGGAATGTATGTGGTGATGTTAATCATTTCCAACTAGTTACCCAATTACTACTATAATGAGCCAAGAATGTCCGTTTGTGTGCAACGTGCGTGACGTCACTCCACATTCCACGCCCCTCCCCCCATCATTAATATTCATGAGCGGGTGGATTTTTACACTCACAGAAGATGCATTTTTCTTCGCAAATTCGCTTTAAGTGTCACATTTCTTTATTGAAAATGAATCTAATAAATAATTATACGCAGTAACAAAGTGGATTTGGTGTCTTTATTTATTTCTTCAGCACTTGACACAAAAGGTAAGTCTAATTTATGCTTCTACATTATGGTAAAATAGACATTTCTCGGTAATTTTTCAGATATTTTATCGATTTCCAATTAATTTCAACCCCAGCGACCGAAAGCAGAAGAGAATAAAATAGCAGAACAGTGAATTCGAATAAATTCAAGGTCAGTTATATACAGTGCTACAGTGACATGAAATTAAGTGTTTTATTACTTCATTTTGTGCCAGATTCACTGCCATTAATACAGTGCTACAGTGAAATGCAGTGAAGTGTTTGATGACATACTTTCGTCCAAGATTCACTGCCATTAAATTTACACAAGATACAATTATACTCTGCTCAATGTTTTCGTAAATATTACAGCTTCCATCCTAGGATGGGAAAAAGGCTAGTAGGAAATAAACGTGATATTTTTATTGTGCTGATATAAATAGTAAGTGGTTGTAGACTTCTCATTTTCTAATTTGTTTCGCACATCGTATACAGCGCATGTACATCCACTGCTGGATGAGTGCCTCTCCAGTCCGAGCAGATTGTGTGGCTTATCTGACCATGCTTCACTCCGCTAGTCAGTGTGGGTTGGTGAATGCAGGCATCATGGAATTACAGCATAACAATACATTTTGCTCCACTGCCTGCTCCTCCCTACAAAGTAGCCTTGCAATTTGTAAGGTAGCCCAGGCTCAAAATTCTGCTTAGCTTTCGAGATTGGACACATTCTGAGTGATTTTAATGTATTCATATATGTACATGTACATTCATATTTAAATTACATGGATACACGTACTATGTGCGCACATTATTTTGCAAATATATACAACAGTGGCAGGCTTTATATTGACGATTAGTCAACATTCACTCCGTTTTTTCTACTGGGCAGCGCTAATAACCATGGAAAGCAGCCAACAATCAAGTAAATGCAACAATAAGGTTTTTTTTCTCCTGTTAGTTTGCACATTCCCTCTCTGCAATGTCCTGCAACTGCCGCCACTGTGATGGTCATCCTTGTAAAGAGTTTCTAAGCAAAATGAGTCTCACCTCCTCTGCAGCAGCCTCCGACAACAAACCTTCGCGCTGGGCACACATCACGTGGAAGAAGCTCCGGCACATCCCCGCATCACAGTTGATGCACACTCCGGTACGGGAAAACAGGCGCTCCTCACACAGCATGCACTCCTGCACAGCCACAAGCCCATCGGTATACGTTATATCTGGCACTCTTTGTACCTTCACATTCCAGAGCCGAATGGCTCACAGGGCTATACCTAATAAATTAACTTGAACTTGAACCCTACCCCATCAATTCACACAAGTTACACACATACCAACCAGTCAAAAGACACATGAAACATACATGATCTGTTTTGTGAATTCAGATTGGTGGATACGGAAAAGTCCTCAGTGCGTTTAATTGAGGGCACTGGTGTTTGATAAATACTTGGGTTTGATGAGAGTCATAATAATCCATGTGCATAAAGAAACATTACTTTTAATAAAAACCATCAAATAGTATACATAGTATACAACACATTTTAAAAATTATTTAAAAACCTCATCATAAAATAGAAATGCAGTGAAAGCAGTAACTATTATGTGAAAATAATAACAAATAATTTGCACTGTTTAATACTTGTGTTATTACAAACAATTATTCCACATTGGAATTCAGGCCAAGAGTGCTTTCAAGTAAGGTAAAAAGGGTAGGTTAACAGACCTGGTTAAAGATTATTTTGTATTGTATAGTTTTGCATTTGACTATGACCCATGTCTAACAGAGAAGGTCCTTTCCTATAAACATCTCGCAGTTCAACAACATTGGTTCAAGCAAGCCTCACTCTGCTGATGAGAAATTTTACGTCAAAATCCTTCCAGTTTGTGTTGAACCAATACTGCTTAACATGCACAGAAAGCCGTGTGGCTAATAATGCGTATAATTTGCATTTATTTTTTACATGGAGGGATAGATGTGAAGGAGTCATATTGTCTAATTATCATTATCCATATAGAAAATATTTATTTAGTGTTACGCTTAATGCAGTACATTTAATAGGTTTATTAAAAGAGAGAAAACTCATAATTTGGCATTCAATTTGCAGGTGGGAAAGTGTGTATAATGCTATGAGTACATATACCTCCAAAGCACTGAACGAAAATTACAATTTCATAAAAACTGCACACAAACATAAAGAGGCACTTTGTGCATAAATACCCAAACATTTCCTCCATCAGATTTTATTAGGAGCATTAACTCTAACATTCTGTTATATATTTTTTACAACCCAGTTTCCACTTGTGATAGGATTGCTTCACTGAAGCATAAAACCACAGATTGTATGTGGAGCCAATGTAGTAGACATTTTAGGCTGAACAAGTGATTTTCTTCATATTTTTCTAACCCATCTGTTTTGATATCCATGCGATGACAGGGAGCTACTGAACAATGTCATTTCAAAATTGTGCCCCAAAATTGAATGTGTAGAAGCAGACACAAAAGCCATGAAACATGCCCAACTTTGCAGAAAGCTTTCAATTTGGCCTTGAATTGCATTTTCTGGTATTATATTACAAACTACTGGAGCAGACACGGTATGGCCTTTCAGAAAGCCGACAAATGTCACCAGAACGTACATTTTTTGGTTCAGATTATGCTTTTTATATTTTAAGGTTATTTATGCACAATGATCAGTGAGCAAGGTTAAAAAAGGGCTGTTGTAACATTTTTATCAGAATTCAGTGAATAGAGGAATTTAAAATAATTCCAGAGCACACACACAAACAGCTACATCCCTGAGCAAGGTTCATTCAACATTACTGATAGTGTATTCATTCTAACACACTGCTACAATGAGACAATGTTATTTGCTTTGTTGCTCAACATACATATCAACAAAAATATATCCATGCAAATAAACTTGTAAACAAAAAAATACATGTGATTGATCAAGTATTTTCATTTTAAGTTATTATTTAAGTAAATTATACACAACAAAGATGCAGATTGCTGTGGATCAAAATGTAATATACAAGGTACATTTTGTAAGCATTTGGAAGAAATGAAAAATCCAACATAACCATAAATACCACATGACAACAGTACCTTGGCTCCGTACTTGGCATATGACATCTCGGTGAGAGTCACTGGCCTTAGCCTCTCCACGTCCTCAAATGCTACGCCAGAAACGTAGAGTGCACACACCACATGAACCCATCTGAAAAGGGGGAAACAAGTAGCATTATAGGACAGTGTGAAAAAAACTGATTCAATAGCACTCATAGCTAGCTCTCCAAAATCACTCAAAGCTGATGCCATAAGGCCCTTTTCATTAACCATACACTACCCATGACTCACCGGCCAGCATCTGTCTCCTTGAAGATGCCATCAATGGCAGGGCAGAGCTCACAGCTGGGCACAACGCCGGCTTTGCACGGATCACAGAACCAGGGCTCTGTTGAGTTATCCGAGGTGGAGCTTATCACAGACTCGCTCTCGCCATCAACACCGTAACAAGCTGAACACAAGGGAAATGTTCGCAAAAGCAGACACCATCCACTGACTAATCTGGCAGATGTGTTTACAAATACAAAAATATTTTAATTGCTAAAATTATAAAAACACAAATGACAACTTCGTGTTTAAAATTACATTTTTTACACATGCAAATCAATTATTAACTTGTTTCGCAAGCACTAGCTTTTTTACAAAGTGAGTGAAAAAAACTGCACCACATCATAAGTTAAAAATACTGCCGTCATTTTCTTGTATGTTCATTTTCACATTACACACATAGCTGCAAACATTATTGTGGTTGAATAATATACATTTATATTCCAGTGGGGTTATTTGTTTGTAAGAGTGAACTGGATTTTTTTTCTGAATTCTTTGTGCTGGGTTGTGTGATGTGCAGCGATATATCTAAAGCAGTGAGAAGTAAACCAACAACATGGCAACGTGGAGCGCGCATGTGCTTGGCCGGGTGACTATCAGCGCATGCTCTAACAGGCGGCAGTGCACAGCACTTCATCACTGTCATGCAAGCTCATGTGCTTCATACATCACCCTGTTTGCACAAAATCAAAAAAGTTTCCAAAAGCTGGACAGTGTGGATGCCTTAAATGTAACAAAGAAAGTTCAGCATGGCAGCTTTATCTAAAATATTAAAAGTGGTATTTTTAGGAAAGATATCTGACGCAGGATGTCTACCATGAGAACTGAGAAAATACCAAATAAAAATGAAATAACATTTCATCTTATTTTCATTCCAATACACTGATTGAATATATTGGAATATACATAGCAATCATCGCCCCTCCTGCAAAAACTTGGAAAGACTCCTGAAAAATAGTCATGAGACTATATGAGGCTTTCATGGGTAAACAAGCATAATAATTTGAAGTTTTCGTGACTGCAGGGATCCATACTCTTTGGTTCTTTCGGTAAAGTCACGTAGGTATAACATAAAATAAATTAAATCACGACGTTTCAGGCGCAACACAAGCGTCCGTCATCAGGTGGGACAACCACAGCAAGAAACAATTGCTGAAGTGGGCAAAAGGGGCTGCTGCAACAAGAGGCCATAAAGGCAAGAGAAGGGGGGGGGAGACCCTCCCTGTCTCTCCTCCCTGGCTCCTCGTCCCCCTTTTCTTGCCTAGATGCTCACTTGTTGAGGCAGCCCATTTTTCACACTTTACCAATTGTTTCTTGCTGTGGTTGTCCCACCTGATGATGGACGCTTGTGTTGAACCGGAAACATCGTGATTTAATTTATTTTATGTTATACCTATGTGACTTTACCAAAAGAACTAAAGAGTAAGCATGATAATATTCATGATGCTTCAAAAGATAAAAATACATTTTACATACTCAATGGCACTTTACATAGGCCACCATGGTGCTGGTATATACACGTACCTTCATGGACTGTGACTCCACAGTTGTCACACTGGACAATCTCGTTGCTGTCTTCACTGTTCTCACCAAGACACACGCTGCAGATCAGCACCTCCTGCATCTTCTGTGAAGACCTGCCTCCAGAGGTCTTACTGGATGTCACAGACTCCTACATAAACATTAAAGCAGTAACAAAACATCATTCCACAGATTTTAATATTTAAAAACTGAAATAGGGAATGTTTATGAGTTCATACATTTTATAATAGAAACAATAGGTTAATTTGTGTTATATTATCAGGTTCATAACTTAAACAACCACTGTAGTTGCAGAGGAAACATTTCCTTACTTCAGCTTTGGTCCTTTTCTTTGCTACTTTCTCAATGAGCTCCCCGATGGTAACAGATTTATCCACCGTGCTCTCCGAACCAGACACATCATCGCCACTCTCCTGCTCTTCTGACTTTGCACTCTCCTTCTCATCACCGTCCTCATCCTCCTCGTCATCACTGCCATCATCACTGCCTTTGCTGTCCTTGTCGCTGCTGTTGCCGCTCTCACTGTCATCGTTGCCGCCATGCCCTTTCGCGTCACTGCCGTCCGAGCCCTCCGACTGGAGAGTTCCACAGGGGGTTTGAAATGTTCGAGCATAAAACACATTTATGATTATAATGTCAAAGCTAATGTGCAGGTCGACCACAAGAAAAATCCATTCACACACTCAACCAGAAAATGTACATGCACCTTACTTTATTACGACACAGAAATGATACCGTATGTATATATGGCTTTAAACATATAAGATTCAATATTATGCCATTGTAACAATAAAACCAATTTCACAACTTCATATCCCAGCTACCATACAGTCGTATAATTTGACAATGAATTAATTCAACAACCATATTTTAAATAATTGTGGTTAGTTCTTATATATTGGACAATAAACAAAAGGTTAAGTAAAATAATTGTATTTTATGTTTTCACATAATGAAGAACCGAGGCTGTTTGCTCTTTTTTTAAAGATATCCCCTATTGGAAATCAAAATATTTCTATATATTACAGTGATGAGCGCACTGCACTGTCAACCTGCATACCTGAGCTTAATTCCTGTACATGGTTAACATCAGTGGCAAGTGATATCAGAAGATGTTCTAAGCGCCCCCCCCCCCGCACTTCATCAACCCAAATTGACCAGCGTGGTGAATTATCAAACAACCCCCATGACCTAACAAGGCATGGGGAGGCCTTCATCAAGCAATAGATTGAAACATGGCTGTTTTTGTACATATTATTTTAAAAGCAATGCATACAACCATAGATTAATGTCAGTATTAGCATTAGCCATGTGTACGAGTACCTCGGAGCCACCCCCTTGTTTGCCAACTTTCTCGGGGTCCCAGTCGTTGTCGTCCTCGCTGTCATAGTCATCCATGTTGCCCAGGTCCTGCTCTGTCAGCACAACGGCTGGCGTACTGCGCTTACGGCGAAAGTTCCACTTCCTCTTTTGATCCTTGGCTGATTGTGCATCATCATTCGAGTTTTTAGCAGAAGGTGCACTCTCACTGTCACTGCTCTCCGACTCCCCAGAGCTGGTCTTCTAAAAATAAAAGAACAAAAACATCGAAAATGCCCAAATACAATCTCTAACGATTTCACAATGTGCCATATAATACCAACACTCATATAACTTCTCATAAATAACTCGTGTACCTGCACTGAACAATTTCTATCATAGTCTTAATAAACAATGTTTACCACCTTGATTTGAAGCTTTCGTGACTGCAGGAATCCATACTCTTTGTTTCGACCGTCCTCAGGCAGAAAAAATAATCCAGCAGTGGAACTGCTGAACCAGCAGCGGTTACCAATTATTTTATCATTTCAAAGGCCATGGAAATAGGCAAGCAGTGTCAACAACATCCATAATGTATAAATTTCGATTTAAAGCTTTCGTGACTGCAGGGATTCATCTTCTTGGTTCTTTCGGTAAAGTCACGTAGAAGGGAAATAATAAAATAATAAAAATAAAACATTATAAAATACAATTCTCACGACGTTTCGGCCACAACGCAAGCAGCCGTCCTCAGGTGAAGAACAGGTCTGTCTTTCAGACGCTGTCTTTCCGACAGACCTGTTCTTCACCTGAGGACGGCTGCTTGCGTTGTGGCCGAAACGTCGTGAAAATTGTATTTTATTATGTTTTATTTTTATTATATTATTATTTCCCTTCTACGTGACTTTACCGAAAGAACCAAAAAGAAGAAATGTATAGTTTACGATACCTTTCAGAGGTTAGGATGTGACCTCCATGTCAAAAAACACTGCATTGTTATGTTTGTGAAGACACTATTCACACACAGGTACATTGCTTCAAATGTAAAAGATTAGAAAGTAAAAAGTTTTCCTTTAAAATATAGGGCTGTCCTGAACAATTTATATGTATTGTCTGTAGGCCTGTCTTCTTACATAGCATCTGGAAACATCGTAGACTATTAAGAGTGTGTGAGCCACAGTGTTCATTGCAGCTACAGAATTAAAGTTGCTTTGCATGAACAATTTAGCATTCATCAAACCCTGACACAGTTATCAGAATGCTGGTGCCCTTCTGTGAATCTAATGGGAAGCCACATACATGGCGAGGGTTTATTGCATTTCAAACAGATCTTCCCGGTGTGTGTAAATCATTTTTTTGCTATTAATTGTTCACAATCATTTAATGTGCCCATAAAACAAAAATATGCTTTGTGCTTTCCTTATAATACAATGTAATTTGGTTACTGCTGTGCTGAGCACAGTATCTGATGGCATAACTGCTATTAGTAAAATAGAAGCCACAAACGAAATTGAGCCAACACACTTTGCAAGGTTTTTGAAACATGATCACATGATATGCAGTATATATGCAAATTATTCGCAAGATTCTCATCCCTAAATACCAGTTATACACAGCCTTAAACAGCTATTGTCCCTCTGTATTCAATTCGCATTACACTCACAACATACTAACCATGGGATATACCCAATAAGAATATAATTTGAAAACCGAAATAATTCAAACATGTGGTGAGTATTTATATCAACTTGCACAAACTGCATACATTTTAAATGCACTTAGTATGTGAGCATGTATTAAACCCAGGAAGAATTGTTTAAACATTTCAAATGTTCTGTAAGAAAATAACAGCATCTCTCTAGTGCTGTGCAAATGACAGAATGACAGTAAATAACTACACACCAGTAGCGCTGGGGATTTCTAATTCAGGTGAATCATATTTGAGCCAATACAACTTATATAATTACCAGTACAATGAATTGAAATTAAATTGTGTATGCAATCAAGTAACAACACATGATGCACAGGTGGTAAATTATAAGTAGGCTTAAAGCTGCCAAAACTGGAGGTTAGGTTTTGCAATCATCCAATCAACTTAAAAAAAGTCAGGTGTAAGAATATGCCTGGCAATAACGGTTTGTGGGTATAAAAAGATGGCTACCACAGGTTGAATATTTGCGTTGCAACAGCTTTTTCAATGGTACTCATTCTTGTCCTTTAGTGTTAACAAGAATCACCCTCACCCACAAGAAGTGAGTTTATTATTTATGTGCTTCATACTTAATTCAAAGGGATTAAACGTGGAAATGCAGGGAATGTGCTTTTACAGAACAATACAAAATCCCATCATACATTGTTACTATAATGGAAGAAATTGATACTTATGTAAGGTTTTGGGTTGGGCTGTATAACTCTGCCTTTTCAGGCTGCACTGCGTGTTCAGCATTGCTAACAGTTCGTGCTGGGAGCTTCTTTGGGAACTGAATGTTCTTCCGTTACTGGAAAAGGTCCCAGCACATGGAACGAAATGCCAGGCATCATGTTGGACAACACAGTATACAACCCATTCTATGTTCATACACCGTACACTGAAACCGAATGTCCGTTATTGATTGTTGTCTAAATATTCTATTGGTAGCTTCCATAAGCTCTTAAGAGCCTAGGCCTCCAGGCTTGTCTAAAAGAGCTAAGTACCACTGATGGCACATGGCAATTTGTTTTCCACATTACATACCTTTGCAACGTCACCACTCCCCTTCGATTGCTGCCGTCCACCCTTCTCTTTCCCCTTGGCTCCAGATTCACGTTTTCTTGAAACTTCCTTCTGATCCGAATCGGAGCTGGATTTGTCCTCCTCTGCTTCTTTTGCTTTCCCATGGCCATCTTCTTCGCTGTCTTCACTTTCAGAATCTTTGCTTTTTTTTTCTTCTTTGCTTTCAGAAGCTTTACTTTCTGCATCGCTACCATCTGTACCAGAAGAACCTAACCAAGCCATTAAATTTTATATGCATTCAGTTCTTAACAGACATGTACCAATGCGCAAATTCTTCAATTTAAATCAATATTCATGCACACGATACAAATACAATTGTACAGAAACGATTATTTACAATTTACACCCGTGATGTGCTCATGGTATATTTAGGCTAACGCAGAAAACACAACTACAGACGATGTGGAACAAACCAGAAACAAAACAAATGGGCCATTAAAAAAATATACAAATAGATTATTGACCTGTGACTTTAAATTGGAACAATGTAAGTGGTGGAGGGGTGATCTTTACATGTAAATGGTGGAGGTGTGATCTTTACATGTGTATTTTCCATTGTAGATGAACATGAAGGTGAATTGAGGTTATCCAAGACCACAGTCTTTATTTACCTGAGGCCTCATCGACATTGAAATCGCTGTCGTCTGAGCTGTCGTAACCAAATGCTGCCTCCAGCAGCTGGTTCTGCACTGGCTTGACACGCCGCTTGTTCGGGTCTCTCTCCACTGCAAAAGAATTACAAAATCAAAAACACGACCCGTGTTAATACTGTGTATTAGTCGACGACATTAGGTGCTGCACTTGCACAAGGCTATTATCAGGCCCGGACTGGCCAAAGGGCAGTCCAGGCACATGCCTGGTGGGCCTGGTTCATTCCGAGGGCCGGTGGGCTGGTATGCGTGGGGAAATTGCAAATGTTAGCGGAGTAAAAAAAAATTGTATTACCTCTGTGTACGCTCCATTGCTTATTTACATTCTCAGTTGGCATTAAGCCCCATATCTTGCAGCCCCAAAGCTTCTTCCTCACCGGCCCATTTGTTCTTTGGAGCGACCCAAATGAGCCAATGAGATGGCACGGCAAAACAACGCTAATACGCCAACATCACAAATCTAGCTCGTACTGTATACAGTTTATTATCGCACAACTCACGAAAACAAATTGCCCATAGCACGAATTTCGGCCGGTGTGTTTATGGTGTGTTTACAAACGCCTGGGCCAGTTGCAAGTGCTTTAAAGTATAGCTTGACGTGACTGAACATGAATTGCTACATCCACACTCGACTAGCGAATGGATTTAGATTTGCTGCCATCATCAGCCATGGATCAATTCACTGCTGGATGGCCTCACCATGCTCCCACGTACTCACACATGACCCCTAGGTCTAGGTATGTGTCCATCATGGTAGTACATGGGCATGGCCATATCTGTACATTGTACATTGGGGTACTTGCGCATGGCCTCGGATGTGTAACAAATTACACTTAACTTTTAACCAATGGGTGAAGTGTAAATCCTTCGGTAACGATACAGTAATGTGGTAGACTGCACATTACCTAATCTAAGTGTACACATGGCGCTCAGACGTGGGTGTGCTTATAACAACACGTGGCTTTAGCTAGGAGTACTGTACATTCGCGTGGCCTACACTTTTAACCGAGTACACCAACGGGGTGCACGTGGCTTTGGTTGCGAGCACAGTACACGAGTGTCGTGCCACATTGCACTTTGTCTGCATTCGTGGACGAACTCGCCCGTGGCCTCCGATGCGTACACTTGTACGTGATTTTAATCCCAAATGGCAATGCACCATGGTGCCCAACCCCAGGAATCCCACGAAACACAAGCTGACAGACCTATGATCACATCACGCCGAATGAGCCCAATTTCGCCAGATCCTCGCCTCGTTATACCGCATAGAGGCTTGAATAGGTGACCACCACCACCACGCACACACACACAGTGAGTGATGAAGCTGCAGCTTCAATACGGTGGCCACAGAAGACATGGCAGGCCAGCAAAATCCATCTGTACTACAGTCGTTTCGTTTTACGGCCTTGCACTCCAGACCCGCACTGGGACCGGCGTTCCCAATGTGAACATTGCAAACAACCGCGGCGGCGGCCGTGAGAAGGCCCTCCTCCATCCCTCCCTCCCAGTACAGTGGCGTCAACAATAAAGGGGCTGTCCACATCCAGCAGTGGCGTGACCACACCGGGCAGCGTGTGCGTGTGTGTGTGTAAGAGGCCGAGGGAGGCCACTCACGCATAGCTTTAAACATGAACGCGACGTCGTCCCCGTCGGCCCCGCCAGGCATTGGACGCTCACCCCCCCACCCAACCCCGGCCGCGACTCGGCGGCGAGGCGCGTCCGCCACAAGTAGCAAGCGAATAAGCACGGCGTGTGCGCGTGTCGCTATGCTAGTCGTTTGTTGTTGTTCGTAGTAGTAGTTGTGGTGGTTGCTGCATTACTGTGGGCTTGTTTTCATTGTTGTTGTTGTTGCTAGCGCCACAAAAGCCGGAATGTCGGACTCGGCTCCGGCTGGGCCATGCGCTCCGATTTCCCAGCGCGCTTAGGCGTGGATCTCAACCGCGATTGGACGGATGGGTGAGGAGGGGGGGGGGCGGGAGCTTGAGGGCGAGTTTGACCAATGGAAAGGCGGCGATTCCGAGGCGCCGGCGCAGTGGGCGGAGCGAGCGGCGCGGATGTGCAGTGGGAAATGTGGGAAGGCGTGGCTTCTCTTTGATTCTCAGGCTTCAGCTGTGAAGTCATGGGGGGCAGGGTATTATACATACTATATTATACATACTATATTATAAATACTATATTATACATACTATATTATACATACTATTTTATAAATACTATATTATACATACTATATTATACATACTATATTATAAATACTATATTATACATACTATATTATAATACTATATTATACATACTATATTATAAATACTATATTATACATACTATATTATACATACTATATTATACATACTATATTATACCTACTATATTATACCTACTATATTATACATACTACATTACACATACTATATTATACATACTATATTATACATACTATATTATACATACTATATTATACATACTATATTACACATACTATATTATATATACTATATTATAAATACTATATTATACATACTATATTATACATACTATATTATACATACTATATTATACATACTATATTATAAATACTATATTATACATACTATATTATAAATACTATATTATACATACTATATTATACATACTATATTATAAATACTATATTATACATACTATATTATAAATACTATATTATACATACTATATTATACATACTATATTATAAATACTATATTATACATACTATATTATACCTACTATATTATACATACTATATTATACATACTATATTATAAATACTATATTATACATACTATATTATAAATACTATATTATACATACTATATTATAAATACTATATTATACATACTATATTATACATACTATATTATACATACTATATTATACCTACTATATTATACCTACTATATTATACATACTACATTACACATACTATATTATACATACTATATTATACATACTATATTATACATACTATATTACACATACTATATTATACATACTATATTATACATACTATATTATACCTACTATATTATACATACTATATTATAAATACTATATTATACATACTATATTATACCTACTATATTACACATACTATTATACATACTATATTATACATACTATATTACATACTATATTATACCTACTATATTACATACTAAATTATACCTACTATATTACACATACTATATTATATATTCTAGATTTGAAGCTTTCGTGACTGCAAGGATTCATACTCTTAGGTTTTTTCGGTAAAGTCACGTAGGTAAAAAGAAATAATAAATTATGCAAATAATAGAAATGATAATAGAAATAAAATAATAAATCACGACGTTTCGGAGGCAACACAAGTCTCCGTCATCAGGTGGGACCGTCACAGCTAGATTTACTGTATTAAGTGAGGCAAAAATTCCAAGAGACAAGTTCTTAAATACAAGTTAAGGGGGAGGAGGGGGGAGGGGCTTATCTGAATGTGGTAGCCAATGAATGGAACGTGTTGGGGGGTGGGCGGGGCTGAAAGAGAACAATAGGTGTACAAGTTGTCGTGCTACCCGGTGTTGGTTGACAATCCAAATACAATAAGTATAACCCGTAAAAACAAAGTTTTTCACTACAAATCCTTTATATGCGTGGCGGCTAGAGTCCTCTCGTCCTCTGGCTTGAGATGGCTGCCACCTATGGGTCAGATGATTGTCTGCCAGTATTAAGCAATTGGTAATTAAATATTTAATTTGTTTTCCCTAAACAGTGTAAAATTTTGGAGAAAAAATTTCACGAACATTAATTGTCTCGCACAACGAGTCTGTGTGCAAAATGTCAGCTCGATTGGATCACGGGAAGTGGGTTAAAAAACGACCGAAAGATTTGCACGGTCGTAAGCAAGCAAGCACGCAAGCACGCAAGCGAACTTAATATAAAGGATTTAAAAAGGAGAGTACTGTTAAACGCTGGGGATGTCAACACTCGGTAAAGTAGAATAGTACCTGTCAAAAAAGATGGTCCAAATATGTGTAGATTTTTTTATATTCATCGAATGCTTTTTACACGCCACTATCATATGTGGTTAACGCAGACTCGATACCTCGCAATCGGTATCCGTCTGGTGTTTGAACATCCTAACGCCTCGTACTCAGATTGTAAATATTTGTGGCTTTGCTCTCCACCACACCAGTAACGAATTGCCACGTTCTGTTTACGTGACAACCCTTTCTCATCGGCTGTGTCGGGTGGTGGCGGGTTTCACGACACATTTCTGTTTACACGATCTAACACCAGTTTTATTGCCAGAAAGGGTAAAGCCTATTCATGTTTAGGGGGCGTCCATAAATGACGTCACGCGATTTTGGGCGATTTCGTCACACGGCGTCACACAAAGTCAGACCCCCCCCCTCAAATATGACGTCACAAAGCTCTGCCCCCCCTCCCCCCAAAAAAGAAAACATGCTTCAAATCTCTTTAAACTATTGTCATTGTAGTGCGTATTTAATGTGGCGCTGCACTCTGATGTTGTAGGAGGAAACATTTATTTAAAAATATATTTAATTAAGTAGAACGTGTGGTTTATATTTATTTAAAGTTGTGCATTTTGATGTGACGTCACATTTCTCACCCCCCCCCCCTCTCGTCACACATGGTCACAAATGTCTAACCCCCTCCCCCTAGGTGCGTGACGTCATTTATGGACGGCCCCTTACATGGGGGGGGGGGGCCTTCTCCCTATGCAGTGTGTCTGGGGGGGCTATATGACCATGCTTCACGACTGCTCAGTGCGGGCTGGTGAATGAATGGGTGCAGTAAGGCGCATTTGCTGCATCGCATGAGCGTGAGAGATTGCAAAGGCTTTGGGTGGTAGGGGGTCTTCATCCAGCAGTAGATCGACCATGGCTGAATGAAGTTGAGCATTGGTTGAAAGCCAGCCTGACTGCTGATGATGCTCGTTGCAATTACTGGCGAAACGTACTCACATTGTAACCGTTGTGGCTTTGCTCTCCAACACACGTGTTGCTTTTCGATTTAAAGCTTTCGTGACTGCAGTGATTCATCTTCTTGGTTCTTTCGGTAAAGTCACGTAGAAGGGAAGTAATAAAATAATAAAAATAAAACATAATAAAATAAAATATTATTATGCTTTATTTTTATTATTTTATTACTTCCCTTCTACGTGACTTTACCGAAAGAACCAAGAAGACACGTGTTGCTGTTTACTCGTGCAGCGACATCGCTGGATGTCGCTGCATGTGGCCAGCCGGGGAAAGGCACGCCACACAATACATTGACAGCACGGACACCACCACCAGCGGAACTCGAGGAGTACGGACTGCCAGCAAGCAGTGGCACCCTGCGCTGGGTGCAGTTCCAGCCCTACAGGATAAGGGGGCTGGCTTCGGGAACGGGGATTCACGGGGCCATGGCACTCTGATTGACCCCGGAGGACACGTGCCCGGAGGCGTCTACCTGGAGACTCCCAAAAAAGGGGGCTGGGAAAACCACGTGGGAAGCGGAGATCCTTCTCGATAGTTCGAGAAGGGGGTCGTGGCTAGGGGCGGAGCGAGCCCTGCCACAGAGGATAAAAGCCGGTCTCTCAGTGGGACCGGCTGCTGTTGTGATCCTCAAGAAACCACGTGCGACGCCTACGTCCGAAGAGAAGACCAACACGGGACCTGGACCCAAGCTGGGGTCCCGTCCGTCGTAGCTACTCCCAGTGTAGTTAGCCTGATGGACCACCACCATAGGTTACTATCTGGTAAAGGGGTAGTTAGCCCTTTGTGTTAGGTGTTGGTGTTAATAAATGTGTTGCCTCCAAACAATACGTCTGAGTGTCCGTTTGAGCCCACTATACTAGTAACGAATTGGCATGTTCTGTTTACGTGACAATCCTTACTAAATGGTGGTAGTGGGTTTTACGACATTTATATTTACGCGGTCGAACCAAAAAAAACTGTATTATGGATATTGGTCGCGAAAGCCTACGTGTTAAACTGCTGATGAGACACTATATTGAAACTGGTGCAGTGGGCTTGCATTCAACCAATGCTGTTGAAATGATATACACTTCCACGAAGACCTTGATGGTTTCGTATGCACGTAGCGATTTTATGAATTGTTACAATTTGTAGCCCGCTTTTCCATTTCGATAATCGATTCTTTTTTTGCGATTGTGAATGTAGCGCCTCTAGTGGTTGCATATTTATGCGAATAGGTTCCAAAACGAGTAACAATCGCAGGGTGCGATTTGCCTGTTATTCCTAGAACTGCGCTTTTAGGTCTGGCCGGGGGGATAAATGTATCTCTCCTGGATAAAATAATTTACATTTGCCAGGATTGAGCCTCCTTCGTAATTGAATGACAAACTTCTTTGCAATAGCAGGTGGTGTATGGTTGGGGCTGGCTGCGGGCTAGCCAATAAATGTCAGGAGAGCAATGGATTCTTGAATCTCTCTCTACGGAGCTTGCCTGTTTTTTTTTTCCGGGTACGAGAGGTTTCCACTCATCTGAAGCGAATCACGATTGAAATTGGCCAAACACCCCACTGTAGCAAGACCCTCATTAAAAAGTAGATGCTCGAGTTAGGCTTCCCATGGTAAAATGCACTTACACGATTTAAAAGTGCATATTTATCACATTAAGGCAATATCACCCATTATGCGTTGCTATTTTCAGTTGTCAATATATTATTAGATGAAGCCCTTCTCTTATCTGACCAAACATCACCAGGTTTAGTCTCTTATAAGAACAACACAATGACGCATTTCATAATTTTATTTGCATGATATTCGTCAATATGCATTTAAAACACGTACAAATGACAATCACCGAAGTCGCCAGTATTTTTATCTGGCTCGTAAGGCGAGTTTCGTTCTCATGTCATGGATGCTGGGCTAAAATGGTCCACCGCCAGTATCACCTAAAACTTGAGGATTCAAACATTTAAACAAAACCATGTTTGCATGTTGGTCTTAATGTGTTGTGTCCATGAAATCATGATTGTATTACATGTATTTTTACATTGACATTCCAGCAGCTAATGTATTGCACTACAATACATGAACAGTACAGATTTAGTGAACTATGGGAACTGCATCTCTAAACATGTATGCACATTATAGGAAGTGCATACATGTATTGAACGTTTGCATAGGTCTATATACTAACTGCAATTTAATATCAGCACAAGCCAAGAACGAAACAATAAAACAATTGCAACTTTTAGTAAAGCACTGAATGGATCACTTTGAACACAACACCATCAATCGTAATGTGTTTTACATTCGGATGCGTGTTTTTATCACGTGTCTTTGTTAATACAGTAAGTTATCTTGATGAGCTTAAAGAAAATGCCTACAACCTTATTAGTTCCAAGCTTCTTATGCAGCAACAATTGTGTTTTATTGTGGAGCAGTAATGGTCAATATGAATGAGCTATGACAAATTTAAAATATCACCTTCTCGATTGCATTAGAATTACATTAAAAAATAAACTCTGTAATACCCAAATACGTTAATGCATTTTCAATTTCTTATAAGCGTCACTCATGAGCTTAATTATAAGTGAGCTTACTAACACTTTTCACTTACAAAATCTAAATCAGTTTCTGAAACTTGCTGGTGATAGATGTTAAACGCATATCAAACATCAAGCTTTAAACAAATGTGAATTGTAAATGTAGGTTATGGTAAATGAGTGGGAACTGTGCTCATTTGTCATGATATAAAGCAGGCATCTGTGAACATATCCTCCCCCTTATCTTGTTTCAGACCTCAATGGTCATCAAACCCTGGCATGGGAAAGCTGCGTGCAAACTTCTCCACTTGCACCTTCAGCTCTGTGACACGTGCCATGGTCTCGCCGTCAGACAGTAGGTTGGCTCGAAACTCCTTCAAGTTTGCTGCAAGAGCAACCCACAAATAATTATCAGTACAAATGCCAACCAGGTAAAATTCCTTTATCATTAAAAACACATTCATTAGATGTTTTAGTTTATTAGTATCATCGGCAGCTATGCTCAATCCACTGTTGGATAAATGCCCCCCCCCCCCCACCCAGTCACCATCCCACAATTTTGGGATGTCATAATTCATCTCACACATGCGCATAAGCTGATGTCATCGCTGCATCTCCACGATGGTCGATATCTAGTCTCGATGTCAAGGGACAAGAAAACAAGACTAGGGGAAAACTATATCTACTCAAGTGTCAATTCAAGTCATGTGTGCATTTGGTAGCAGGGTTATACCGTCATAAGCAGCCCTGATATATCCACTGCTGGATGACAAGTGTGAAACCATTCCTCACTGTCCTTCACATGAGCTGATCTCACCAACTCCATCTGTGTTGGGCATCCTCCGTGAGCGTGCTCTCTTCTTTAGTTTACCATTCCATCAGTCTCGTCCATTGGCCATCGTCCCTTCTCGCGGTGTCCTGCCCAAACTCCCTTTTCTTACCAATATATCGAATTTGTGTTTGTTATTATTCCATCTTGTTCTCCGAGGGCCACATTTCCAAATTACTAAATAATGTTTTCTCCCTTTATTGATGCCATATGCCATCGCATTCTGATTTCTATTTTAATCATTTTTTTTCGAATGGTTTCAAACAGTTTATGAGTTTCCAAAGCAAATAGGACTTGTTTATTTTTACAAACCTGTTTTTTTCTTCACATCGCTGGCAATGGCAATTCCTTTGTCAATGAAGTCCACCACTTTTTCAAAGTCCTGCTTCCTTAAACTGACGAGACGTCAATGCAGGGGCACCTAAAATGAAAGGATTGTCGGTTTTCAACTTTACACAAGATTCTAGCCGGTCCACAGCGATAAAACGTATTCCACATATCTGTGTTAGATACCCAACGGAGTCCACATTGCATTAAAAAATGACTTGGCTTACCCAGCCGCAGCCCACCGGGTGTGAGTGCACTCTTGTCACCCGGGCAAGTGTTCTTATTGGCAGTGATCGAGACCAACTCCAGCACCCTCTCGGCCCGTGCTCCGTCCATCTGCTTTGGCCGCAGGTCAACCAGCACCAAGTGATTATCAGTTCCTCCTGCAAACAAAAAGCATTTTCATTTAAATAGTATCGACTGGTCTTCCCTAAACAATACTAAACAACGTCAATTATGACTTTTTGATACTGAACAAAACCTAAAAAAACTCTTTGTAATACAAGGCCACAAATAAAACTATTTCCCATCTTGTGGAATATGAAAAGGCAAACATAACAGGACCAAATACAAAAACAGCATTAATAGCAGTGATCATTTAACCCTTCAAATGATAATGGTATGTTGTTTAAAATATGAGGTTAAACCCAACGAACCTGACACCAATGTATATCCTTTGTGAAGCAGAGCTGCTGCCATAGCTTTGGCGTTCTTCAAGACTTGTGTCTGGTACTCCCGGAACATGGGCTCCGCTGCCTAGAAAGCAATAGGTATGTTGAAAATTAGTGTCAAAAATGTGCACTCCTTGTGACAGTGCAGATGAGTAATGCTGTTGTCTGGATGCCGCACCTGTTTTAGAGCTACAGCCACGGCAGCAATAGCATGGTTATGGGGACCACCCTGAAGTGATGGGAAGACCGAAAAATTAATGCGGTCTTCTAAATCGTACATAATCTGGTTTCCAGTCTTCTTGTTAACCTCCTTTACTCCCTTTCGAAAGAAGATCATTCCAGCTCTGGGGGGAAAAAAAACATATCAGAAGACCGTTTTGGTAATTAAATGGTATGGCCAATTTGCGTCAAACTCACAAAATGCATTATTTTCCATTTATAAGTGCTAACAATCAATTTGAGATGTTTCTAATTAGGACACGTTTTATATTCTAGCACCCTGCTATTTTCACAGATACATTTCATTCTAGCGAGTCATAAATATAACGGTGAAGTTGACCTTCAGCACCCGCAGTAGAGATAATTAGTTGACTTTAGTACTCAAATTAATTAAATACGGCTAATATAATTAACCACAGGGACACACGGAGCCCATGGTTGAGTGAAAATTGTAATGAGGTCTGCAGCCGGACACACACGTGCATGCACATTTATAATTGCAAGACCACACTTACCTAGCGCCACGCAGTGTCTTGTGTGTGGTCGTGGTTACCACGTCAGCATGCTCAAATGGGGAGGGGATAACGCCAGATGCTACCAGCCCACTGATGTGAGCCATATCTGCCAGCAAATATGCCTTCAAGCCATCACAGATCTGATTGCATCACAGCAGGAACAGGTTGAGAAAACAGCAAGGTTAGGAATCACTTTGTGCAGCTCAGAATTTTAAACAAAAACTAAAATCTTCAAAATGTGAAAGTAATGCATAATATGTCCCGTTGAGGTGAAGTGATGGAACTTGCAGGCCTTTGTCTCACCTTGCGCATGCGCTCGTAATCTATTAGGCGTGCGTATGCACTGGTCCCGGCGATGACGAGCCGTGGCCGAAAGAGTCGTGCATTCTCCTCTAGACGATCGTAATCAATCAGACCTGTGGCCGGCTGTAACACACGCAGGGTTGTAAATGGTACACATGGCTTGCATTACAAATTAGGAGTCAAGGCTACATTTTCAAATAAAAAGAACACAGCATTATTTATATAAATCCTATAGTTCGATGCACTACTCACGTTGAGCCGATACGGCATTGACTCAAAGAAAATGGAAGTCGCGGATATGCGCTTGGCATCCGTCATGTATCCATGTGTCAAGCTGAAATAAGAGACATCGCTGAGATACAATCTGCAAAACTGGTACCGTAATTATTTTTCAAATATCGTTATGAGGCACACTGCAACAGTATATGCTTGGTTCTTTTGGTAAAGTCACGTAGATAGAAAATAAAAAAAATAAAAAAAACCCACGATGTTTCGATCGTAACACAAGCGATCTTCATCAGGCGGATGAAGACCGCTTGTGTTGCGATCAAAACGACGTGGGTTTTTTGCTTTTATTTCATTTTTTATTTTAATATTTTCTTCCTGTCTACGTGACTTTACCGAAAGAACCAAGAATACGAATTCCTGCAGTCACGAAAGTTTTAAGCCAAAGTTTACACTGTAACAGTGTCTATATATCTGAAAGCAAGCCAAGCATTAATGTAATCACAGCAGAGGCAATATGGAGTGACTTCTGAAACACTATTTGGCAGACACTGCATTCAGATTAATGTGCATATGTCGACATTGGTGTGCACCGCAAAGAGCTGCATCTCGTACTGTCCGCCATCGGGCAGGTCCAACCCCATGATGCGGTCGTGTGGCTGAAGAAGAGCCGTGTAGGCGGCGAAATTTGCCGGCGAGCCAGAGTAAGGCTGCACATTGACACCCCATTTCTCTGGGTCCAGCCTGTATGCGTCTAGAGCCCTCCGCTGGCACAGCAGTTCAATCGTGTCCACTACCTCCGCTCCGCCGTAGTACCTACAATTGGACAACATGGATGTGCATAAAAAAGATGCAAACAATTCTGGCATGCATATCCAACTAACCAAAAATCCCTCAATGATATTTTGTAACATGTAGAGAAGACGCACTGTAATGTACGTGCATTTACTATCGCAAGTTGTGCTGGAAAGCTATCCAGTGTTTCCGAGTTCTACTGGGTATTGTTTGGCATGATGTCTGTTTCGCACAACAGTTCCTAAACAGGATCCCAAAACATTGAACAAAATGTTGTACGTTATGCCAAAAAACGTGGTACAAGCCAAATAACATGAGATATAAGTATAGGTCTTATTTCTTAAACATTGAATGTTTATATAAAAACAACCAAAAAACATGGCAACACAACATTCAATATTACCTCTTTCCTGGATAACCCTCAGAGTACTTGTTGTTCAAGCAGGAGCCAAGAGCTTCCAGTGCAGCCTTACTGCAGAAATTCTGCAAATACAACAACAATGAAAAATATGAATACGTGATCAACCTTTGAGTTGTTGGAATAAATTAAACATAACTTAGCTTGAGCCCTCAGCATGTGCAAGCCAACATCACACCCACAAACTCAGGAGTCTCACGAGTACCTCCGATGCAATGAGCTCCAGTCCACGGCACTGGCGGTCCTTCTCAGCTTGCACGAGTGCCCACATCTCGGGATCGCTGTCCACCAGGCTTTCCTGGCCAGTCCAGCCAGGCCCCTCGGCCATGCTTGACCTCGCCTGTGTGTGCTGGCCACGTGATGCTAGCCATGTCAGCGATGTACGGCAGCATTCTTTTACTGGCTGCAGAAGGTGGACGGTACAGCACACGGTTGTAATTACCAGATATAAATTTGGTGGCGTTCATGAACAAACTCTCATTAAGAAATACTAATTTATATTCCCGAGGTGATAATCAAAAGAAGGTGAATTAGATCATGGATCCTAGTCATTGCATTTCTTTTTAATTCGCTAACTGCTACACTATAAAAATATAAACCTATAGGACCCAAATAATTGAGATTATTCATCACTCAGCTTTCAAAGCCATGAGAACTGCTCCTTTGATAAAAAAACATTACTTAAGTATCTTATAAACGAGAATAGATGTTAAAACGCCAAACTGAAACCTTTTACAAGGAATCATGTCTGCATTAACCACAATACTTGTGGTCAGAATGCAAAACAAAACACTGATAATATATGCATTGTCTTTGAAATGGATTGGTCCACACCAGAGACACCTTTCTTTTAAGCCTCGTCTCAAAACAGTGTGAGACCAGAGGATGCCAAAAGGCCTTTTGGCATCCTCTGGACGCCAAAAGCTGTCTCTGGTGTGGACCAATCAGTTTCCAAGACAATGCCATATATTATCAATGTTTTTTTGTTTGCATTCTGACCACAAGTATTGTGGTTAATGCAGATATGATTCCTTGTAAAAGGTTTCAGTTTGGTGTTTTAACATCTTAACACCTGTTTTGTTGCCAGAAATAAGGGGAAAACCTATTCTCATATTTTGGTACTGGAGGTCCCATGATGTATTTTATAAATGTGCATTTACTGCTTAACACTATGTTTAAGAGTCAAGTAACATGGGAATAAGATCAACGCATGATTTAAACAATAGTTAACAGACATTCTGCATGATTACACAATGTAACTGATGCATCCTTAATCAACACTGAACGGACTACAAATAGTTTTCAACTTGACTGCTAAAATCTAAACTTGTTTTCTACATGTTTTAGGTACTAATTGGCAGGTGAAAAAAATGCATAAATAAACCAGTAAAAAGGTAAAATTAAAAAACTATCGAATATTTGACACCACATGTTATTCAACACCACATATACAATGTATACATTAATCTATTACAAGAAAAAATACCTTTTGTTAAAACGCACATTTTATTACTATGCATATCATGACGGCAATACATGTCATGTGTAAGAAACTGTTCTGTTGCAATAGATAAGATGTTGCTCTTTCGCCCCAATAGGAGAACACAATTCAGGAGAAAAGTGCTTGAGAGGGCAAGCGCATATAAACGTAACTTTACACAACTTTTACGCGGCCAGTACAAACTGCTGCATAATCTGTCGATAAAATCAAGTTCAAGGTAATGTCAAAGGTCAACTTATCTGTAAAGAAAGCAATGCAACTGCACAGCAACTAGTTTGATCAAATAATCCATGTTGTGAATCACAATAAGACTCGTTATGAGGATGCATTTATATAATTGACATTTTCTCACAAGTTACTGCTCAGTAGATTAAGGTGATTTTTAATCCTTCAATTTCGTTTCAAACTTCTCACAGGACAGTGAAGCAATTTGACACTTCCATTATAATTTGTAAAATACAGTACTTAACATTTGAAAATCCAATAGCACCATTCTGCTCATATGAAACTTACACCAATTCATCAGAGGTATTGCATATATCTTTCTCAACATCCTTTTCCTATTAAATTGTGTTTTTTCTGTTACCAATTAGCATATGCCATGAACAGAATGGTCAACACTGAATTTGGGTACAGTTCAAACTGAGATAAGGTTATTTGTTTTCCTGAGCCTGCACTTGTGAATTGAATAGAACATCACATTTCACATGCACACCAAAATAGTGCAATCTACATAACCCTTGACCACTGCACATCCTAACAAAGTGGCACAAAAAGCTCGGTCGGTTACTGACTATCTGCAAAACTCTAAACTATATAGTATAAAATGAAGGAGTAAAAATTTGCTTTATAGCTCATGTGCTGTTGATTCAAAGTTTAACATTGATAAAGCCAAGAGGATAATTATATCACACTAGCTTGTTAGCCCGTCCTAAGACGGAAGCTGTAATATTAAAGATGTAATTAACGTTTTATTGTGTGATTGTTAATTTTGTTAGGAAATGTAGCACGTAAAGACATTTTTCTTAACTTATGAAATTAAATTAAGGTCTTTGGAAGATTTCTCGGTATACGATATTTTGTGTGAAACTCTTATCACTGTTAAAAAGGTTTCCCTGTAGTTGACTATCGTTGATGAACACTTTGATCCGCTGAGGATATTTTGATCTAAACAGAGCCACGTACAACTGGCCATAGGAAAATACGGGTTCATTGAGATAAATACCCACATTTTCAAAAGTCTGACCCTGCGACTTGTTGATCGCGGAGTGAAGTCACCCGTTCATGATTATTAATGAGGGGGGGAGGGTCCATGTGGAGGACCCCACCTGTTCATGATTATTAATGAGGGGGGCTGGTCGACGTGGAGTGACGTCACGCGCGTTACACACATACATTCTTGGCTCTTTATATTAGTAATAAAAAAACAATCCTCTTCTGGACCCAGACAATTATTTACACATACAAGTTTATTTTTTCAAATGAATGCATTTAGTAGGGACATATACAGGCCTTTTATAAATCCACTATTGGATGAGGGCCTCCTGTGGACCATGGGAGTTATGTGGCCATACTTCACCACACTGCTCAGGGCAGGCTGGTGAATGCAGGGGAGTAGCAAACAGAACGCTGAATGTCGCTGCAGTGTTAGAGATGTAATACTTTTGTCAATAATTTTGTGTATGTAAATGGAGTAATATATTCTACTTGTAAGAGGGCAATTGGAAACTTCGTAAATCGCAACACAAAACGCATGCATATCATCCCCAGGGGGCTTGGCCAGTGAGCACTCGTGATTGGTGGCTCGAGGGGAGGGCGTGGTGCCACCAGCCACGTGGGTGATGAACAAGGACACAAATGAACCTTATGGCGGGACCCCGGGGTCCCAAATAAACGGAATTCAAAATCGTAATTAATGTATTTTTTTTGGTGACTCCGTCCCACCGTGCACAAACGTCGCGACCCACCTGGTGCGGATCATTCTGTTGTCATGTCGTCCAAGCACAGCAGCGAGGACGAATGCACAGAAGAGCTAAACAAGCGAATGCACTCCATCAGGATCATAAGTCTTATCCAAAGCTGCTCAAACTGCCTACATGACCCAAGTACTTTATTTGATCCTTATGGCAGTACCAAAATACTAAATGGCCGAGGCAATTAAATATTTTATTTCTGGGACACTACTTTTTACAGGAGTGTAGTTAACTCTGCGACTAGGGTACCAATCAATCTAAAATCAGTGCTACTCCACAATGTTGAAACGCAGCGAGGACGATTGCGCTGGAACCCTGAACGCTCATATGCACCATCGTGGTGCATCGTGTACAGCTCGTCGAGATGAGTCGATTGCCGCATCGCCAACCAACAGACTAAAAATTACTGCATCACGGACATTATGCGAGAGCCGGGGTACCGCCATAAGGTTAATTTGTCATAACGGTATGCATAATAGAGTGAAACTGCTCTCTTATCTTCATTAATATTTGCGACCTACCAATGTCTGCAGCCAGGATCAATCGATGACAATTCTATTACCTGCAGATATTTAACAGATGCGATGCGTTGCACCGTTAATTCCTGTTTGATAATATTTCTCTTGTCCGTATGCATCTGTGCAGATAGGTATGTTTTTGCGGTTAAGCCATAGTCCCCACATACCGCTCGTATCAATGCGGATAAGAGGAGCGGCGACCCACTACTCTGTAGAGTAACATTGGTATAAGCGCCTGGTTACAATATAACCAGCGCATTGACAACGCGTACTATTTTATTTACTGTTTACAAAGTGTGTTCACAAATCCACACTGAGAAACACGATGATTGACAGGTGTAAATTATGTTTTCGATTAGGAATTTAAAGTGGTACTGCAGGCAGGGCCGAATTAAGATTGTGTAGGCCCCTGGGCTCCAGGTACTGTGAGGCCTCCAGTAATATTTTCAAAAGGAAAATAATTTAAAGAAAAATACGATTTGTTTTTTACAAGGCTAACAACAAATAAAAATGCAGCATTCACAAATGAAGGAACTTTTCACTTCAATCTCTGGAGGCCCTCCAGCTGGCGGAGGCCCCTGGGCTGCGGCCCCTAAAGCCCACGTGCCTTAATCCGGCCCTGACTGCAGCCAAGTAGTTTTCAGTTTTAAAGGCATAGTTTAACAAGACAACACTTGCCACCATCCTTCAAACCCATTGGTGAAAAAATTAACCCGTAAAAACAAAGTTTTTCACTATAAATCCTTTATATGCGTGTTCAATGGGCCACAACCCAGCCCACATTGGTGTGTGAAACGGGTGGCTAGAGTCCTCTCGTCCTCTGGCTTGAGATGGCTGCCACCTATTGGTCAGATGATTGCCTGCCACCATTAAGCAATTGGTAATTAAATATAATAATTTATTTTTACCTAAAAAGTGTACATTTTTTGAAAAAAATTTTCACGAAAAGAAATTGTCACGCACAACGAGTCTGTGTGCAAAATGTCAGCTCGATTGGATAACGGGAAGTGGGTTAAAAAACGACAGAAAGATTTGCACGGTCGTAAGCGCGCAAGCAAGCAAGTGAACTTAATATAAAAGATTTAAAAAGAGCAAAGTTTTTGTTGACATTATAATATAATGTTTATGCGAGAGCCGGGGGCTTATGGGGTCCTGCCATAAGGTTTAAATGTTTTAACCTCTCACATAAACTGCGTTGTGACGTCATTTTATGTCTGTTGAAGGCGAATGATACGGCAATCTATTCCTCTCGATGAGCTCTACACGATGCGCTAATCAAAGTTTAAAAGTTTAGTTTATGACTACGGTAATTTTGGCAACGACGTGACAACAGAATGATCCGCGTCAGGCGGGTCGCGACATTTATGTGCGCGGTGGGACGGAGTCGCCAAAAATCAATTAATTACGCTTTTGACTTCCGTTTATTCGGGTCCTGAATGTGCCAGACATTCAGGAATAAATAACAAGCGTTACCCAATTATCACACATATTTTCTACCCTTGCTCTATAGACCATAAATATCCGTGCAGTGCTTTGCACTCCGGTACTAAACTGCCCGTAAATACATACCATTCATAGCCCTTCAATAAACCAAAGCCGTTCTGTTAACATGATAATTGTATTGACTTATTCCAACACGCTGGGTCAGTGCGGGTTGATTCAGTGGGGACCCATGACCAGTCCAGATAAAACTCGCCACTATTACTCTCATATTTTTTCCGGCCTAAATGCATTTTCCTGTTTGTCACTATTTACAGAAAGTGCTATAATTCGCTGAGGCCTGGAATCAAACTCAGATCGCCAGGTTCATCGTGCACTGCGCCACCACCACACCCTGTTCACACAATATTAGAAAACCTTGGATACAGCATTATACAGTCTGGGAAAACTTCCCGGGATGTTTCTGTGAGTTCATGTTTAGCACACTCGACTTGAAATCCAGGTCACTGGTTCGATCTCCTGGTGCGCACATAAATGAATGGTCAACTTTCTTTAATAAATGGGTACACCATTTAGTGGATTGGCAGACCATGTGAGGTTGTGTAAAATGTGGATACTTTAGTCTCTTCAAAGACATTTGGTCAGTGTGGAAGAATCGGCCAAATAAAATACCTCCTAGAGCTCCATTGTTGGCAGTGGTGCTAACAAGTCAATGTCGGGCTACACCTTAACGTTTTATAGAAAATGTATTTCAAGTGTGAACACATTTTAATCAAACCAAAAGCCTAAAAACCACAAGCACGTTTTAAAATGAAAAACCAAAATATCTTGTGCTATCGATCGAGAACTGGTTTAATATAACAATCTAATAAAAGTGGAAATCAATGTGTATGAAATCATGACGGGGAGGGGAGGGCCCTTTTTGGAAGTGGTGGGTGAGCGGCTGGAAGGCGGAGGGGGGGAAAGTGGGCTGATGCAACTCTGCTCGCCTTGCATAAGCCGGCTTTCCCTGGCCTAACGCCTCGGGGTCCCGTGGGTCACTGGTACTCGACTGGGATTGTGTGGCCCCTCGACATTACTCTGGATCATCTTCGTGCATTCCACGAACCTGACTTACAGAGGGAAGCCGTCAGGTGGGAATTTCCACAGCGCCGAGTTTGTTTAAGGTGCTGTTTAGAACAATGGTGAATGTCTGTTAAAACGGCAATGAAACTTCTCTTCTAGATCCAAGAGTTAAGATGAATTGCAAACGTTTAGATAAAAACGTTTCAACAAATTGCAACGTTTTGAGAGGGAGACTGCTTCAATTCGATAGTAATATTGATAACGAATAAACTAAAATCAATTGTTTAATTTCGCTTTAAGTGAAAGGGCCATTGAGATTGACAATTGCCAAAACAACAGCGCTAATTACACAACATGGTCCAATAACGTGGCGAACATGGCAACTTCGTTCGCTGTTGGGGTGATTAAGTTGTGTTAAAAGTTGATGATAGAGTTTGTGGTGTCCTGTCGGTCAACGTGGTCCAGACAGCGATTACGATATCCTACAATGCGCTAGGATGCTTAAGTTCGGGATCAGCATGATTAAGCTAATGACCCTCACACCACCATGACAATCTTTCCGCATGCTGCTGCATGCTTACGATAGGTGATGTGAATCACCTTATGATTGTCATTAACGTTTACACAGATGACAAACAGATTAAGGGATGCTATTGATGATAAAAATGTCATTTCCAGCTCACCCGGATGATTTATTATATTACGATTCGCTGGCAGCGACGACTAATGGTCCATAGTTTAGCCTGTTGATGAAGAAGAGCTGCTGATAACGATCACCATCTCACTCTTGATGATGATGATGATGGCAATCTTGCTGCGACCCCTGGCCACCCACTCAGCATTCACCGCACGCATCGCGCCGACGTCAGCAGCATCGCCACCACGTTTCACGACTCGCTGCCCCCGAGGCACGACCACGTTAAACGCGAAAACAACACCTCGCGGCCACCCACAGCAGCAGCAGCACCAAAGACCCAAAGACACCACCCCCAACATACCCCATAGCCTGAGCAGACTGTTGGGGCAAGTGCTGTCAGCGAGCACCTATTAAGGCCGGGCACGGCACACGAGTGGCCAGCACCACGCACGACCGCCTTTGTCTCCCCAGTGGCGATGTTTGACACACCGCGGCAGGTACTCATTTTAGGCCGAGCCAACCTAGGCGAGGCCCAGGACCGGTTCAGATAATCGTCACCGAATGGGAATCGAACCCGTGTGGCCGGGTTTCGTAGCGCAATGCGCTAACCACTAAACCGCCGTTCTTGTAAGACTGTCAGTATGGTTGTGTTGTTGTTGTTGTTGCGGTGTTGTTGTTGTGGTGGTGGTGGTGGTGATGGACGCGACCCCAGGCCACCACTCACCGCGCAGAGCGGCCCCAGCAGCAGCCGCGACACGCGGCTCCTCGGCACCATCCTCCCCGGCCTCGTGCTGCACGGCACTGCGCATGCGCACACAAGGCTCCGCGTGTTATAAACCTCGCCCCGCCCCCACCTCCTCCTCCTCCCAGCTGGTCACGCCTACGTTAGTTATACAACATCATCATCATCACCTTCGAGATTTGAAGCTTTCGTGACTGCAAGGATTCATACTCTTTAGGGTTTTTCGGTAAAGTCACGTAGATAAAAATAAAAAATAAAAAATAAAAACAAATCATAAAATGATAAAAAACTATAATGGAAATAAAATAAGAAATCACGACGTTTCAGATAAGCCCCTCCCACTTAACTTGTATTTAAGAGCCTGCCTCTTGGATTTTTTCCTCACTTGATACAGTACATTTATCTGTGACGGTCCCATCTGATGACGGAGACTTGTGTTGCCTCCGAAACGTCGTGATTTATTATTTTATTTCTATTATCATTTTTAGCATTTTTATTATTTATTTTAATTTTATTTTTACCTACGTGACTTTACCGAAAAAACCTAAGAATATCATCATCACTATCATCTATCTTGGTGGACAAGTGCTCATCCTTGCCGGCGGTTTGTGTTTAATGATAACGGCACAACTCCACCAATTTGCCGACACCACTGCGGCCTGAAATGGACACATATATGATAGGCGACGGTTTGAGGAATGGTCCTTTTTCAGAGCACTTCAAAGTACGCGTGTGTGTGTGTGCTATGTATGAGGTTTGGTTTCATTTTGGCACGGGTAAAACCCATTGGGTAATACATGTCTGAGACTTGTGTTGCCTCCGAAACGTCGTGATTTAATTGAGTTATTTTCATTTATTATTATTTTATTTTATTATTATTTTTATCTAAGTGACTTTACCGAAAAAACCTAAGAGTATGAATCCTTGCAGTCACGAAAGCTTCAAATCTAGACTTTTTAATAAATGTTTCTCCTACAACATCAGAGTGCAGCGCCACATTAAATACGCACTACAATGACAATAGTTTAAAGCGATTTGAAGCATGTTTTCTTTTTTGGCGGGGGGGGGGGGGCAGAGCTTTGTGACGTCATATTTGAGGGGGGGGGGTCTGACTTTTTGTGACGTTGTGTGACGAAGGGGGGGGGGGTCAAAAATTGTCCAAAATCGCGTGACGTCATTTATTGACGGCCCCTAAGGATCACTATGGGAACCTCATTTGCCAGTAAAAATATGATAATTGTTTTTTTACCCTTCTATCTGGCAACAAAACTGACACCTTTTTACAAGGAGTCATGTTTGCATAGACCGCAATACCTGCAGTCATAATACAAACAAAAGAACATAACTAAGGGTCACTTGATGCTCCGTTTTGACACCGTGAATTCTAAACCCCGCCCCCACGTGACCCCTCCCCCTCTCGCCCCAGGCCCCACCCCCGCACCGCCCACCAAGCTATGCCTCCTGGCATGCACCGCATGGCCATGAGACGTGATGGAAGCGATTAAAACATTAGAATAGAGGTTAATTAAAACTGAAGAGGAGGAGGAGGAACACCCCACCCACCCCACCATCATTACAGAGTAATAGCGTATGCCGGAAAACGTTTAAACTATACAAAAGTAGGGATGTGCAAGAAGGCAACACAATCTCTGGTAGGGGCATTTGAAAAATCTTATTTTTAATGTGTGTTGTTTTATGTCACCATGAAAATTAATGTGACTGACAGCAGCGGTGATACAGTGATGGGCAACTGTGGACCCGGCTTCGTGAACATTGAAGCTCATACTGGTAGGAACCACCTGGTTCCACCAGCCCACAGGGGATTATTGTATCCGTCCGTCGTGCATCCAAAAATGGGAGGGGTGGGGCTGGGTGGAGAGGGGAGGATGGGGAGGGTGGGGAGGGGAGGGTGGGGAGGGGCTGGGTGGGGCTGGGTGGGGGGTGGGAGGAGTGGGGCTGGGTGGGGAGGGGCTGCTCACCCCGTGGTGCCCTTATAAAACTCAACGTTTAACCTACTCACGCCGGCTTGTGCCCGCCCTCACAGTCGGCCATATTTGCGGAATACACCACGCCGCCGTTGACCCTGGCCATTGACCGAGCAACCCAACGTTCCTACCAGCTCCCTCCGCAGGAATGTGTTCAAACACAGTAGACTATACCGTAGTCACCAATACTCGCTGCTTGCAAAGTCTGACTCTGGAAATCAAACACGTGGAGTCACTAATGTCGACGATCGAGACGCATTCATGACAGAGGTCGCAAACGGGGTTTGATTCCTTACCCGTACCCGGCCGCACCAGGGTCGCAAACGGGTATCCGTATCCGGCCGTACCCGTACCCTACCCGTACCCAGCCGGGTACGGGTATGGTACGGGTATCGGGTACCTGATTGCGACCTCTGGGATGAAGCCATGTTGCAGGCGCTGGTGGGTTGATTCTAGGAACTTGAATTGTGAGAAGAGACAAGACGTTGGGAAATGAGTGACAAACAGTTACTCACCAGTGACTCACGGCCTACCCGTACCCGTACCCGGCCGCACCAGGGTCGCAAACGGGTACCCGTACCTGGCCGGGTACGGGTAGCCGGGTATCGGGTAGGGTACGGGTATCGGGTACCCGGTTGCGACCTCTGATTCATGACCATCGACAACCACCGGTCCCGTCAGCCAACCCGACAGCGTCAATGGTTAAAAACAAATAGAATCTCCACGAACAATAACATCGTCTTAGCGGATTAACCGCTGCACAAGCTGGTAAACCACTTTGTTCATCGTCCTCGGTGACTGATCGAATCGCATACCGAAAATCAGAGAGCCGAAAATAACAACTAACATCGGAAGGTGGTAGGGTGGGAACATCACAGCCAGTTTTTTTTACATTAACAGATTAAATTTCTCACAGCCACCTCGGCGCGCTCGCCGTGGAGGATGCTCGGCTATCTCACATTAACATGCTAATCTCTCACATTAACATGCTAATCTCTTACATTAAAATGCTAATCTCTCACATTAACATGCTAATCTCTCACATTAACATGCTAATCTCTCACATTAACATGCTAATCTCTCACATTAACATGCGAATCTTTCACATTAACATGCTAATCTCTCACATTAACATGCTAATCTCTCACATTAACATGCTAATCTCTCACATTAACATGCGAATCTCTCACATTTACATGCTAATCTCTCACATTAACATGCTAATCTCTCACATTAACATGCTAATCTCTCACATTAACATGCTAATCTCTCACATTAACATGCTAATCTCTCACATTAAAATGCTAATTTCTCACATTAACATGCTAATCTCTCACATTAACATGCTAATCTCTCACATTAACATGCGAATCTCTCACATTAACATGCTAATCTCTCACATTAACATGCTAATCTCTCACATTAACATGCTAATATCTCACATTAACATGCTAATCTCTCACGTTAACATCGCCACCTCTGCACGCTCGCAGTGAAGGATGCTCGGTGATCTCCATTAACATGCTAATCTCTCACATGAACATGTTAATCTCTCACGTTAACATGATAATCTCTCACGTTAATATAGACACCTTGGTGCACTCGCCGTGGAGGATGCTCGGTGATCTCCCATTAACATGCTAATATCTCACATTAACATGCTAATCTCTCACATTAACATGCTAATCTCTCACATTAACATGCTAATCTCTCACATTAACATGCAAAATTTTCCCTGGCAGCCCTTTGATTGGTGGAACACCCACCACCACGGCCATCGCTGCCCACCACTCACATTAACATTGGCTGATGACATTTGGCCTCCACCCATTTAAAACCTTTATAAACTGTTTGCCTTTAGAAGCTAACCCCCCGTTTCCTGATGACGACCGCTTGTGTTGCGATCGAAACGTCGTAATTTTTGTTGTTTATAAATCCTTTATATTAAGTTCGCTTGCTCGCTTGCGTGCTTGCTTGCTTGCTTACGACCGTGCAAATCTTTCGGTCGTTTTTTAACCCACTTCCCGTGATCCAATCGAGCTGACATTTTGCACACAGACTCGTTGTGCGAGACAATTAATGTTCGTGAAAAAATATTTCCAAAATGTTACACTGTTTAGGGCAGGGGTCGGCAACCAAAATAACAAGAAGAGCCATTTCTTTCCAATTCGGTACAAAATTCAGTATTTCAAGAGCCGCAATGCATCTGAGTACATACGTACTCATCGTCAAGAAGCAGCCCGTAAAGAGTCGCATGCGGCTCCGGAGCCGTAGGTTTCCGACCCCTGGTTTAGGGAAAATAAATTAAATATTTAATTACCAATTGCTTAATACTGGCACACAATAATCTGACCCATAGGTGGCAGCCATCTCAAGCCAGAGGACGAGAGGACTCTAGCCGCCACGCATATAAAGGATTTATAGTGAAAAACTTTGTTTTTACGGGTTAATTTTTGTTATTTTCTTTGAACCTATCTACGTGACTTTACCGAAATTCCAAATAATAATCGCATACCGTGTCAACCCACACGGTTTTGCCCCGTATTCTTGTACAGGGAGATTGAGTTTTCAGGTCCATACGGGCCACAAAAAATATAAACTTTCGTCTATTTGTGTTTCTCCCTCGTGATGGGGACTCTGTAGGATGAACGTTGAGACCTATACGGGCACGGGGAGAGTTTGGCAGGCGTGGTATCGCCTCCCCTATGTCAAACCGTCGATTACGTCCCAAATTACTCCATACCCATCGATTAACTCCCTGACATTTTCTCGACGGCCGGCTCCCTCTGCAAGTAAATCAACATTTGCCCAGCGATCGCTCGCAATGACTCTCCCTCCCACCCCCCCTGGACATCTGTGTGAAAAGAGCTTCACAAGCTCGTCGCATTCTCTCGAGGTGTAAATAAAGAATTCTAATTCAATCGATGAAAATCGGGTGTGACGTCACACACAGCACCCCCCCCCACCCACCCCCCCACTGTCGCTGACCCGGATGTTGTCACGGCGGGGGGCCGAGAGGGGCCACGGAGGCCGCTGCTTGAAGTGGAGAAGGCCGCCAACGCCGCCGCTGCTGCTATTGCCGCCGCTGCTGCTGCCGCACAGCTCCGGGCCCCTGCGTGCGTGGTCGGGTCGGGCGTCTCTCTCCGCCGCCGCCTCCCCCGGCCGACCCCCCCCCCCCGCACCTGCCCCCCGTACGCTACCGCCACTCGGTCACCTCGTCGACTTGGCTGCGCGTGGCCCGTGGTGGTGCGGGTTTGTTTTTATTGTGGTTGATGGTCGTGGTTATTGTGGTTGGCTAGTGGTGGTTATTGTGGTTGGTGGTTGTGGTTGATTGGCTGGTGGTGGTGGTGGTTATTGTGGTTGGTGGTCGTGGTTGATTGGCTGGTGGTGGTTATTGTGGTTGGCTGGTCGTGGTTATTGTGGTTGGTGGTCGTGGTTGGCTGGTGGTGGTTATTGTGGTTGGTGGTTGTGGTTGGTGGTGGTTATTGTGGTTGGTGGTTGTGGTTGGTGGTGGTTATTGTGTTTGGTGGTTGTGGTTGGTGGTGGTTTGTGGTTGGTGGTTGTGGTTGGCTGGTGGTGGTTATTGTGGTTGTGGTTGGTTGGTGGTGGTTATTGTGGTTGGTGGTTGTGGTTGGTGGTGGTTATTGTGGTTGGTGGTTGTGGTTGGCTGGTGGTGGTTATTGTGGTTGATGGTTGTGGTTGGTGGTGGTTATTGTGGTTGTGGTTGGTGGTGGTTATTGTGTTTGGTGGTTGTGGTTGGTGGTGGTTTGTGGTTGGTGGTTGTGGTTGGCTGGTGGTGGTTATTGTGTTTGATGGTTGTGGTTGGTGGTGGTTTGTGGTTGGTGGTTGTGGTTGGCTGGTGGTGGTTATTGTGGTTGTGGTTGGTTGGTGGTGGTTATTGTGGTTGGTGGTCGTGGTTGGTTGGTGGTGGTTATTGTGGTTGGTTGGTGGTGGTTATTGTGGTTGGTTGGTGGTGGTTATTGTGGTTGGTTGGTGGTGGTTATTGTGGTTGATGGTTGTGGTTGGTGGTGGTTATTGTGGTTGGTGGTCGTGGTTGGTTGGTGGTGGTTATTGTGGTTGGTTGGTGGTGGTTATTGTGTTTGGTTGGTGGTGGTTATTGTGTTTGGTTGGTGGTGGTTATTGTGGTTGGCTGGTGGTGGTTATTGTGGTTGGTTGGTGGTGGTTATTGTGTTTGGTTGGTGGTGGTTATTGTGGTTGGCTGGTGGTGGTTATTGTGGTTGGCTGGTGGTGGTTATTGTGGTTGGTTGGTGGTGGTTATTGTGGTTGGTGGTTGTGGTTGGCTGGTGATGGTTATTGTGGTTGGTTGGTGGTGGTTATTGTGGTTGGTGGTTGTGGTTGGTTGGTGGTGGTTATTGTGGTTGGCTGGTGGTGGTTATTGTGGTTGGCTGGTGATGGTTATTGTGGTTGGTGGTTGTGGTTGGTTGGTGGTGGTTATTGTGGTTGGTTGGTGGTGGTTATTGTGGTTGGTTGGTGGTGGTTATTGTGGTTGGCTGGTGGTGGTTATTGTGGTTGGCTGGTGGTGGTTATTGTGGTTGGTGGTCGTGGTTGGTTGGTGGTGGTTATTGTGGTTGGTTGGTGGTGGTTATTGTGTTTGATGGTTGTGGTTGGCTGGTGGTGGTTATTGTGGTTGATGGTTGTGGTTGGCTGGTGGTGGTTATTGTGGTTGATGGTTGTGGTTGGCTGGTGGTGGTTATTGTGGTTGGCTGGTGGTGGTTATTGTGGTTGATGGTTGTGGTTATTGTGGTTGGTGGTCGTGGTTGGTTGGTGGTTATTGTGGTTGGTTGGTGGTGGTTATTGTGGTTGGCTGGTGGTGGTTATTGTGGTTGGTGGTCGTGGTTGGTTGGTGGTTATTGTGGTTGGTTGGTGGTGGTTATTGTGGTTGGTTGGTGGTGGTTATTTTGGTTGGTTGGTGGTGGTTATTGTGTTTGATGGTTGTGGTTGGCTGGTGGTGGTTATTGTGGTTGATGGTTGTGGTTGGCTGGTGGTGGTTATTGTGGTTGGTGGTCGTGGTTGGTTGGTGGTGGTTATTGTGGTTGGCTGGTGGTGGTTATTGTGGTTGGTTGGTGGTGGTTATTGTGGTTGGTTGGTGGTGGTTATTGTGGTTGGTTGGTGGTGGTTATTGTGGTTGGTTGGTGGTGGTTATTGTGGTTGGCTGGTGGTGGTTATTGTGTTTGATGGTTGTGGTTGGTTGGTGGTGGTTATTGTGTTTGATGGTTGTGGTTGGTTGGTGGTGGTTATTGTGGTTGGTTGGTGGTGGTTATTATGGTTGGCTGGTGGTGGTTATTGTGTTTGATGGTTGTGGTTGGTTGGTGGTGGTTATTGTGGTTGGTTGGTGGTGGTTATTGTGGTTGGTTGGTGGTGGTTATTGTGGTTGGCTGGTGGTGGTTATTGTGTTTGATGGTTGTGGTTGGTTGGTGGTGGTTATTGTGTTTGATGGTTGTGGTTGGTTGGTGGTGGTTATTGTGGTTGGTTGGTGGTGGTTATTGTGGTTGGTTGGTGGTGGTTATTGTGGTTGGTTGGTGGTGGTTATTGTGGTTGGCTGGTGGTGGTTATTGTGTTTGATGGTTGTGGTTGGTTGGTGGTGGTTATTGTGGTTGGTGGTCGTGGTTGGTTGGTGGTGGTTATTGTGGTTGGTTGGTGGTGGTTATTGTGGTTGATGGTTGTGGTTGGTTGGTGGTGGTTATTGTGTTTGATGGTTGTGGTTGGCTGGTGGTGGTTATTGTGTTTGATGGTTGTGGTTGGCTGGTGGTGGTTATTGTGTTTGATGGTTGTGGTTGGCTGGTGGTGGTTATTGTGGTTGGTTGTGGAGGTGATGGTGGTGTCAGCGTGCCGAACGAACATCTGTGTGAAAAGATTCCCGCTCGTGGCCAACACCGGTGATGATTATCTCAACCGGTCCTGGGCCTCCCCTAGGTCGACTCGGACTCAAACGAGTACCCGGTGCGGTGCGTAATAAACATCGCCACTAGGGAGACAAAGGCGGCCTGGCGTGGTGTTGGCCACCCACCCTTCGTGTGCCCTGCCGGCCTTCGTCGGTGTTCGCCAACAGCAGCGGTCGCTCCTACAGTCTGTTAAGGCTACAGGGGCATCTATGGGGGTTTCTGGTGTTGTTAGGAGTGATACTTTGTGGAGGTTTCGATTGTGATGATGGGGGTTGTGATGGTGTTGATAATATAAGTGGTTACATGTAGTCTTGCTTGTCGTGTTGTTGTTGGTGGTGCTGTTAGCAGTGGTAGTGATGATTTGAGTATTTTTTTTAGTGGTGGAGGTTGGCACAGTGGGGGGCACATGTGGTGACATCTACCAGCCATCTGTTAACCCATGGCCTGTCACCTGCCATGGAGTCTTAGACTCGCATCAAGGTGGAGGTTGCGTTGGTGAATATTCTGGTGATGGTATGGATTATGGTGGTAGTGCTGTTAGTGGCGGTGAGGGCTTTGTTGGTGGATGCTGAAATTGAACTGGTGTTGATGGTTGGTAGTGGTATTGATAGTAATGCTGGTAATTGTGCTTGTTGGTAGTGTTACTGGTAGTGGCGAGGGCCTTGGTGGTTGTGGAGTTGCGGTTGTTGGTAATGGTAATGTTGGTGGTTCATTTAGTTAATGAGATGATATTGTGTTTTTTCTGTTGAAAACATCGCAAACAGTGTCGATGTGTGTGTGTGTGTGCGTGGAAGCCATTGACATTTTGTCGCTTGGAATTTTGTGTGATTACAAAAGTTACAGAGTGCGCCGTCCCTCAAAATATTCTATATCGTGTACTTTAATTTGTTAACTTAGATTCATCATCTTACTCTATTCAGTCACTACTGACTCCTGGACATTCCGTTCTCATATTGTTCTTCACGTTTTCCTCCTTTTCTGACATTACATTTCCTCATCAGTAGTCTAATAAATATAATTATGAAGATTAATTTCAAGTGGTTACATTGGTACATATGTCCTTTGTTTACAACGATCCCCCCGTATAGCCTGAACAGGCTGTTGGGGCAAAGGAAATGTACAAGTGAAGTGCATTTGGCAATAAATTCCCCAACACCAATCGGAATGTTTCGTTATCTTTTTCATGACATGTGCAGTTGTGTAAAGTAATCTTATTGTGAAATAAAAGTAAATCGTTGTTAGAGGGACACATCTGGAACAGAATGTTTAGTGCAGTTATTGAATGTTGATCGGAATCAACATTATTTAATAAAGAAGCATATGGCAACAGCATGCAGTGTTTTTGGATAAACTATAGTTTGATAAAGGCAACATACTAATGTATCTCAACAAAAAACATGGTCAGATCCAAAAACATGTTTACAACTATACAAATAAGCATGGAGAGGTACATGCTTAGATTTACATTGAGAGAAAGAGGAACACATGGAATAGAGACATAGCAATTTAAAAGCCAATATTTACTCTGAAGGAAAGTAAGTGGACTTGGTGGGAGATTATAAGAAGGGATGATTGGTACATTATTAAGATGTGTGGACTTAATACAAGACTGGTGATGGAATGGCAGACAAAGGAGAGAACACTTCCAAGAGTGTGACCGCTGCAGAAAATCTAGTGAGCAGATCTGCTTGTGATTGTGGTATTGCAAGAAAGAGGGATGGCGATGGTGTGGGGAGGCCTTCGTCCAGCAGAGAATTGAACATGGCTGATGAAGATGATTACTTTTTCTTAGCTGGCCAAAATGTAATACTGTATTTCAATTTGTGGGATTATGATGTTCCTTGTAGATATCGGGGCCTCACATTCAATGCAAACATGTCCAGGGCCCCGAGCCCCCCACCTCCGTCTGAAATGTCCAATGCGCCCATCGCAGAAAGCTGGTGCTACACACAGGTACGTTTCCCTGTGGCCAATCGCATTCAACAGGTCTCCCTCCATCTTGTGCCGATAAAAGTTTGCGCATGGGTTTTTCTAAAATACGGACAGTTCCCCGTTAGCTAATGAATGTAACTTTTACACATTTTTTGTTCATTGCAAAGCCATCCAAAATGGTTTCATAATTATGTATAAGTGCAATAATGGATTGCCATTGCACAGGCTATTTTTGTCCATCAGATTGCAAAGTTCATACAATTGCACTAACAGCATTATACTAGTTAATTGTCTCTGATTTTGACTGGTGGTGTATTTTTACAAAAGGACACCAGTTTTTATAAAAAGAATAGCATGGCCTTTTATTACACCATCTAATCTATGACATGTTGAGACCTGTTGTGTTACCGCTGCGCAGTAATGAACATGCAAGGTAATCCCAGAACACTAGGACCCTTTCATTTACAGTTAATGTTTCTTTCCATATAGACAGTTTGTGTTTTTGAGCACAATATTCAGATGTGTGGGTGAAATACTTCAGGGTTTGTCGATGGTCATGTATTTATGGTAATGAGTGAGCTTTATACCTGTTATGTGCTCGTGTTTTTCAGGTTAAGGTCGTAAAGTTCTCTTATATGTGGACCATCAACAATTTCAGCTTCTGTCGTGAAGAAATGGGCGAAGTTCTCAAGAGTTCTACATTTTCAGCAGGCACCAATGACAAATTGAAATGGTACAGTAAATTCTGGCTATTTTATGACATTACAAAAAATCACAATGCTCATGGAGGTGATTTATTAGAACAATTTTGCATAGTACACGTTTTAGTTCATACTATATTGTTTTAGTAATTTAGTCTGTGCGTACATACGCAGCTAATTAATGTCCATGTCTGTTTATATGTGCAATCAGGTGCCTACGCGTAAACCCCAAGGGTCTCGATGAAGAGAGTAAAGATTACCTCTCGTTGTACTTGTTATTGGTCAGCTGTCCCAAGAGTGAAGTCCGCGCCAAGTTCAAGTTTTCTATTCTTAATGCCAAGGGAGAGGAAACCAAGGCGATGGGTAAAACTACTTGTATTTAAGTGTCAATTCACGTCATGTGTGTATTTGGTAACATGATTATGTCATCAGCCATTATTTATCGACTGCTTGAAACATTTTATAAACCTTACGAACACCATCCCACATCCTTCACATGAGCTGATGTAATATCTCCGTGTCTACGTTTGATATCGTCTTGGGCATGTACTCTACTTTTCCTCCGATTCGACCACCAGTATCAACCATCATTCCATTTAGCGATGTGTCCTGTCCAAGCCCACAAGGAGAGCATGCAAACTACAAATATACAGGCTTCAGGGTTGGGATGGAACCCACGACCTCCTGTATACCAGGCGAGGTAGTTGACTCCCACCGTGGCGCATGGCTTAAGAATACATTGCTCTCTTTACACTTTGAAAATATAATTCACAGGTTTTTTTTCCCATTACATGAAATTACCACAGTTTAATGTAAGAACTGGTGAGTATTGTTTGACATTTATTTTTTACAGAGAGCCAGCGAGCATACCGCTTTGTCCAAGGAAAAGACTGGGGATTTAAGAAATTCATTAGAAGAGATTTTTTGCTTGATGAATCTAATGGCTTGCTTCCAGATGACAAACTGACACTCTTTTGTGAAGTAAGTATGACATGCTGCAGCTAATGTGTAATTTTCTATTTTATTCATTACAATTGCACAGTTGGAGTCAAGATTCTACTTAATTGAAGGTTGTCATAATTACTTTCCCTGTTCCATACAAGGACATTGTTAACATGAGTTTTCCAAGCACTTTTTTCCCCCCACTGGTGCTAGAGTTAACATAGCACAACAATTAAATAATCAAGCGTATTTTTTTTATGTTTTCTCCCTCTGGATAGTGTTTATTTTTAAACCTTTACATTTTTATACACTAGAATGTCAGGTATTACAAAAAGTGTTTTGTTTAAATGTCGCCACATGAATTCCTTTTCTTATTCTCGGACATCAGCCAGTTTGATGTAAATGTTTCTTGCCCCTGGGGGGGTCCTTTTAATCAGCCAGATTTACATTTTTTTCCTTTAAAATCCTTTACAAAATACAAGTATTTTTGATAATGAAAGGAAACACATCAAGAAGGGCTGTTCACTCCATCTGTTGTTGTGCAGAACCCATAATTAGGGGCCTCACTACCTGTTGAAACTGTGTATACAGTGTCCAATAACTTGACAAAGATATCGAATGAAAATTTATTCATATTAAAAACATTTCACGGACCACTATTTTGGCATTATTCGCAATGCTTGTTCTGATATACCATGTTGTGCAGATTTGCTTGCTTGATTGAACCAAAGCCTACATCTTCATGCAAAATGTGTAGTTAAGTGAGGTTTTGTAAAAAAATCAAATGCCTTCTCAAAAGCTGGTTGATGTCAATGCAGGTTAGTGTGGTGCAGGATTCCGTGAACATCTCTGGTCAATCCAGCATGAGTACATTGAAAGTGCCAGATTGCCGGCTGGCAGTTGACTTCGGGGAGATCTGGGACAATTCCCGCTTCACAGACTGCCTGCTTCGTGTTGGTGGCCAGGAGTTTAAAGCACACAAGGCCGTATTGGCAGGTCTGTGCCACAGCAAGCAACACATGCGTCGTTTAGTGTACAATAGAACCATATAATTAATGATACTGTAATTTATTTGTGGTAATCAACTACAGCCATTTCCTGTTTTACACTGAACTTTATTAACTAACACTGGCAAATGCTTACGTCAATTTGTAATGCTTTTTGTTAAAGGATACATCAGTAAATGTGTGTAGTGAATTCAACTGAGTCGCAGCCGCGCTTCTTGGATGCAACACATTTATTCAACCAACACATGGAGTTACTACCCCTTAACACATTAACAACCTATGGTGGTGGACCACCAGGCTAACTACACTAATTACACGGGAATTAGCTACGACGGACCGGACCCTAGCCGGGGTCCGGGTCCACATGTTGGTGACTCTTGTAGGACATAGATTCTTCAGGATAAACAACAGCAGCCGGTCCCTCTCGGGGACCCGGCTTTTATCCTCTGTGACGGGGCTGGCTCCGCCCTTAGCCACGACCACCTTCTGGAATCCTCTAGCAGGTTCCCGGCCCTGACACGTGACCACCCCTAGCCCCCCACCTGGGGCCCCTGTGTAGACATTACCAGTCACGTGTCCTTCGGGGTCAAGTGCCATGGCCCTTGGTCACCCCATTCCCATGGCTGGCACTCTCACACCCTATCCTGTAAGGGTCGGCACTGCACGCAGAGCGTGGTGCCACTCGGCACTGTCAGACAGCGCTCACCGAGCCCCTCTCGGGCCGGTACTGCACCCACGTATACGTGGTGCCCGCGATGGCAATACATCGCACGCCGTGCCTCTCTAGAGCCGGCATTACACAGTGACATTCGCGATGTCACTACATGTGTATAAATGTAATATTGTATTGTGTAAGAGATAAACATATCTAATAATCCTGTTGCTAAAGTTTTAATTCCGCTTTTATTTACTTTACTAGATCATCGTTGTGCAGGAATTCATTTTACACGATGCAGTTAAGGTGTCGGTTTTTGAGCCTCTAATTTGGACAGCATTTATTCGTGTCCATGTTTGACAAATCAGTAATGGATATGCCATGAAATAAAATATGGATCTGTATTTTACCTCTTTTGTATCTAGATTATTTGATTGCTAGATATAACATCTAAATGTGTTTGTACCACATTCCAGTGTTTCTCCAATTTACTGTATTTGCTAACAGTTGCTTTACCTTTTTCAGGTCGGTCACTCGTTTTTAATGCTATGTTTGAACATGAAATGGAAGAGAGCAAAAAGGTAACTTTCATTGCAATCTTGATGCAGCACATTAATACTGCGATCATACATTTCCAAGGTGCATTTGTCACAATTGATGGTTGATAAGTATCTCTTGAGAGTGGTGTCAAATGTGTTGAACTATTACCCTAGTAACACTTTTGGAGCGGTGCACATTTATTATCAAAAAGTATTCATTCCGAGGGAATGTAAGATTGTATTTTATAGCTGTCTTTCATACAACATTTCACAGAAGGCCATTGCATGTGTGTCAAGAATGGATTTATCACGCACAATAAATACAGTCATAGGCAAGTTGAATAAAACTTTAATGGAGCCACTTTACATGTGTTGTGTAGATGTAAAGGATGTTTACTTTATTTAATTTCATGCTATATTTTTGTCTCCCAATATATGCCGAAGTTAATTTGAATATATTGTGTTGCTACCTTGCAGAATCGAGTGGAGATTAATGATGTAGAGCCTGACGTGTTCAAGGAAATGATGCGTTTTGTCTATACGGGACGGGCTCCAAACCTCGAGAAGATGGCTGATGACTTGCTGGCTGCTGCTGACAAGGTTACACGCTTAAAATATGAATACGAGATCGCACCACCTTGTGATGTATCGGTATGCAGTTGTAGGTCGCAAGTGAATATTTAAACAGCATTTAGGCATTTTATAAAGCCCATGTCACAAATAATATTAATAGCAAGTGTATATGATGTGGACGTTCATATATACAAACAAGAAGCTACGAGGATGACTTCACATTTGTGCTTTCAGGTTTTGGAATTTATGTCCTGGGAGATTGAATTTTCAACAAAAATTTCAATTGTCATGCAATTTCACAATTGAATTGAATGTCAAACTGGTATTAGTCCATGCTTGTGGGGAGCGGTAGTGTAGTGGTTAGCGCGCTGCACTACGAACTTGGTGACCCAGGTTCGATTCCCGCTTACGGCAAACACCAGTGACGATTATTTGAACCGGTCCTGGGCCTCCCCTAGGTCGACTCAGCCTCAAATGAGTACCTGGTGCGGTCGGGCATGGTGCTGGCTACCCACCCCCTTGTGTACCGTTCCGGCCTTCATAGGTGCTCGCTAACAGCACTTGCCCCTACAGTCTGTTAAGGCTATACGGGGGATCTTTGTCCATGCTAGAGGCTAGTACGTGTGCATTGAAGTGCATATTTATCCTAAGTGCAACCATTTGGCTGTGTGTTCTTGTATTGAGGGTTTTTTGTTAATCACATTAACAATTGATAAAATTAGTAATAAAATAAAGGGAAGTGTTTTAAAATATTATTTGATGTAGCATGGCTGTATAGAAATAAATTGGAACAAATATAATTTTATTAAGGAAACGGATATCCTGCTGTTCCTGAAGATCTGCCAGATAATCAGTTAAGGGTCATTACTCTCCCTTCTGGAGCATCCTATGCAATAGTTCTTAAAGCGATTGTAATGAAATAAGAATACACATCGTATAAAGTCGCATGTTGAAGCTTTGTTCATTAAAGTTTAATATTCTGCTTGAGTTGAAATATAGTGGCTTGCAGTTGAATTGTTTATCAGCTTAACCAAACTAAGCTCTTGGAAAACGACACCTCACCTCCATTGTTATTTGCATGACTTTGTAACCAATATAATCAAGTTTAGGACAAGGACCCCTATTTATAGTAGACATCAATAAATGCGTGACTTAAAACTTAAATATGATGTTTAAAAAAAATTCTCAAACATTTGACTGCTCTATACTGCTTTTTCAAAGTAGTTGTTGGGGTGAGGGAATGTTATACAAGCGAAATAGTGTCCTTAATACTGAAATTGCACTTTGTTTTTACTTTTCTCAAGTATGCATTAGAGAGGTTGAAGGTGATGTGCGAGGAGGCACTATGCACAAACTTGTCGGTGGAAAATGTTGCGGAGACTTTGATCTTGGCCGATTTGCACAGTGCAGAGCAGTTGAAGGCCCAGGCCATTGACTTCATAAACAGGCAAGTCTCGTGAGCGTGTGACTGTCACTGAGCTGCATAACATTGATGATGCTTACATGGCAATTTGCATTACAGTCCCTTTTAACGGAGACTAACCGTTTGCCCCAATCCTTATAGACACTGCGTATTATGAGCTCACTTAACCCTGACTTGTACTTGCAGTCATGCGACGGACGTAATGGAGACGGCGGGCTGGAAGTCCATGGTTTTGTCTCACCCTCACCTGGTTGCGGATGCTTTCCGCGCCTTGGCCACGGCCCAGTCTCCACAGCTGGGACCTCCACGCAAGCGTCTCAAGCAGACTTAACAGTGGCAGGCAAAGAACATCTACGACCAGGAAAACTTGAGCTGCACAGTGCGGTTATTTACCTGTGGCCTCCATGCAAACAACCGTGAAGACTTTGCATCAGACTACCAGCTTTCCTCTGCATTGAAAATCATGTAAATTTAAGCAAATATGTTTACTTTCACAGAAAGGTGGCCAAATTCACTTTACCATGTAATATAGTGCTACATCTATACAACTACGACCCTATAAACAAGTACATATTTAGAATAAGTGGAAAACTACAACCTAATAAACACCACGACATATCCCAATTGAGAAAGTGTAAAATTAAACGTTCGATGTGATTGTCCCTCCCTGTTGGCAGGACAATTTAGTTCAATTGTTTAGTTAAGTAAAAACAGAACGGTCTAAAAACCCTGAAATGTCTACCTTAACACTCGGGATGAGTATTCGTCCAGTGTCTGTGTACTCAAGGTTACAGATAGTGGTATAGGGAACAACCAGTTCTGAAAGGTAAGAATGTGCCAAGCCATATAAGGCCTTAATTCAAGAGGTAGACTTTTGAGATTGATTTTTTATTGCACAGACAGCTTATGCATTGACTAGGACAGAAGTTACTATGATTGCTAAGTTTTAAGACTGACAAAGATAATATTGCAGTCGTCCATCCTGCGTATAACAAAGCATGGATGAAGTGCTCAGTGTAAGAAAAGGCAAGGCAGCATCAATTTGGCTATGTTACACAGTTGATAACATTTCACTTTTTTGCTTGTATGGGCTTTCATGTATGACCCAGAGATGTTTGGCTTACAGCAAGAGTAAATCTTATTTCCATCAATGTTGTAGTTTTTATTCACAGAAACAAGACGTGCTGTTTTCTAAGTATTGTTTTGTATTATATTGTCATTTGTTTTTATTATGAATCTCATCTATTACCCACTCGTAGCATCAGGTCAACCTAGAGTTTTACGTGATTGGAAGGACCATAATTTTCGCATCAGCGCTGTTTTACGTAACCTCCCATTTAAAATTAAATTATACATAAAAGTGCATAAGCTTTGAAGGATTAGACACACTGATTTTGAAGCACCATTTAAATAATATTCAAAGCTGCAGGATAAAATGAAAGTACAACACATGAGCAGTGTCATGGATTTGAGTCGATTTGAAGAATATTACAATCTAATGCAAAGTATGTGTTTGGGATATGAACAAATGCAAACGACAAGAATGTTGGAGTTTTTTTTACGTGTTAAACGTACAAAAACAAGTTGGTTAATACATGCAAAATTAACGATAGCCAGTGTTGTAAGCAGTCTATTTATTTTGTATTTGTTTAATATTTTAGTTTCGTCCTTAAAATATATTATATGCTAAAGATGTATATGGTACAGTGCACTCTACCGATTCATTTAAAAATGGATAAGGTGATTCGGGGAAGTTCTTTGTTGCCATGGTGTGAGAGTTAAAGCATTGAAATCTGATTGGGTTTCTCATCTGCAGCAAGTCTATGCTGTCATGAGTGAGTGTGACAAAAACTCTTAGAAGAGTGTGGTGGACTAATTGACCCCTGAAATATATCGGACAGTGACCGGTAATGTACTCTTCAAATTGTTGCCTTGTATGATTTCCGAAATTGAAAATACTTTGCGCCAAATGTAAATGTTTATTGGAAAATAGATATACTGTAACTGCCAAAAAATATATATAATTGCAGTAATAATAATATGGCCTTTGTAAAAAGTGTGTGTTTTGAAAAAGTGTGATTGCATGCAAGACAGTTTTGAGTTCTTCCCACAAGTTTTTTTTGCATATTCAGAGATGAAAATATGTTATAATGGTTTAATTTAAGTTTTTTTGCTACAATTGTAATACAAAAATATAAACTTGAAGCTAGTAATGCGGTATAGTGCCCCAATGTTTGACCTTTTATCTTTTTCCATTACAGATAATACTGTTCTGGATGTAATATAAATGTTTTGTAAGGCCCTTTTACAATGAATTGTCAGCAGATGATTGGAATGGCAAAATGAACCATTCTTGTATATTACGTGTTTTCTAAATTGATTTGCATTATAAATGGCAATATAAACCCTTTTCATATGGTAAATATATTGGCGTTATCTGATCTCTTCTAGAAACCAGTATTTGGATATTAGAAAAAAAGCTGCTTCGAGCTCTGCAGCACTCATTCCACATTTTTTTTTCATTAAAATTGTATTTGATAATGTTCATATTTTCATTTGTGACATTTTGCAGTGTTACTCTTTGGTTCTTTCGGTAAAGTCACGTAGAAAGAAATTACTACGTGACTTTACCGAGTAATTCCTGCAGTCACGAAAGCTTCGAATCGATTTTGCAGTGTATTTAAAAGTTGAATAAACATGAATGTACCTGGAAATATGTCCAGTTTAAGTTGTAATATTTTTTATTGTGGCAATGTTACAGGTATGTGTGTATATGTCAAATTTCAATTGACACCCAACAGCAACATTTGAACAAATTGTATTTTGGAGCCAAAGGTAAACTTGAAGTGTATATTTCCTTGCCACTTTTAAAGGCATGTTTACCATGTGTTGATAAACAGTTCACTTGAGAATTGTAATGTGTTCACTGTTCATCATTTACAGCGTTTTGTCAACCCACTGCTTAAACGAAGGCCTCACCACACACCATGTCGGTCATACTTCACCTACTGATGTTAACTGTGGCTGGGAATTGAACTGGTTGCTTCGTCAGTTTCCTAGTGCCACAACTCCACGCAATTACATCCTGTTTAGTTTGTATAATTATAAGTCGCATTCTATTTTTGGTGATCATACGTTCAGTATTTTCTGCTGAACTGAGTGTTGGATTTATTCCTTTTAAAGGTACTTTTTTTGCTCTGTTATATTTTGCTCAGGTAACAGCTCGCATTTGCAGTAAATGGTGCCATACATCAATGTCTTGTCTGGCATTAGACACGTCTGTACGAGCAGTGTTTTCATTAGCCTCCATTTATCAGTTAGGGGAACAACTGAGCTCGAAGGGGCAGTACGTGTCGTTCTGGTCACTCAACACGAGGTGTACTTTTCACGGACTACTGAGAAAACGCGTTGCAACAACAACATGCAGAAATACAAACTGACAATTTCAGCCGGTGCAGCTTTATATCGCATGACCACATCGATTCACGTTTCACAAACTTCTTATTCATATGTGCAGACGTCTAGCAACTCCAAGAATGTTTCTTTAGATGGTAGAGCCGGATCATTGCGTCAGCTGTAGCAGATTGTATCACTAATGCCTCCATTATTTTTGTGAATTGGGTATTGAATTGTTCTTTGTTCCATGGTTCTGGGTGACCCCATTCGCACACTGGAGAGTTTTTTTTTTTCATTTTTTGTGTATCGACCGGATGTTGTTTAGGGTCGCCCATAAGCTTTGCGGAAGATCGAATCCAGGTCCCTTTTACATCGTGTCTTTCATGAGGCGTTTGTGCCTTGTGGACTTCATTCGGATTTCCAAGAATCACGTTTGAATGTTGACTTAAAGCTTTTGTGGCTGCAGGAATTCATATTCTTGGGTTTTTCGGTAAAGTCACGTAGATAGGTTCAAAGAAAATAACAATAAACTTTTATTTGAACCTATCTACGTGACTTTACCGAAAGACCCAAGAATATCACGTTTGAAGTTACATTGTTGAAGTTTAAGCGCAGTGGATCAAAAAAGGCTTGCGCGACTCGAGTGCTGGCGATGGACTTATTGAGATCCGAGTGGATGGGGAGACGTTCGTTTTTCCACGATTTGCTGTGCTTCCCGGACAGTTGCAGTATTGAGGCAAATGGATGGGGAAGTGATGTGTGGCAACTCGAGAAGCCAGGGTTTTGGGTCGGCTTTAAGGTTCCAGTGCCACCGCATTGCATCGTTCAACTGGACATCAACAAGCCGGGTGTGTGCCGAGCTATTTATGGTCCATGCCGTTGCACAGAATACACGAGGACCATCGCTTTTACCATAGCACTGGTGATGCTGGTGATAAATAAGAATTCTCAAACAAGAACACGGAACAAAAGCTGAAAAGTATTTAAGGAAAAAAATCGTGGAGCGGTGCATGCTGAGGGTTACTCTGGGACGAAAAGAGGAATGCAGATGTAGTGACATCGCGGACGTCACTGTGCAATGCCGGCCCTAGAGAGGCACGGCGTGCGATGTACTCACATCGCGGACACCCCGTATATGTGGGTGTAGTACCCAGAACCGGCCCTCGACCTTTGGGGGCCCTAAGCAAAATTTGGTTGGAGGCCCCTTTGATGTATGATTTTTTTCACCCACTAGCTAGCAGTGACTCTAGGGGGCCCTCTGCTGGCCACGGGGCCCTTTGCAATTGCAAGGGTCGCTTAGTGGCTGGGCCGGCTCTGGTAGTACCGGCCCTAGAGGGACTCGGTGAGCGCTGAGTGGCACCACGCTCGGCCTGCATTGCCGACCCCTACAGGATGGGGTGTGAGAGTGTCAGCCATGGAATCGGGTTACTATAGGCCATGGCACTCTGGTTGACCCGGAGGACACGTGACTGGTAAAGTCTACACACGGGCACCAAGTGGGTGGCTAGGGGTGGTCACGTGTCGGGGCGAGATCCTGCTCGAGGATTCGAGAAGGTGGGCGTGGCCAAGGGCGGGGCCAGCCACGACCAGTGAGGATATAAGCCGGGTTCCCAGAGGGACCGGGGTTCAGCGTTGCTGTTGTTATCCTGAAGATCTACATTCGACATCCGTGAAGTCACCAACACGTGAACCTGGACCCAAGCTGGGGTCCTGTCCGTTGTAGCTACTCCCAGTGTAATTAGCGTAGTTAGCCTGGTGTTCCACCACCATAGGTTGTTATCTGGTGAAGGGGCAGTTACCCCTTTGTGTTGGTATCAATAAATGTGTGGCCTCCAAAGAGTATGTCTGCGACTCAGTTGATCTCACTACACATTATATCAAGCCATGACCTATCCACAAAAAGCAAGCACGCTGAAAACTTCTGGTTGACTGAGAAAGGTAGTGTGGGCTGGGGTAGGACACATTGTCAAGAGGTACAATGGCTCATGGATGGAACTGGTGATGGAATAGCAACCAAAGGAGAGAACGCACTCGGCAGGGTGACTGCTGTGGGAATGGAGTGATGCGAGGAGTTGTGGCATCGCAAGATGGTGGGGGGATGGCAACAATGTGGGGATGCGTTCAACTAGCAGTGGATAGATTGTGGTTGATGATAGAAGAGATTATTTCAAATGCTAAACTTCCATGATGGCTTCACCATTGCTGCACTGTATTGTCCTTGTTTCGACTTCTGTTACAAACCTCTTGGTGGTCGGAGATAATTGGTGGCATTCCAAACACCTTTTAATCAGTTGTGTTGATCCCGATTGGCTTTTTATGCGTTCGCAGATTAAACGCATATCTTTACACTCAACAATGAGTTTTTTAAATCATGAATCGTCTATTATTGTAGTACTGTATACATAACAATATTGCCCTTTACCCAGGAAAGCCTCAGGGTTCTATGACTCTTTGTCAGAAGGCGCAGTCGTCGGGATGTTTGGCCAACGCCACTGACGCGTGTTTTGGCATGTGGGGAGAAAACGGGAAAGTCCGGAGAAAACCCACCACGCGTACGAGGTGGTGACACCTCACAGCTCCACACAGACTCAAGGATCCCTTGGCTGCGCTGTCTTCTGTGCACGTGGTGGCAGCCGTATTAAAATTGGTGACAAAAATGCCAAAATGTTTCTTTCGAATGTAAAAGAAGATGACTTTTTCTCACGCGCTTTCCACCGGAGGGTGTAAGCTAAAAAGAAACACTGATCGTGCGGTCATATTGTTAACATAAATCAGTACAAAAACAAACGGATCATTTATCATCTTTATGATCGATGCATTCATAGAAAGTGGTTGTAGATTAACCTCAATATTAATCGGTGCAGTGTAGCAGTTTAATAAAAACTAGTTAATTAAGAAACCACGTCATTCAATCGGGAATATGCTACGGTGTAATGTAAGTAGTGACACTTGCTTTGAGGATAAATATGTAAAAAACATGTTACTACAAGAAGTATATCAGTTATCTATGTGAAATGCAAACCAAATGTCTACTAGAAAACATGAGCAATTTAAAAGCCATCGGCGATTACAAGCCATCATGCTATGACATTGTCATGATAACAATGGTTATTTTCGGTGTCTAAACAAGAAAACAGAGGTCACATTGTACAGTAAAGCTACGTAACCTGTAACGTACACTCCCTTTTAAAAGCAACACTAAAATAGGTATTTTGATATATTGCGTATAACATTGTGCACAGACGATCACATCCTGCACCCTTCATTGTGTAAATAATTGTTCCAATTATCATTTGGTATCGTCATTATTTACACGTTTGAGTAACACTATTTGAAATTTCACAACCGTAGATATAGCACCATTACACATATTTATTACCGTGTGTGAATTACTAAACGTAATTACGCGGAATATTTCGAGGTATGATGTTTGCAATTGTGATTCAAATGCATGCACATTTGAAATGTTTGGATATGCAGATACAAAAAAACACGGTCAAAAAACAGTATGATCCTGCACTTTTGAAAATGTTAAGGCATTTGCTAAATACAATGATACAAAAAAAGCATGCATTATTGTAGGCTACTAAAGGCTACAGCTGTAGCTATTCAGGCATTGTGTTGAAGCAATGGAGCGGGAGGGCATCAGATGTTTGTGTCCGCTGAGAAATGGTCCTTCCCACACACGTAAACCGTGCGGTAGAATGTTCTGTAGATCATCGTATAGGATTTCCTGTAATGAAACGTACGAGCACTGTGTGCGTTAACATGCAGTGCACAGCAATATAAAAAATGCAATGCTCGTTAGTCACGTGATTTGATTTGCAATGTGTTATTTAGTTAATCGTTTTTGGAATGCCGTCTGAAATATAAGGTACCCTTTCTCTAGATAATGTTGCCGACCGATAAGTTGGCTCATTATATTTCAAAGTAACCAACATTTTTTTGTTAAACTATACTGTGCTTGTGTGAATCATCAAACCCGGGTGCACGCGCGCCTCCGAGTGCACGCCGCCTGATAAAATTCTACCGAAATAAATACTCGCACAATGCACATTCGGTAAGGCTATGCGCAGTGCGTTTCAACGTGGAAAAAGGCATCCCTTTGCATATCTCCACCCACATACCGAACGTCGGATATGTCATTAAAATGTGCGTATGGCGCAGCGAGTATGTTATCTGGCACCCCCTCTGCCCTCCCCCCACCCTCCTTTGCATGTGCAAAGCCTGACTTGAGCTGGTAGCAGGCGTGGCGGGGTCTCCAGGGACCACAGCTGACAGCCACGCGGTGCTTGCTCAGCTGGCTGTATCCACGACGGAACGACTGCGATATCGTGCTCATCACACACTGCCTGTGGCGGTGGAGGAGGGGGTGGGGGGGGTGGGCACACGACGCAGCACAGAGGAGAGCAGCGCTCGCCGGCGGAACGCCACGACGCAACTACGCCACAGCGTCCCCCCCTTTCGCACTCGGCACGTTTGTTGGGGCATTTGACGGCGTTGGCGAGCGACGTTGGTGTGCGTCGCGTGCCTCCTACGAGGGCAACGAGAGACTGGATTAATTAGCGAATGTATGGTGAACTTCTTTCGCACCGTACGTAGCCGACCGTGCTCAACACAAACGTGATGATGTTATGGGTGATTGTTGAGATGGACACTCTTGATTTGATGAATGCGTTTACATTTGAGTTTTGTTTACACCCTGACGCCTATTCGCCGAGGCGACGCGTCCTCAACCTCGACGAGTGCATCGGATTATGACATTACTATTTGATTTATACCGTATTCAATGACTGTATCATCATCATCATCATCATTAAGAACAGCAGCAGTCATCGATTCGCTGCTTCATGAGGACTTCCCCACGTCGCCAATCTTCCATAAGCTCACGATGCAGCAATTAATCTAGTTCCTACACATGAGCTCATCTCATTGCTCCATCTCCACAGCGAACGTCCCTTCAGGCGTTATACTACCCTGCGTTGGCTGCCACTGCCCCATCCGTTGCATCCACGGCCCATCAGATTTTATTCACCACGGGGTCTTAGCCGTGGCCAGGAATTGAACTCGGGTCGCCGTTTTCAAGGTGCAGTGTGAACCACCGTGCCAGCGCCGCTACGCGTATCAATCCAGAGACGCAGCAGTTGAGTGTTCATTTCACAATCGGATGCCCGTTGCGTTGATTAGCTTACATTGACTAAGCGAATCATCCCTGTGGGATCGTAAAAAATGAGTACCACTTTGTGGGAAGTCAACAGCGGTTGTCCGACGGAGAGACTCACCCCTGCCGTAGCGGTGTTGTGTCAATTTCTGCCTCAGGTTCAAGGTAGCAAACAGGAGATGAGAGTGCCACTGGGTGCTCAATTTCGTCGGAAGCCACTTTGAATCCTTTGTGATATGTCGCAAAGTGAAGTTTGTGGTTAACAGGAGGCTTCTCGGATGGAGGTCACACCGATTGTGCCAGGTGTTTTGCATGAAAAGACATCTTTCGTTTGCTCTCACCTCTTCTCACAAGTTTGACCCTGAAACCCAGCAGGGCAAATGCACCTCCCATCAGAGCACCTGCCCCCATTCTTGCAGGGACTCGGACAGAGTGCTATGGGAAAACAAGAGAGGTTTGTTGTGAATGAGAACGGGGTGGGGGTGGAGGTGGGGGGTGGTGGGGGTGCCCTCAGATAGACATGTAAAACTTTAAACATGAGGTGCTAGAATATCAGCATATAGAAAACACTGCATTTAGCTTTGACAGTCGTTAAATAAACAATAGCCAGCTCGATACTTTTTCAACGGCACGAAGTTGCTGGGCAGGAACATTTGTCGGGATTCTTCTTGAACAGGTTTTTTTTTGACGATGAGACAGAACCACGTGCTATGCGCCGTTTTTTTTCTTTCGCAGGGGGTGACCTCAGGTTCGCGAGATGTAGTCCGTACCTTTGTGGCATTGAGCGCCGCCATAATTCGGAGGACACTTGCAGCGATTTGGACCCACGCATGCACCACCGTTCAGGCACTTGGATCTGCATTTAACTGAAAGGTCACACACGAACGGCAACAGAGCAACCAGTGCTCTTGAGTGGCAGGAGACGCAGAGACCCTCCCTCGAGAAAGACGCGCACTTTGTTAAACCACAAGAATTAAAGCAAGTACTGCGCATCAGCAACGATAATAGTAACTTACGGCCCTTTGTCAATCCACTGCTGGATGAAGGCCTCCCTGTCAGTAATAGGGGTTGTTTGACCATACTTCACCACACTGCTCAATGCAGAACAGGTCCAGACGTGACTCACCGCTGATGTTATTCGTAGCAAAGACTCGAGCCCAACTCGCCAGGTTCATAGCGCAGTCGGCTAAACACTGTCATGCTACTCTTCCCCACTTCACCACCTAATTCAAAATAATACATACTCTACATTGATAAATAATGAAGCCGTTTTTCAGGCTGTTGTATTCCCTTGTTTCATGCTGTAAATAAATTGGTGTGAGTCTCAGTATTGCAAATTGCATGAAAATAATCCATTGTTTGGTTATTCGCTGTGCTTCTCAGACTCACGTTAATATGATCCCCAATTTATACCTACATACATTAGCCAAACATCTCTATTTGTAGGCACAATGAAGTTTCAGTCAGAATGCAATTTAATATGTGCTACATCCATGTAATAATTGGCTAACTTTAAAGTGTCACCCTGGGGTGCCAATGGGGAATAGCAGTTGAGACTTGAGAACAACCATGCTAACTCATGATATTACTTCAAAATAACACGATCTCAGACCGTTAAGTTCGATGGTGTTTGCACAATTAGTCGGCGTAATTACAGCATGGGTTACACAGAAGAGCTTCGAGAAAGTGTGGAGGGTGGGGTGGTGGGGATTGGAGGGCCCCGTGCAATATTCCATGAGAAATGAAGCCGTGTTCACACATGCACTGATTTGTCGGAGCATACCACAATTATTGAGCACACCAAAAGAGACCACGAAGGGTTCATGAATGATGCGCATGTGCAGTGGCGGACCTGTCGCGTTTGCAGGCTGTGCAACTGCACCAGAGTCCATAAGGGTCGTCCATAAATGACGTCACGCAATTTTGGACGATTCCCCCCCTCCCTCGTCACACGGCGTCACAAAAAGTCAGACCCCCCCTCAAATATGACGTAAAAAATCTCCCCCCCCCCAAAAAAAAATATAAAACATGCTTTGAATCGCTTTAAGCTATTGTCATTGTAGTGCGTATGTAATGTGGCGCTGCACTCTGATGTTGTAGGAGAAAACATTTATTAAAACGTCTATTTAATTAAGTAGAACGTGTTGTCTATATTTATTTAAAGTTGCGCATTTTGATGTGACGTCACATTTCTCAAACTCCCCCACCTCCTCATCACACATCGTCACAAATGTCTGCCCCCCCCCCTCCCCAAGTGTGTGACGTCATTTATGGACAGTCCCATAGGCTGAAAGGGCCCAGGTGCCGGACTACATAGTGGAGAGGAATTGAATAAGAGGCCCCCACTGATTGTCTTGCCCCTTGACCCATGCCAACCACGCTACGTCACTACACCTGTCAATAAAATGGAGCCGCTTTGGCATTTGTGACGGTGCTGGCCAAAGTGCTGTTCATGTCGACGATCCTGCAACTCACATTTCTCGCAGTACCTCCCGTGAGATCCGTGCTTGCACTCGCACGTGTCGGGTGCGACGCACACAGCGCCGTGACGACACGGGACGTCGCACTTGGCTTGAGCAAAAAGGCAGACGGCACAAATACATGAAGACACACAGCATGACACTGCGAACTTGGGAGATGGTTTCTTTTTGCACGTGCAACAATTACCGCCATCCTGCTGGGTAAAATGTGTCGTAAAGTCACGTAGGTAAAAAGTAAATAATAAAATATGAGAAATAATAATGGAAATAAAATAATAAATCATGACGTTTCGGGGAAATAAATAATAAAATACTTGAGATAGTAATAGAAATAAAATAATAAATCACGACGTTTCGGAGGCAACACAAGTCTCCGTCATCAGGTGGGACCGTCACAGCTAAATTTACTGTATCAAGATACAGTAAATTTAGCTGTGTATCTCGATACAGTACATTTAGATGTACGGTCCCACCTGATGACGGAGACTTGTGTTGCCTCCGAAACGTCGTGATTTATTATTTTATTTCTATTATTATTTCTATTACTTTATTATTTATTTATACCTACGTGACTTTACCGAAAAAACCTCAGAGTATGTCGTCCAATCGCTTGCCACTAAACAGTTTATATAAATGTGCAGACCTTTGTCGATCCACTGCTGGATGAATTCCTCCACCACGCTGTTTCTTTCCATGGGGGTTGTGTGACCATCATTCACCACATTGGTCAGTGCGGATTGGTGAAGGACAGGTAGGTGCCCAGAATTAGTTCAGATATCACTCGCTACTGATCAATAATCAAACTTGAGTCGCTGCTGGCTTCATAGTGCATTGAGCTAACAATTGCACCGCTACTACACCTTAAACAGTGAATGTCATCATTGACCCATGATCAATTCACAGCTGGATGAAGACCTCCCGGTGCTGAGTGGTTGTGGTCATCTGAGTGCAAGTGGTGTGGTGTGGTTATCCACGTTATCGGGCGAGTTTCCTCACCAACCTGCATTGACTAGGGTATAATGACGTATGGTCACGTATCTTTCCCCCAATTTTAACGCATCTTGATACATTAACCTGCAACTGAAAAATGTATATATACTCATCATTACGAAGAAGTAAAACAGGAAGGAGACAGACTTCTAAACATGGATCTTTCTGTTAGATGCAGTCATTTGATGCCGCTATTTGTGGCGTCTCAGGGAACACGATGTGACAAATCAAGCATCCCAGCTTACGTGGAAGAATGTCTCGCTCCAGCTCTCAAATCAACAGATAGACACGACTGCTTATCTAAATAACCACATTGTACAGCTTACTGGCCTACCAAGGAGTTAATCCGTTCCTTCGATGTCCTCTAGTACACAGGTAAATATCGGCTACAACAGGTGTTTCGTAAAGCCAGTAAATGCACCTCTCTACGGCCAACTTTTCACTTCCCACAAAATCAGCAGCCTGCAATACAATGCAGCGATACGGTCCAATTTACACTTCAATGGCGATTAATGGGAGATTCGAATCGACCGTGGAAGACTGGCCCACAAACTGCAGTTTGAGAATGCGGAAGGACAGAGGGGAACAAGTAAACCCGTAAAAACAAAGTTTTTCACTATAAATCCTTTATATGCGTGCATGGCATCGGGGCGGCTAGAGTCCTCTCGTCCTCTGGCAGCATTAAACAATTGGTAATTAAATATTTTAAAAAAATTCCCTAAACAGTGTAAAATTTTGGAAAAAAATGTTCACGAAAATGCATTGTCACGCACAACGAGTCTGTGTGCCAAATGTCAGCTCGATTGGATCACGGGAAGTGGGTTAAAAACGACCTAAAGATTTGCACAGGTCCTACGCAAGCAAGCGAACTTAATATAAAGGATTAAAAAAAGCGAAGGAAAATCCCGATCGGATCCTCCCCCATTCCACCCCACCCCTCCAATCTCTCTCTCTACGAAGAGTTGATGGCGGGGATTTGAGAGGCAGCAGCAGATGGTGGCCGTACGCTTGTCGCAGCGAAGCCCCGAGTAGCCGTCCCTGCAGGTGCACACGCCGGGAGCCGCGCAGCGCCCGCCGTTGACGCAGCCCTCTCGGCACAGCGCTGTTTAGGGGGCATCGCCAGAGGCACACCACGGGAGGAGCCTTTAAGTTTAATTTTGAGCTTTCGCGACTGCAGGATTTACTCTTTGGTTCTTTCGGTAAAGTCACGTATAAAGATAAATTGTAGTATACTAATAGGGGTTTTCCTTCTTTTTTCTGGCAACAAAACTGACACCTTTTGCAAGGAATCAGGCTTACATTAACCACAATACTTGCAGTCAAATGCAAACAAAAAACAATACTCTGATAATCTATGCATTGTCCTTGAAACTGATTGGTCCACACTAAAGACAACTTTCTTTAGAGCCTAGTCTCATATGGTATTCGACCAGATGACGCCAAGAAAAAAGGGGAAAAACCCTATTAGTATATTTTGGTACTGGCAAAGGAGGTCCCATGATGTAAACCTAGTAAACTTAGAAATACAATGCAATACAACACAGAGAGTCGGCTAACATAACAGTCAACACCCTACCTGGTTGATTACGTTCTTCCAGAGAATGCTAAATGTAGCATTGCTAAATTAGCCGACTCTCTGTGTTGTATTGCATTACATTTCTAAGTATACTCGGTTTGTTTTCATTTATACCTGATGACGAGTGCTTGTGTTGCAATCGAAACGTCGTATGCTATTATTTAATTTATTACTTTCTCTTTATACGTGACTTTACCGAAAGAATCAAAGAGTTGAGCCGTTAGCTGTCGGCAGAATCCTCGCATTGGGTAGCGCGGCCCCAGACATCGTCGTCGTCATCGTCATCGGCCGCAAAGTGATCGGAGTGGCGATGATGACGCATTGGCAAATGTTCGTGCGTGTGTATGTGGTCACAACGGTGACTTTCTGGGCCTCAATTATGTCGGCTCAGACTTAAATAAGTACCTGGTGTGCTGTGGATACAACGTCAGCATTGGGGCGACAAAAGCGGCTTTGGGGCCGTCCATAAATGACGTCACGCGATTTTTGACGATTTTTGACCCCCCCCCCCCCTCGGCACACATCGTCACAAATGTCTGACCGCCCCCCCCCCCTAGGTGCGTGACGTCATATATGGACGGCCCCTTTGGCGTGGTGTTTGCCACACCACCTACTCATGTAGCCATGCCAACCTTAATGGGCAATGTTATTACTAACAGTGCTTATCCCAACAGCGCTGTACGGGAGACCGTTGTTAATGATGGTGTGTTTCTATCCACCAGTCTGAAATACCCCCTTGTGATTCAAACACGTTGACGGTAGGCTTACCTTCGTGTGAAGACACGACAAATGGAATTGATGTACTGACGGTCAGAGTTATATATTTTGTTTACTGCAATCCCGTTTTTCCTAATTTGTCAGACCATGAACAAATTATACGCTAAGTGTTTAGAGTCATTACACGTGGAACCATTTTAAAGGATATGCAGTACACACTGCAGTGTTAAGTGACAATGGAGTAGAAACTCTTTCACGTGAACACAGCGTGAACACACATTTTAAGAGGAAGGGTTTCCAGAAATGAGCCAGAGGTGGTTGTCACATGCAAAGGATCTTGCCTTATTGGCCTTATCACTTTTCATTGCTAAACACACACCTCCAGACCTCTTAATCTGCCACATATAAACGCTCATTGTTTGGTTGAAAAATCTTAATATATTGAGATCTGCAGAGCTTGGGCAATCTATGAATGCGCCAGCTCACTGCTGTTGTCTTCCAGCTCGTCTGCAGTTTCCGCGGCGATTGTGAGGTTTGATTTGCATAAACGACGCTGTATGTAAAAATAAACATTGTTGTTTTTTTATGAAATGCAGATGGCAAAAACTCAAAAAAATGTATGTAATGTGCACACGTGTCGGTGGATGGTAAGATAAAGGAAATACATACCGATGGTGCATCGCGCACCCATGTATCCCTTGGGACAGGCACACCGGTTACTGTTCAAGCAGGTACCTCCATTGTAGCACGGTGGATAGCAGAGGGCTACACACAAGACAAAAGACAGAATTTGAAACCTTTTTTTATATACATAAAATAACAATGATCATTTGAATCCCTTTGTCAATCCAGTGCTGGATGAAGGCATCCCCATTCATGACGGTCATTGAGGCTATTTGACCATACTTCACCACGCTGGTCAGTGTGGGATGGTAAACGGGGGAAGGCCCAGGGACGATTAAGAAATATGTAACTCTCCACTGATGTGAGTCACGGCTGCGAATTCAACTCAGATTTCTAGGTTCATGTTTATGTTCATCATCATTTTCATCAGCCATAATCCACTGCTGGACGAAGGCCTCCCACACCCGTTGGCATCTCTCATGGTCCTGGGATGTAGCGATCCATTTAGCACCGCGTAAGAACAAGACGCCTTCTTGATTCGATAATTACTCGATACGAGACGGACACGAGCTGAAGAATCAGACTGTCGAACGAGCGGCAGAATTGAAATAAATACATCGCGACACAGTTGGCATAGATGCGGTGAGAAGGAAAGGAGAGCACTCCATACCTCTGGAGAGTGGCATAACCGTTCCTATCATAGGGGCACAGCTGACAGTAATTCTAGAGGAATGGGATTATATTATTAGTGTCTCTGAGAATCGCACATCGTGTTTGATCGCTCTCGTCGGATCGTGCGACCTGAAAAACTGGTGGTGTACTTTCTCACTCTCTGTTGTGTAAAATTACGGGTTACCAGAGCACAGAAAGCAATCTCACATTCACTCGGGTAAGATGGGCTGCAAGCACAGTGGCCAGATGTTAACTACCTCGCCTGGTATACAGGAGGTCGTTGGTTCGATCTCGACCCTGACGCCTGCTGCTGTATATTTGGAGTTTGCATGTTCTCCCCGTGGTTGTGTGGCTTTTTCTCCGAGTCCTCCGGTTTTCCTCCTCCACATTCACAAACGTGCGTTTGGAGTATTCGGCTGCTAGAAATTTTCACACGATAAGCCACTTCGTTGAGCTATCATTTGCGGCCAGGTCGCTTCTAAAAAAAGAGCTATGTAGCTCAGTGGGCCTTACCTGGTAAAGTAAAAATAGTTTAAATTTCGTATGAGAGAGCAACATTCTCGTCGGCAATGGCATAAGACAGGAGGAGGCAATGTGTACGTGGTGCATCTGCGTTCGAGGCTTCGCCGATTTCACAGCCATGGTCAATCCACTGCTGCATGATGGCTTTCCCCATATTATATGGGTTGCTTGACCATACTGCACCACACTGGCCAATGCGGCTTGGTTGAAGGGGTTCAAATATCACTTCCAATTCATGTTATAGTCATTCCCTGTAATCGAATTTAGGTGGTTGAGGTCATAGCGTAGTGGGAAACCTGCAATGTCACAGTTAAGGAACTCTAATTGATAAAAAAAGACAAATTAGGATTTTTTCTTTTACTTTTTGCATAAAATATGCCCCTCCTACGTATGACTACGTTGGGATTTTCTGACATGTAATGTCCGGTGCCTATTCGCGTCTTGCCTCTCACCTTTCTCAATGTCTTGGATACAGTGTAGATGATTGCATCTTGGAGTTCATTGTTGTTGTTGTTAAATAAAGCTAACAAAACAATAACGTTGGGAGCAATCTTTTTTCGCGGCATGCTGTACTGCATGATACATATACTGCACATACCATAGCCTCTGTTGCGTGCTATCGAAGCTATTTCCGATTACACCCCGGGTGCAATGCGATCCTGTACATTGGTACAATACTGCAGGATGAGCTGTGAAAGTATGCTGCCTACGCCGGGTTAAGTTTTCTATTGTTTTTCAATAAAGCGTGCATCCAATTACAAAAGTGTTCGTTTGCTTATTAATAATAAAACACGCCGTAATCATCAGGGAAAGCCGCTCTCTTTCCCCGGTGCACCATTAAGAATGCGTGCAGCAGCACACACGCATAGTTCTACAATTGCGGCCTTATTAATGTGCAGCTCTGCAGCACACACGCACAGTTCCAGAGCTGCGGTCTTATTAATGTGCAGCTCTGCAGCACACATGCACAGTTCCAGAGCTGTGGTCTTATTAATGTGCAGCTCTGCAGCACACACGCACAGTTCCAGAGCTGCGGTCTTATTAATGTGCAGCTCTGCAGCACACACGCACAGTTCCAGAGCTGTGGTCTTATTAATGTGCAGCTCTGCAGCACACACGCACAGTTCCAGAGCTGTGGTCTTATTAATGTGCAGCTCTGCAGCACACACGCACAATTCCAGAGCTGTGGTCTTATTAATGTGCAGCTCTGCAGCACACACGCACAATTCCAGAGCTGTGGTCTTATTAATATGCAGCTCTGCAGCACACACGCACAGTTCCAGACCTGCACCCTAAATTTGCACTGCAAATCACGCACCTATGACACCCACATATTGTCATCCACGTTGTGCATAGCTCATGCAGCTATGATGAAAGTAGCAGCTTCCAAGTCCATGAACCAATTAGCTTTTCATTTTATCCAAGTATATGTGTTTTAGTAGGTGCGTATGTATGAATTTGACCATTTTTGTACGGGTGTGTTTAACCATTTTTGTGCAGAGCGGTAGTGTAGCTGTTAGCGCGCTGCGATACGAACCCGGCAATCCAGGTTCGATTTCTGCTCACGTTAAACACTATTGACGATTGTATTATCTGATCTAGTCCTGGACCTCCCCTAGGTCGAATGAGTACCTAGTGCGGTGTGTAAACATCGCCACGAGGGAGACAAAGGCGACCGGGCGTGGTGTTGGCCACCCGCCCCCTCGGGTGTCGTGCCGGCCTTCATAGGTGCTACTCGCTAACAGCACTTGCCCCAACAGTCTGTTAAGGCTATACGGGGGGAGGGGGGCTCTGTCTTTATTTTAAAAAATTTAAGAGATGGATGTTCATTTGATGTGGGTGCATATATATTTTCCACCCACCCACCGAAATATAAATGACCAAATCGTCTAGACACTGTGCCAGATCTCGTCCCGTCCTCGTGAGCTAAGCAGTGGCTGAGCCCTGAATGGTGATGGGGATGTCCGACCAGCATGCGTGACGGGTGTTATAGGCGATAAGACTGCAGGCTTGGGTGGCGGCCAGCAGAGGACGGTGCAGCCAAATCCGTGGTACTCCCATGTCTATGATTTCCACCTTAATCAACAAGCGCTACAAAGTGTGCGTGGTCAAGAGTGGTCAAATGAGCTGCAGGACCTGCAGGGCGTATATACGCCCTCGTCCAACAGCGCATTTAATAACAAGGAATGCACATGTTACACGCGCCGACTGGGGTATATTTAGACCATCTATATGAAGTTGATTGGATCAGTGGTGCAACGTCATTGAACGACACATCCGATTATTTGAGCTCGATTCCTGGCCATGGCTAACATTAGTGGCGAATTTTATCTGAACTGATACCCCCCCTCCCGCCACCTCCATCATCAACCCCTACTGACCTGTATTGTATATTAAAATAATGCCAATGACAGGCACGTCGGGGAGGTCTGCCATTAGCCACGGAATGGCAAAGGTCTATAAGTGATTGCTATTAAAGCAATCAGAAAAGTTCACGGACGATAGGGTGAGTCATACGTTTATAAAAGATGATGGTTACATTGTTGGGATGCTTCTATTATGTTATTTCTTCGACTGCTAAGTGGTAGCATGACCAACCGATGAGATACATCGATTAAATCAGCTCGTGTGCAGGTGCTAGATCGATTCTTGCATTACAGAAACGTGAGATATGGCGACGACTTGGGGGCTGGTAGCAATCAAATCTTCTTCGAAGATGTATTCATTATTCTTGGCTTGTTTATACTTCTTCCACATGAATCACATGCCCTCTTATACTCAGTGATAAGTGTACTGTAAATACAAGTATGATTGATTGCTCATTCTCTATATATAAATGTAGTAATTATCATTCTTTTCATTACGGCTGATGATCAGGGATTCATTTCTCACTCGATAATTTCTGGAACGCTGCTGGGAGGGCTTCATTATCGGCGTAAATCACTACCACGAGACTACAAGGTAGACCTATCCACAATAATTGCAATTATAATGTACCCACATCTCTAATTATTCTACGAACACGTTTGAAAATTTGGGTTATGCGAAAATAATTTCTAGAACTATGTTCCAAACTAGCCATTGAACAGAGATGGCCACTGCATCGTGCACTTTCAGATGTGCTCTGCGGCCGTCTGGAACGCTCTTCCTTCCGACATTATGAAGCCACTGGAGCTATGTCCTTTAAAATCTTGATTGAAAATGTATTTCTTTAGAACGCCGTTTTGTGTTTAGTTTGTTGTCCTTTCACTAGCACGGTTGGCTATGTACGGCGCGAGAGAAGTTCAACATGCATGCAGCGTACATACAAGCGCCGCTGCTGCTGCTACTACTACTGCTGCCACAGTAATGATGAGCATTGCCCAAGGGCGGCCCACGCCAGGGCTCTGTCCCTCCACGAGGGCACAGCAGCGCTCACTCAGCCGGCGGGACAGAAGGGGCCAGCTGTCTCACGCCGGCGGGGAATCCCTGCCGCCCATCCAGGGGCCGCACGCGCTCGCAGCGCCAACAGCACGGGCTGCCCCCCCCCCCCCCGCCTTCGTTTTCCGCCAACGAGCAGATGTCTAGGGCTGCTTCACGCGGCAGCCAGAGCGCACACACAGGGAAGGAAGGTCCCGCGGTGGCAGGGGATGCTGCCGCGGTGTAATAGTTCGAGCATCCTGGCCGGTTTGATCTCTCGGCGCGGCAGTTGAAACCGGCCCGCGGACCTCGAGCGATGGCAGTTGCACCGCCTGCACACTCTCGGTAGTTACGCCACTAAATTTCGATTTAAAGTATTCTTAGGTTTTTTCGGTAAAGTCACGTAGGTAAAACATTAAAATTAATAAAAGTAAAATAAAATAAAAATCACGACGTTTCGGAGGCAACACAAGCTTCCGTCTTCAGGTGGAACCGTCACAGCCACGACAGCTGTATCAAGTAAATGAGAGATTGCAGGAGCTACCACT